CTCAGGCTTACGACAACAAAATAATATAAAGCTACGTTCAGACTGCAGGTTATGATGCACAATTCAGATTTTTTGTGAGATCTGATCTTTTTGTGCGGTCGTTCACATTACAAGAACGAATGCGGCATCTAATGTGAACGGAACGCGTCCATGAAGTGACCCGCATGCGCACAAAGCAGGAAGTGACTATTTTACTTTTTTAATATCTGCTTTTATTTTATCCATCGTTTTAATTGTTTTTTGACTGTTTTTTATGTCTACGTTGTTTTGTCTATTTATGTACAGCACTTTGTTCAGCTGTGGTTGCTTTAAAGTGTTTTACAAATAAAGTTGAGTTGAGACTTTACTCTGTCTTATCAGGGTCAAATTTATCATTTATTATGAATAATTTAAGTGTAAAATATTAAAAACAGGTTGTTTCATTCGCTGCTCGGCTGACACCTTTTCACACGAGTTTTAGGCATTAAAAATTACATTATAAAAATCAGCAATGTTGTTACTGATGGTCGCATTTGCTTTAGTATATCATAAATAGACATTATTATAAATTTCAGTTATTTCATAAAAAACTCTTTATAGTAGCGTTAAGTAATATCTCTCATAATTATGCTCGTTCTTTTGTGTTTAAGATCATTACAGTTGACTAATTAAAATGATTAGTCCTGTCTCTGGTGGTCTTATTTTCTTTTTTAAGGTTATAAAAAGGCCTCAGCATCATTTTCAGTCTGTTTATCAACGTTAAATCTCCTCACTGTGCCTATAAATAATTTTCAGATCAATACTTTGGTCTATAGGAGGACTAACGGCTCGATAAACACAGTTTCCCCAAGTCGGTGTGTTGTCTGCAGAGGGGGAGAGTCTTGAAGTATCATACTGAATATTTAATGTCATGTAAATGTATTCATATGGGGAGCTTTTCTCTGTGGGCGGACACACGCAGGGGCAGCAAGATTAATGTTGTTGTTTTCACTCTATATGTGTGTGCTGAGTTTTTCTTACAGTGTGACAGAATCAGACCAGGACGAAAGCGAAATAATTTAGACATTAACATATTTATGTTGATATCTTTCAATTTTAACACATGTGAATGAGTCTTAGAAAATGGAAAAATCACACGACTGCTCTGAGTTGGTTTTCTTTTTGAGTTAGGTCATTAACATGTGTCTTAAAGCTCCTGTGAGGAGTTTTAAAAATGTTGTGTAATGGACTGAAAACAAAATTTACACTTTTTTCTGACTTCAGAATCAGAAAGAAGAGGTGAGATTTTTTTATAAAGTATTTTTTTTTTTTTTACATGAAACCCCCTGAAAGAGGGTCGGTGTCAGACTAAAAGACTGACTGTGAAACTCTTTGTCCAGAAAAACTATTCACACACATGTTGGACAAAATCAGCAAAGGCCACTTTGTCCAAAAAGTGGTCTGGGGCGCCAAAGACAACACCAATCAAAAGTTCCTTACTGGAGCTTTAACTAAATCCTTATTCAGTTATTGTGGAAAACTTTGAAGACATTTAAGATAGTCTTCTTCAGAGAAGGTCCACTATCTTCCTTCAGCTTTGGACAGTTTGGGGGGTTTCAGGTGTGTCTGCTGTCTTTCCACCTTTGTTGTAAAAGTACTGAGAGTACTGTGTGTAGAAATGGGAATATTTCGCAGTATATTTTAGTTAGAATCTCCACTGAAAGGCTCCCTTGCTCACCCCTCCTGTTGGTGAAGTGGTGCAGCCGATTTTTGTCACTCTCTTTCAGATCGTTGTCGCAGCAGCTGATCGTTCACACACGGATTATAAATTATTATTTTACCCTGATTATAAAACATTAAAACCAGAGTTGTGCTGTTTTTGGTCCTGCTGAAGATCAGACACACAGAGAGACAGATAGAAGCTGTAGGACGGAGGAAGGTCACAAGAGGAGAGAGATGAGGGTGTCAGGGGCAGAGTCAGGGTTTATTTAGGGGTGCCCCAGCCCCAGTCAGAAAGGGGGTCCTCCTTCCCCGAAATCCAAATCTTAAACTATGATTGGCTGTTTGCCTTGTCATAGATGAGACTTTAAACAAAAATAGAGATTTAAGATTGCATACTGCACCTTTAAATCTGCAGCCCTGTTCTACAGACTTCTCATTTACTTTGAGAGTAAAATCACCTTTTGTAATGTTCGTCTGCAGAGTTCAATCTCATGACTAAGTTTCGTTAAAGTGATCATTAAAAATCATAAATCTGTCGGTGACACACTGACCTTTCAATCTGCTGAAATTTGCTTGTGTAACAAACTTGTTGACTTTAAACTCATCAGTCAAATAGAAACTGACTCACAAATCAAATCACACGTATTCATCTAAGCGGGTTTCTGCAGACGCTGACCTAGAAACTTTTATGCAAAGCAGACCGAGTTCATACCTGATCATGTTTTTCCACAATGTGACGCATCAGGTAAAGAAATAAACAAATTTTTTAACACTGTAACTGCTGCAGAGAGACATTTAAAAATGAATAACCACCAAAAAAGGTAAAAAAATGTGCGTTTTTATCCGCCTGTGATGTTAAACTCTGAAAAAAAGTGGATTTCTTTGCACATTTTTTTCCTCACAGTTAAAGAGTTTTAGTTTCAATGATGGAAAAAGTACGAGACTTCTCTGTGCTGTGAAATAAAGAATACGCAGCAGGAAATCTCTATATTACCAAGAAAAAGCTCATTTCAGTGAAAGTAGTTGAGAGTTATGATCGAAATGTTCCAGGAAAACAAACTTAAACAGTTTCAATGCAGTTAAAGTCTGTACATTCAGAGTTGGTGTTTGAAGAGTTTTATTTGAAGTGTAAAATATGTTATTAAAGGCAGAGCAGAATCATCCAGAGTCCTTAAAGTGCAGACGGTTTGTCCTCTGGTACGGAGGCCAGATAGTGTCAAGCAGTTTGCATATTCAAAACACTTAAAAGGAACTTAAGCCAAAAAATTCGATGTTATCAGGTTTATGTTCATAAATAGAAACACTGTCCTGTTGTTGCAGGTTTTATCAAACCATCACAACAGTCTGCGTTAAAAAAATAACATCCGTTTGTTTGTCTGTCTGAGGAGAACGCTTCGTCTTCTCATGTGACTCTGAACGACTCCTTTGTGTGGTGAATATTTCAGGATGCTGCGTTCTCGTATCATCAGCCAGCAATCAAATATTGACCCGCTGCTTGGTTTGTTGTCATGAAGTCGTCTGGAGGAAAATGACTTTGACATTTACTCTGACATCAGACAGAAGTCAAACACTGAGACTGTCAGGGAGCCGTGATGGTAAGAGGAGCTGACACAATGAGGGCAATGGCGTCAGGAGATCTGCTCATGATTCACGTTTTTGGGACTTTCATTATATTTAACAGAGACGCTCGATGGATGAACCGTAACAGCTGAAAATGTGATACCTGAGATCATTATACTGCAGTAACTTTTGTGTACTTCTGTACTTTTACTGTGAAACTTCAAGTACACAAATCTTAGAATACTACAGGACTTTTAATGTGAAATTTTACTAACACAAAGGGACTTTTACTGTGAAACTTTAAGTACACAAGAGCGAGAATACTACAGGACTTTTACTGTGAAACTTTAAGTACACAAAGAGACTTTTATTGTGAAACTTCAAGTACACAAAGGGACTTTTACTATGAAACTTGACAACATGGAGTTGAGTTTTAAAGTTTTTTTTTTTCAAAACAATGAAACTTTCTACAAGATGAATATGACCAAGTGTTTAAGAATATACAATTTGTTTTTCACCTCAGTATTTTTACAGTGAAAATGAATGAGAACCTCTAAACTGTATGAAGTTTATGTTACAACAGTGCTTTTGCTGTGAAACTTTGACCACGTAGACTAAAGAAACTGTCTTTAAATTCAAACTTTGATGAATTTAGAAAACAGCTTTAGGGTTACAGTGAAACTTTAGACTGCTTAAAGCTTAAATGGTTTATATAACCTGGGTACTTAAACTGTGAAACTTGGTCTATATGAGACTTTGCTGTCATCTAACAATGAAACTTCAACTACATGAAAATGATACTAATTTGTTTCAACAGCGAAACTCATCCTTAGTAAGGTGAAAAACTGAAGTACTTAGACCACAACGAGCTGAAACTGGTGTTTCTGCACTTATTGTAAAACGTTGACTGTGTGTAACTAGGGATGCTGTTGTGCTTTTACAGTGACCGTTTTCATGGTGTGAAATACGATGCTGCGGTGTCAAGACAAAATAGAACTCTTGCAATCAGCTGTGGAGTTCGGTGATCCGCAGAGGAACGGAAAGAAGCCAATGGAAATTGACACGTTAACTTGAATGGTTATGATCAGCTACGATCGGCAGATATGGCCTTTTCGTAGACGAAGAAATGGAGGGTTAGGGCTGCTCTTGTACCATGGAACTGACACTAAGGGGCGGCAGTAGCTCAGGAGGTAGAGTGGTCGTTTGGTGACTGGAAGGTTGGCGGTTCAATTCCCACCTATTCCTAGTCTGTCTGTTGTGTCCTTGGGCGAGACATCGAACCCACCTTGCACCCAGTGTGTGTCCTCCACCAGTGTGTGAATGTAAGGGTTGTGCTGTGTGGTAGTCAGAGGCAGCTGTGTTTCTGTCAGTCTGCTCCAGGGCAGCTGTGACTACTAAGGGAGTTAATGCTATAAAAATCTGATTTATTATTATGACTACATGGAGCTTTTTTTTTGCTCTTAAACTGTGAAACTTCCAACCTTTCTGGAGCTCTGACCTCAACTTGACCATTACTGTGAAACTTAGACTTCAGAGAGCTGAAAACACTTTGAAACCCATGAAGTTCAGTGTTGATCTTTTACCATGAAACTGTAACTTCATGACGCAGAAATCAGTATTGTCCTTCAATCCTAAAAATTAAACTCCCTGCAGCTTTGAACACTGCTCGGCTTTTACTGTAAAACTGCAACCACATGAAGCAGAACTACACAAAGCTGGATTTTTTTAATCATTCTTACACTGAGAAACTTTGCATACATACCAGACTTTAACTGTGAAACTGCGACCTGTATTTATTAACAGTCTGATTTAAGGTTAAAAATCCAGACAAATCAGTAATAAACAGACGTGCACTGTCGCTTTTATTGATTAAAACTTCACTTCAGTCTTTTAGCTGATGTTACTGCGCCCTCTGGTGGCAGCAGCCGTCAGCTGCAGCGATGCAGAGGGAGCAGCTGTGGTTGTTCTGTGGTTTTTAGGAGAATGGCGGTCTCTGTACAACATCCTGTAAATATAAGACGTGTCCTCCTCCTTCCCTACACTTCCGCTCTCTGTCTCCAACTCTCTCTCTGGGACATCTTTGGGAAAAAAGGAGGAGAGATAATTCATCATTTTTACTGACCACTTCTACAAACTTGATATTTTGTCTGCAGAAGCCTGACCATGTCTCAAAGGTTAAAAGGTTCTCACCACAGCTGTAGAGCTGTTTGACTCTCTGGATGTCCATCTCTGTCAGTCCGTCTCTCTGTCCCATCCCCTTCACGTCACTGTTTGGTACGATGGTGGGAAGACCGTTTGCTGAGAAAAACCCACTGTTGCAAACAAAAAATCTGAATTGTGGACTCAAACTGAGAAGAAATAAGAACTAAACTTGGCATTAGGGTTGCAAAATTCTGGAAATTTATGTTTGGATACGATACAGTTTGTTTGAATTACCCCCAATATACAGTTAATAACCATAAATTCCCATGAAAAGTTTCCAATTTGGAATATTTCCAAAATTCCCCAGCTTAACATCCCATGGAAAGTTTCTGGAAATTTACCGGAATCCCCCCCCCCCCCCCCCGCAACCCTACTTGACATGTTTTTGTGCAGACTTTACCTCCCGTAGTGAAGGATCGAAGTGATGTCGTAGGGAAGTCCAAAAGTTTCACCTTCTCGCATTTCAAAGTTTCTCCCCATCCCTAAAAAAAAAACAGCAGTCAGCTGACTCAGAAACGTAAACTGAACATAAAACAAGTTTGCTAAAGGAACCATCAGCAGGTCCACAGGTGAGACTCAGAGACCGTATTATCCTCAGGCATGTTAATCTGATCTGAATGTTCTTGTTTTAATTTATTCTGGATGATATCAGTCCTGTTCAGATGTACCTGACATGATGTTATGAGTGAGAACAGAGATGTGCTGTTCACGGTCAGTCCTCGTGTGCTCATGATGGAACCCCAGAGCGTGAAGAATCTCATGGGCGATGTTACCCACGATGCACGGCGGCCCCACGAATACAGGCTGCTCTCCTCCAATGAAGCCCACGTACGATGCACAGCTAGAGTCAATAGAGGAAAAACTTGAAACATCTCTGAGACAGATTTAAAACTTTCATTTCAAAGTCAGAAACCTCTGACAGGCCCTGGAATTCTGATGCAAAAGTTTGTCGTAACTTTTGGACTTAAGTTTTTTTTTTATCTACAACCTGGATGTAAACGATCACGGAGAAGAGACAACGTCTTACAGACCAACATCTAAACCTTTAAATTCGAGTTAAACAGAATAACTTACATTTTTAATCTTGACCGACTAGGATGGACTGAAAACATCCTTTTCTTCTACAATCATTACATAATAAAGATTCATCAACCCTTTGCTGGCTTTGAAGAGCAGGTAGTTTGTCTCGGATGTCCTCTTGTGGAACGACACGCAGCTGTGTTTGGACAGCATTGCCATCGCCGACAGGATGTCATCTGTCCGGCTCTCTGGGAAACAAACAGAATACAAGAAAAAATAAAAGACTCTTTAAAAACAAGGATGCGGACCAGAGGTGTGCGGCAGACAGTTTTCTGTACCCAAGTCTTCACTGATGACGTACGGTATCTCACGAGTCGGCCAAATCGCCTCCACTGCATTCCTGTCCCTCTGAGGGTAAAACAAGAGAAAATAACTCATGACGTCTCTTAGGGCTGGGCGATAAAACGATAACGATATATATCGAAAACTAATTTCCCTCAATATCAATATAAAACACAGTCGATTTGCTCTTTGACAGTCGTCATTCTGCCATGTTTCGGTAGATTATACAAAACCATACGCTTCGTACTGAACCAATCATGCTGGATTAGAACCAAGTAGCAAATAACTGCGTCATATCAGACAGCAGCTACACGCAACCATAGCACTTTAACAGGTGAAGCCGACAGCACTGTTGGTGAGAAAAAAGAAATGAGTGCTACCCCCGACAGAAATGACGATAAAGACTCAGATGACGACATCGTCGACAACACTGGCACGAAAACATTGGTGGTGTGGAGGTATTTTGGTTTTTTGAGGTCAGACATGAAGCAGAGTAATGTGTACTGTAAATTATGTCTACTACATGTTCTCACAAAGTCGGGTAATACCTCAAATCTTTTTCACCAGCTGAAGCAGTGCCAAACCGCAGAGCACGCAAAACACAAAAGGTTACAAACCCCGAGAGGAGCAAGGAGCCCATGGCGCCTGAAACAGCCGACCATTCAGTCCGCTTTCTCTAGAGCAATGCCTTACGACAAAACGTCAAAGAGACACAAAGACCTCACAGATGCAGTAGATTATTGTATTGGAAAAGACATGCTACCAATAAACACTGTTAAATTTCATTTTTTATATCGTGATATATATCGATATCGACTGATATGAACAAAAAACATATTGTGATAAACTTTTTACGATATCGCCCAGCCCTAACTTCTCTGGACCTGAACCAAATCTGACAGTCTTTTTGGAAATCATGAGAAAACGATTCACTTTCACTCTTACCTGTGGAAAAGTTTACCTGCTGCCATATTAGAGCCTCTCAGACCTTAGAGTCTTTTAAATCATCGTTAAAGACCCACCTTTTCTCCCTTGCTTTTAATAAATGAGCACACAGGAACCAGAGGCACTGTAGCTTTTATTCTTTTACTGTCTGTATTTTATTCTGCTGTTTTTAATTTGTTTTTATTGTTATCCATCTATTTATTTTCTTCTGTTATTTATCCCATGTACAGCACTCTGTTCGACTGCTGTCTTTTAAAGGTGCTTTACAAATAAACATTGACTTGACTTACCGGCATCACCATGTCTCCCTCTGACAGCACATAACCTTTGGGCGCCATCAGTTCTGCAAAAAAAAGAGTGAAACAGAAAAAGAAAAACACACCTGTCCTCTCACCTGTGAGTGCAAATCTAAAACCGACAGTCTGAACTGAAACGATGTCAGTGTGAGCGTACCGTCCAAAGTCTCTGGGTTTGTCTCCATGTAACGTAACGCTCTCAAGAACCAGTCCATTCGTAGAGCTGAAAAAAAAAAAAATCCCACACCTGCTCATTAAAGAAGCACACAAATCTGAATCTGACTGAAATCACAACAAGCTTTACCTTTTCTGGCCTCCTGTATTGGACCGGAGTCCGCTGAAACACAAAATAAAGAAAGTACATTTATGAGCTGGCTTCTGCAGAAACTAAATAAAACTGTGGATTATCTGCATTTCTTACCATTTTGAATGAGTTGAACCAACAGTAAAGCAGTGAGGAGCAGCTGCAGCATGATCTCACACTGACTGGGTTCCGCTTCCCTCATTAATCAGATAAAATAGACCCACCTGTGAGCTCCCTGAAGCTCTGAGAGGAAACACTCATGGAGAAATATACAACTTTAGTGTGTACATGACACAATTATTTTGATTATTTTTTACTCAAAAAACATCCTCAGTTTGTCAACTTTGGTGCTTGATTGTCCCCACGGATGTAAAATAATCAAAATTATGAGATAAAAAGTATTTTTAAAAAGGCTGGATTTAAGGGTCTTTAAACCGGAACACGTATCGACACGTTAAATAAACCGAAAAGGTGTTTTATTGATCGATTTTATCTGATAAACACGACTAAGTCATTAAAACTTCTGATGATCTGATGCAGAGGGTGGCAGTAGTGAGTCAGACGCGCCGGTTACCGAGCAGTAAAAAGCACCGTAGAAGAAGAAGAAAGAGGAGGACTTCCGGACAAAATACAAACACATGGCAGACAGTTTCAGACGGTAAGGTTATTTTTACCCTTTAAATGTCTTTTTTTTTATCGTTTAAGTTTATTTACGGTGATTGAATATATCTATGTTGTGAGACACCGCATTAGGGGCCTCTTTTCTATGATATTAAGAGTTTATGTCCATTTTTAGCTGAAGTGTTGAACATTTTCGCTTAAAAAAAACAGACTTTTATACATCAATATAGTAAGGGTATCTATCGACTACTTTGTGCTGCTCGTACTGTAAAAAAACTTTAATAATTTGTCGTTTAATGTTCGTGTTGTATGAGAGTGAATAAATCCATCAGCAGACACTTAAAAATCTTCATTTACCTCCATTACAAGGATGATTTTTACATTTATCTAATCCTACTTTTCTATACATTTATAACTCTGGATAATAACTGTTTTAATGTCAGTAAATATGAACAATGAAACCTTAAAAGAGTCTGCTAAATCAGTGGTTCTCAACTGGTGGGTCCCGACCCAAAAGAGGGTCACGAACAGCTGGTCAAAAAAGTAAACATTTAAAGGTGGGGAAGGCAGGAATCCGTTAAAGAAGCGTCTTCTTTTTGTGGTTTTTATACAAAAAAGCTTTTAATATCAGTCAATAGTTATTAGTTATTGCTGACCTTTGGCAATATAACAATATCTCTGTGTTCTCTTATGTCTGTGTAGTCAACATTTTTAACATTTTTCAGTGGCCCACTCTTTCTGACTGTAAACAAAGCCGAGATCCACCTCCTCAACCTGATTGGTTGTGAGGCGGATGCTGCTCCTGGGTGCTGATTGTATGTGAGGCAGACGCTGCTCCCCCATGTCGTTCGGGAGCCCAAATAAAGTTAGTGTGCTACAATATCAGACAGTAGAAACCAACCAGAAAGTACAGAAAATTGTCTGAATCCTCCTTTGACCACGGCTGCCAACACAAGCAAGAAAACAAGGTAAATACCGGTGACTCTTTGCAGAATAACAGGCGCTTAAAAAGGAGGTAGACCGGACAAGAGCTAAAAAGCCGGGTCAACATAAATGATGGGGGACGCTTGGGGATCTTGGTGACCCTGTAACCTTTCTGCTGGACAGGTAAACCGCTTTAACAAAGTAAGCCAAGTGTCTGTAACAGAAGTGTTTCTAGTCAAACGGGACCTGCTGTAGCGTGTTGCAGCGCCACTAAACTGTTGACCTCTGGTCCTGGACTATGTCACTTTATCCTAGTTGTAGAAGTCCTGCAAACATTGTGTTTGCTGGTAGTCTGTTGGCATTTACAGTAGCACCAGTGCTTTTTACTTTCACCTTGACTGGGCCCCATTTGTAATTATCTGAAGTATTTATCTGCATTATATCTGAATTTAACTGGAACGATACGAGCAGGAGCGTCTGTTTGTGGGCGGGGATGCTGGAGCAGAGAGGGAGGGAAGAGGATGAGCTGAGGGGAAAACTGGTTGAGAGGGGTAGAGTTTACATTCAAGATTTCTCCTAAAAACTGGAACTTCATCAGATCCTGACTACCCCACCTGTAATATGCATCTGATGTTTGACGTGTCTTATTTTAAAAAATAATAATTTTATTTTGAAAGGCACGTGTTGTCAAGGTCCTCCTTGGTTTCTTATTAATGTGGCCTGAATGCAGTAAAAAAAACTTTTTTTTTTTTTTTTACTTTATTTTGTGCAATTTGATATTTAATATTTTCTGTACATGCAACTTCAGTAGTTGTCGTCCTTAGTTCATGTGCTCTGAAATGCACTTTCCTCAATAAAATGGGTGTATTTATGATAAAGATTTGAGTCTTTAAGGTGTTTTTTTATTTAAAAAAAATAAAATTCTTGGTTTGAATTTTATAAAAGTAGGTCGCAACTTACGGTCATCACCTAACAGTCTCTCTCTCTCTCTCTCTCTCTCTCTATTTTCCAAAACTCTTCCATCTCAATATACCTCCTCTGTCTTTTTTCAGTTTCAGGTTTCAGTCATGACGCGGTGGGCGAGAGCGAATAACGTCCATAAACACAAACCAGCAGAGGCCACACCATGGAGCCGACTAAAGGCAGGAGGAGGAAGAGGAAGAGGAGGAGGAGGTAGACCTGGTGGACCTGCAGGTACCAAACAAGGAGAGCACCTGAGAGGGACTCGACCAGGCGGATCAGGTGTGAAGAAACCAAACAAGAAGAAGAAAGAGTACGACAACGAGGACGTGAATGGTTTCCTGGAGTATCTGCAGCAGAGCGGACAGCCGCTGCCCCGGGGGGAGAGAAGAGGGGAGGGAGGGAGGGAGGAGGAGGAGAGGGAGATCAGGGAGGAGGTGGAGACGGCGCTGAAAAAAGACAGAAGACGAGAAGACAGACGAGTAAAGAGGCAGACAGACAAGAAGAACAAAATGGTGAGGGAGATTTTCAAACCATAACCCTGGTTGAAGTTTCTGAATCTTCTCAAGTTGAAGAGTTTTGGGTCAGATTTCTGTGAAATCTTCTTTATTTTTCTCTGAGGAGAAGCTGCTAAAATCTCTTTGAAAGCTTCCTGCCTCTCCTCCTAACTCCTTTCCTTGTCTCCTCGTCTCCTCCAGCTGTGTTTCAACTGCAGGAAGCCCGGTCACGGTCTGGCCGACTGTCCGGAGGCCGACAGGGACGAGGAGATGGGTCGGGGGATCTGTTACCGCTGCGGCTCCACCGAACACGAGATCCAGAAATGTCGGGCCAAAGTGGACCCTGCTCTGGGTGAGGAGAGGAAACACAAATCCTCCGAAGAGTTTGTGTTTAAAGCTGCTTCACTAACACTAACATGTGCTCTGTGTCAGGTGATTACCCGTTCGCCAAATGCTTCATCTGCAGTCAGACGGGACACTTATCTCGGTCCTGTCCTGATAATCCAAAAGGACTTTACGCTCAAGGTACGAACTCTGAATCTCACCGCTCTGACATGAATTAAGAAACACAATTTTTAAAGCATTTCTTTCTTTTCTCTGTTCAGGAGGCTGCTGTCGAGTTTGTGGCTCAGTGGAACATTTTCAGAAGGACTGTCCAGAACATCAGGCTGCCAGTGAGTCCTGCCTGTCTTCATCTCTGAACTTCAGTTTTTTTATAGATTTGATGCTGAAGTTTCTTCATCTGGACTTTTAGACTTTCAGAGAAGTGAAATCCTGAGTCTTACAGGATCTGACTCTGATTCTTGTCTTCTGTCCCTCTAGCTAACTCTGTGACAGCATCCTGGCTGTCCAACAACATGAGCGCAGACTACGAGGACGTCCACGTCCCCGTGACCAAAGCCAAACCCAAACAGATGAAAGTGGTGACGTTCTGATCTGCAGAGAGAACCAAACAAAAGAAATGGATCTATTGTTATTTTTATTCAGAGACACTAAATCCGCTCTGTGTAAATACCATGAAGAGAACTTGAATAAAAAAATATCCTCTGTGCACCTGCAGTTCATACCTGCCCGTTTTTCCCGGGACTCTCCTGTATTGCAGACCTTTCTCCAGCCCACCTCCCGTATTGTCATTAGTCCGGTAGTTTGATGGTCTACGCTTATTCATGAATCGGATCGCTATATTTGTCCAAAGTTCCCAGACGACCGAAGATTGTCCTGTGTTTCTGCTGAGCCTCACAAACACTGGATTGATACTTTGACTTTACAGTTTGGGATGATTCAGGTCGGTTGAAGCTGTAAACTATATTGAAACAGTGTTTGTTGCAAAATGAACACTTAAAATGAAAGGGAAAAGTGAGATATAATATCAACTATTGTTATGATATGACTAAATTCTCTGGGAACATAATATGGCCGAAGAGCAACTGCCAACAGTTCAATATCTGGACAACACAAGTTCTCCTTGACAGTTCTGTGTGAAGGGTTACACCATCTCTGGTTGACAAATAAAGCCAGACCTCCTCCTTTCTTCTTGCCACCAGCTTGAGCATCTCTGTCTGGCCTTATGAGAGTGAAGCCAGGTAGATCCACACTGGAGTCCGAGTTGTTTTGATTCAACCAGGTTTCAGTAAAAAATAGGAAACTGCACTCATGGTATGCTTTCTCAGTCTTCACCAAGATCTCCAGCTCATCGCTTTTGTTGGGCAGAGAGTTGATGTTTCCAACGATGATTGATCGAAGAAAGGGTTTATATCGCCACCTCCTAGCATTCAGCTTTGCCTTCACCTTTGCACCAGCACAGCAACCACGATAACACCTCCTGATGTCCTCTGGAATTGTATGTTGTTGCCCAGATTTGCTTTTCCTCAGTGAAAGGAGCTCTTCTCTTGAGTAAACTCTTCGCCCAGCAGAAGTATCCATCAGCAGCCAACAAAATTACAACAAAAATATGAAAAAAATCTAGCATAAATTACAAAAATTACAGATAATACAGAGAGACCAGACTTGCAGCAACCTCTTGGTTCAAGCACATCATTTGAAAAAAAAAATCATACAGGAGAGAGCATGTAAAACATGCAAGGACTTAAACACTAATATTAGTGGACTGAATAAGTTCAAGGCATATCGTAGCTATTATATTTTTATTACAGCTTGTTATCGTTAAAACGCAACAAAAAAGTGTGCAGCTTCACTTATACTTATTTGGATGAGCAATCTAATTACAAATACTCTCATAATTTGCTCATATACACCATACAAAGTAACCCGAAAACTGCCCGGCGCACGCCGCAAAAATCTCCCAGATTTTGTAACTTAAATGTTGACAGGTATGCTCCAGTCTGAACAAGTTCTCCTTCAGCTGCCGAGTTTTATTGTTGTGGATGTTTCAGCGTCAATTTTCCATGATCATCATCAATTTTCTCTGTTTCATAAACATACACACAAAAAAAAAAGGTTTCAAGAAGTGGAAAACATTTCATCCTTCACAGAGAGCAACTTTGGTATCTCATGAAATACAAAACAGAAGAGCTTTGATCAAACTGATGATGAAACGATGAAATGAAATGATCTTAATAATCAGGCGGTTTGAGGCTGCTGCTGAGTTTTATTGTTGTGGATGTTTGTGCAGCTAGAGTCAGGAGTTCTGAGCTTGTGGTGGTTTAATATAAACTATTTTAAAGGGATATTAAATTAAGGGTCAAACACACCGCAACACCGAGTTAGACACCCCGTCTAGAGATAAATGTTACCGACCGCTTGCTTCTTTAGTGACGACTGCATGATAGCAATACAGAGAGCCACGCGCTCAACCAAAACGCCACTCTATAGCCACAAATAATGCTCAGAACAGCACCTAACTTCATCAACAGTACATATAGGGTCCCAGCCATAGTACTAGCCACCAAACATCTTTTAAACTTTAACTAATTTCTTTAGCAAAGTGACTAAACACAACTCACCTACTCTCTTCCAGCAGCCGCTTGTTTGTATGGAGACCTCAGGACAGTCCATTACAGACTACAGCGGGGTGACGCAGCTCAAGGAAGAACATTCATGATCATTTCTTCATGGAAATACAATCAGACCGAGAAGCTAAGGCAGAGGAACTACCGAGTCTGCAGTGAAAAATGATTAATATGATGATTATTACTTCAAGGAAATTTTCATAAATGTTCTTCCTTAAGCTGCGTCACCCCGCTGTAGTCTGTAGTGGACTGGCCTGAGGTCTCGCTACAAAGAGCGGCTGCAGCGTGTGTTTGACCCTAAATTAATTTTACGCCGGAATATCCCTTTAATTTTAAGAGTTCTTTGGGTTGGATTAAGTCTTTTTTACGTGCTTCAAACTCAGTAAGTCCACGCGACACAACCTCAAAACTTCCGTACAAACCCCGGACATTTGAAGGATTTTATAAACTCCCCTGGACAGACCGGACAGCCCCACGACAGAGAGCATGTCCTGGTTAAAGAAGATGTATGGTCACCCTAGTTAAAGAGGACCAGTCTGCTGTGGTTGACCTTGTATTTCTGGTTCTGCGCTGGTTTTGGATGCAGATGTGAAATACATTGACTCCTGGGGGCAGTACTGGCTCAAGGTGAGCTCACTGGTAGTAGAGATGACTTTATTGAAGAGGACTGTGTCCCTCTGCTGCTCTGTGACTGATGGTGGACATTCAAAGGGTGTGTGTGTGTGTGTGTGTGTGTGTTAATATAGAGCATACTATAGGGACAGAACCCTCAGTGTGAGTGTGTTTCATGTTCAGATTAGAAACTAAAACCAAGAGAAGTTGCTAAACCTAGAATGGGAATCACCTTATGGAAAGGACAACTGGACTTATAGGCGAAACGTCCCAAATAAGTCCAGTTGTCCTTTCAACGAAGAATTGGAAATCCTAGAAGCTGAATCCTCAGTTTTAAAGGTGTTGCTTTATGAGTCTTTAAATGTAACACCAACTTATTGTTTTTGGGTCTCAGGTTGGGAGTATTAGCAGAGTATTATTGTGCCGTTCTTCACATTTAATTTCTCTTTTTTTCTCTCTCTTTGTTTTTGCAGTTTTTTATCGCCCTCTCTCCTCATTTTTCTCCTCAGACGATCCTTTGCGGTCTTCTCTCTACATTTCCTCTAAAACCGTACAATCACTCTTCTGAAGTTGTATCACAGCAGGAGCAGCAGAAACATCTTTTTCTTTTTACAGGATGTTTAGGATGGGCGTTTGGGAATAACGTGATAATGTGGTTGGTCTGTTTGTCGTTTTCACAGCAGGAGGACAGCTGATGTGACCGATCAATAGGTTTGTGGGCGCCCTGATTTCATTAAAAACTTGCCTGGGAACAGAATGAGTCAACAGCCACGAGGAGATAACGCAGAGCAGGCCAGCAGAGAGCAGGGACGTTTCAGAGATTTTCAGTGACCATCCATCTATGGTGTGTGTGTGTGTGTGTGTGTGTGTGTGTGTGTGTGTGTGTGTGTGTGTGTGTGTGTGTGTGTGTGTGTGCGCTCCCCCAGAGATCCTTTAAAAGCGTCTTACATCACTTATGATGCAAAAGGTTTCTGGGAACTCCACAGCAGACAGCAGTGGTTCCTCAAACATGAAGAAACACTGAAACTGTCAGAGCTGCTTCGACCTAAAGTGATGATTTCCAGATTCCTGAACAGGCTACTGTGAAAACGGGAGTCACAGGACCGAATCGAGCAATAAAATCCAGATGGGAGTGACTTTGATTCATGACTCAGAGTTTTCTTGATGCCGAAGCGATTTATATCCTTTAACTCCAACTTTAGTTCAAGAGAAACTTTAAGTTTTACCCCGCAGAGCTCTAAAGTTTGTGATCCAGCTCTGCTTTCATTGCTCAGCTTGTTTGTGTGATCAGGAGCTGGGAGAGCTCCCCCTGCTGACTAGCTGCAGTAAAGGTCGTAAAGACACTTTGTCAAAATTTCCACCGCATCCAGAACGGCTCCGATCCGGAACGGTGACAATTTTTGCCGTCTGCCAATTCCTACCAGATCTGTTGGTGAAATACGATCCGCCTAAAACAAGTAGTGCCGGATGACTTATTTTCTGTCTGTGCCCGACTTCCTTTTCAGCACCGGTTAATCTGTGCTGAATTTACCCGGCATGCTGCGGCGTCCACAAAAAAACAGAATTCTTGCGATCAGCTGCAGAGTCTGGCGATTCACAGAGGAACAGAAAGAAGCCGGTGGAAATTGACACGTTAACTTGAATGGTTATGATCAGCCACGATCGGCAGATACAACCTTTTCCTAGCCGTTCCAGATGCGGTGGAAATTGGGGGTTGCCCAGGATTTCCACCGCATCCGGAACGGCTCCGATCCAGAACAATGGCGATTTTTGCCGTCCGCCAATTCCGACCGGATTTGTTTGTGAGGCAAATTTCTTGGTGGAGTACGGACAGTAGGATTCGCAAGAACTCCTGAAAACCTGCAGATTCATGTGCATTAGTGCAATAACAAGTTGTCTAGGGTCACATAGGCTAACCATATAAGCAGTAGATTGTGTCCTTCCGGAGGAGGAAATCTACTTCTAGACTTCTAGAATCAGCATCTCCTCATCCATGGTGTCATCGGGGTGAAATGACGTCTAAAAACCTTTCACTTGTTCGTCTCCGCCTGTTTGCATGGTGTGAAATACGATCCTTTCCAGCACGGGTTAATCTGTGCTGAATTTACCTGGCATGCTCCGGCGTCCGGAAAAAATAGAACTCCTGCGATCAGCTGTGGAGTCTGGCGATCTGCAGCGGAACGGAAATAAGCCGGTGGAAATTGACATGTTAACTTGAATGGTTACGATCAGCTACAATCGGCGGATACGGCCTTTTCGTTCTTCAGGGCATTAAAAACTGACAGGACTCTGGAGTGGAAATCATCGCATGGAAAGGACAACTGGACTTACTTGAGACGTTTCGCCTTAGGTGAGTCCAGTTGTCCTTACAACGAAGAACTGGAAATCATAGTTGTTGTATCCTCAGTTTTAATGTGTCCTGATCTTCTTTCACTGCTCAGCTTATTTGTGTGATCTAGAGCTGTGAGAGCTCCCTCTGCTGACTGGCTGCAGTTTCCATGTAAACAGATGGGATGTGGTCTGATGGCGGCACACTTTCGTCCAGATTTGACTTGATCTAAATTAGCTGCTTCTCCTTTTTCATTTGTCTGTTCACATAAGACTGAGGTTGTGTTTGGTAGCAGTTCAATCCCTGTTTGGTTCACTTGAACATCAGTCGTGTTGAGGTGATGGTCGACCACTTCGGTCACACTGACAGTTTTCGTCCTCTCAAGGGTTTTTCCAGATCAACTTTCTAAGAACGTCTTTTTGTTCTCTGTCGCTCTCTTCAGCAGCAGCAGCTCATATGCTGCGGGTTTGTTTCACCCCAGAGACCTCATGTTTGGGTAAAACTGAAGAATAAAATAAACAGAAATGTGGTGGACCCCTCTTGGAGGCTGCCCTCAAAAGACCCCCCACCACAACCCCTCCATGCCTGGTTTCCACAGAGCCTGATACATCCTCATGGAGGCAAAGAGAAGTCCGGCCAGCAGCACACAGCCAGCTCACTGAGGCTGATTACACAATTTACCCCAAAGTTTTCATCCATGGGGGAGTGTGTGTGTGTGTGAGTGTGTGTGTGTGTGTGTGTGTATGCGCCTCATAACAAAAGCACAGAGGGCTCATTCACTCATGTCTCCTGGATCCAATTTAAGAGTCAGAGCGGGGGTCTTTCCTCAAACTATTGTCTTTGTCTTTAAGTTGCAACATCTAGGATTTATCCTCATATCCCCCTTTAAGCTTTGACTGTAAATATCGACGTCCTCAGAGGCCGTCTGTCAGGCTGTTTTTTTTTTTTATTATTATTCAACAATAACTGCTGTGATTTAGATCTCAGATTTATACCTGTGAGAAAAAAGCGCAGGGACAGAGGGATTGTGGGTAGGGGAGAGTGGGGTAAAATGATCCATTGTTCATATTTGGGATCACTACATCAAGTCAATTCTAGTTTTGTCTCTAACTAGTGTATCTGCAGATATTTCAGGATGTTCTTCATGCCTGCAAACCAACAGAATGAGTGTAAACAGAACTGTAATCTTGATAATATAGCATGACAAAAAAAGTGGTCTCCTATGGTCAACTTACCCCATGTATGTATGGGAGGGGTAAGTTGAGCTATAGCCCTACTAACTACGACCTAGAATGACCACGACTTTATTAGTCCTCTAAGCTAAAATGGTGGACTTTTATGTTAAAAAGCGTTTTAGTAAAAAAAAAAAAACATTTGAACATGAGAATGTCTTTAAGTGAAAAGAAAAAGTCAAACATTTCAACAATCTGAACTGAAACTCTGATCCTCTCATCAGACTCCTTTACTTTCTCTGTTACCCCAGAACTACTATGACGACTTTGTTAGTCCTCGAAACTAAAATGGTGGACTGTTATGTTAGTTTTTTGATGTTGTAGCTCATAGATACCACAATTGATGTATAAAACTAATTTAAAATGATCTTTTTTTGGTCTGAACACAATTCTGATAAAACTTATGACAGACTAAATTCACTTTCAAGAGTGGAAAATGTTTTTTTGGAAATAAATGTCTAACCCAGTGGTTCCCAAAGTGGGCCGTGATTGGAAGGGGGGCGTGACGAGGCTAAAAATAATGTACATTGTGTTGCACTGCTAACCATGGCAAGCGTCAGCTGACCTCCAGGAAAACACAAGGGCGACAATGACACTACATCAAAGATCAAGTACCGATTAAAACTGGACATTGAAAATGAGGTGAGAGTGCCAGTCTCATAGCTGCACCCAAGACTGGGGAAAATCTGTGGCACTAAACAAGCGCACTGTAGACATTGACTTATTTTAGGGCTGAAAGAATATATTTTTAAGATGTTACTTAAGTTTTCAAATTGTTTATCTTCAGAAATGCAGAATTAAAAAAAATATATCAAAAGGTAGTGCTGTTATTTCTACAAAAGTCTGAAGTTTCATTGAAGTAAATTGGAAAAAAATAGCAACTTGTGACAGACGGTGTGTTTTTCTATACATTTACATATTTTTCATTTACATGTTGATGTGTACAGTCAGGTGTAGGGGGGCCTGACACAATTTTTATCTGCCAAAGGGGGGCCCGGTAGAAAAAGTTTGGAAACCACTGGTCTAACCCCTCCACCCATATGCTTCTAACCTTCACAGACTCGATGATTTGATGCCCATCTTCTAGATACTTGGTCACATGATCAATTTATTTTACCATATCCATGCAACAGAGGGTGGTTCATCTTACCCAAGTCACCCCTATATTGGACGCTTTATTGACTTCTTTCAGTCATGTGTGTGGTGGAGAAGTAGCATCTGTTCATCAGGGTCTATGGTTCTGATGGTTACTATTATGTTGTTATGGTTTGAGTTCTCATCTGTTTTAGTCTCAAAATTCATCAATCGTGTCCATGCTGTTTCAACTTTAACTCACTCATACACTCATTCTTTTAGTTGTAGATATGAGACGAGAGCTGAAAACAGCTGTTAGTGTATTTGTGAATGTGTGATCATTATTATATTAGAGGTTCTTTAAATCCTTTTTGTGTTTTTCTTGCATCTTTAAAGGTGGGGTAGGCAGGATTCTGTTAAAGAAGAGTCTGTTTCTGTGGTGTATTTACAAAAAAGCTTTTAATATCAGTCAATAGTTATTAGTTATTGATGACATTTGGTAATATAACGATATTGCTGTGTTCTCTTATGTCGGTGTAGACAACATTTTAACATTTTTTGAGCAGTCCGCTCTTTCTGACTGTAAACAAAGCCGTTCTCCTTCTCCCCGACCTGATTGGTTGTGAGACAGACTCCGCACCCCCGTGTTGATCACCAGCCCAAACAAAGTTAGCGTGCTACAATATCTGGCAGTAGAAACTGACCAGAAATTTCGGAAAATTGTCCTAATCCTCCTGTGGCCACGACTGCCAACACAAGCAAGAAAACCAAGTCAATACCGAAGACTCTGGCGGAATAACGGGCGCTTCAAAGGAGGTAGACCAGACAAGAGCTAAAAAGCCGGGTCAACATAAATGATCTTGGTGACCCTGTAACCTTCCTGCTGGACAGGTAAACTGCTTTAACAAAGTAGGCCAAGTGTCTGTAACAGAAGTGTTTCTTGTCAAACAGGACCTGCTGTAGCGTGTTGCAGCGCTGCTAAACTGTTAACCTCGGGTCCTGGACTATGTCACTTTATCCTAGTTGTAGAAGTCTTGCAAACATTGTGGGCCTGATCTACTAAAATCCCAAATAGTGAGCGTTAAATTGCGTGTGCAAACTGAAACTGAAAAAAAAACTGCACATGCTATTAGTGGGCGTGTTGTGGGTGATCTAATATCATTGCGTGCGGAATTGATAATGGGTGCAAAAGTGGTGCGGACTGCTCTCTTTAAACGATGATTTTGCGTGCACTATTGGCTGTCACCATGGAGAGTTTGTGAGAGCAAAGTGTTTGAAGCCATGGAGTTGCACATATCGTATTGGGGAACTGCATAAAAGGCAAAGCATGTTTATTTGTATAGCACCATTCATACACAAGACAATTCAAAGTGCTTTACAGACACAAGAAGATATACTAGAAATCAAAAAAGGGATTAAAACTATTTAAAATCAATAAGACAAACAGATTTTTTTCCCCGTCTGTTCCTTGTTTGACCTTATCATTTATGAAAATCGTCATTTACTAGAAAAATGAAATAAATCACAAGCTTTTGGACAAGGATCATGGCGTGTAGCATGGCACTTCTGCCTCCTTCTCCCCACAATGACCGTGTGTAATGGTTTGTCAGTTTGCACGTGTCTTTCAAAGGTGCTTAATATAGACGCAAAACAGCAACTGCAATGGGTTTCCAGGTTTGATAGATCACATTACAGGTGCTTAATGATTTCAATTGCATCTGCTCCTCCCAGAATTTTGCGTGTTCTGATGATCTACATACATTCTGCATATTCATTGAAGGCAAATACGCTTAATCGATTGGACGCACTGTTTTGCTCATCTCAAACTACAACAACATACACAGGGTCTGGACATCGAGATGGTGGAGTCCTACAGATTCCTGGGTGTCCACCTCAACAACAAACTGGACTGGTCAACAAACACAGACGTTCTGTACAAGAAGGGCCAAAGTCGTCTCCACCTGCTGAGGAGACTGAGGTCCTTTGGAGTGTGCAGGACTCTGCTCAGGACTTTCTATGACTCTGTGGTAGCATCTGCACTTTTCTATGCAGTGGTCTGCTAGGGGGCAGGGAGCACCGAGAGGGACAGGAAGAGACTGAATAGACTGGTCAGGAGGGCCGGTTCTGTCCTGGACTGCTCTTTGGACTCCCTGGAGGAGGTGGGTGAGAGGAGGATGTTAACAAAGCTTGTATACATCATGGACAATCCCTCTCAACCACTGCACCAGACTGTGGGGGCTTTAGGCAGCTCCTTCAGCAGCAGACTGAGACTCCCACCCTGCAGGACGGAGCGCTACCGCAGATCATTCCTCCCCTCTGCAATAAGACTTTACAACGAACTGTAATAATAACTGGATTTACACCACCACTTTTTTTATAGCATTTAAATTGTGTATATTGTAGAAAGCTTTATTTTTTCTTCTCCCTTTTCTATTTTTTTCTTAATTATTACATTTATTTAAGTTCTTAATATTAGGACCCTTATTGTTATAACTGCATTTTTGCACTTTTTGTCTTGTCTGTGATGCTGTTGTGACAAAAAAATTTCCCCCATGGGAGATCAATAAAGGAATATTCTATTCTATTCTATTCTATTCATTAATCCCGACTGAAGCGAGCTCGCCGATGTTGAAGCTGTCACAAACCACGAGGGGGAAAGAATTGCTGAGCTGTCGCAAAGATGGCGAGTGGAGGAAGTCATGTAGTTTTTGCACATGCGCAGTACAAAATCGGGTTTCCGGGACGCAACATTTTTTTTCGTAGGACAGTAGGGGAAAATCCTGCCTCCTTTGCCTCTGATTGGCTAGAAAAGCTGGAAACGTTGTCACACTCTCAAGCCAAACGGGGGCTTTCGACTCTGTACATCTAACAGAATGTTACAGAACGTTATCGCACTTCTGAATCTCCTCATCCTAACCCTAACCCGACAGACGATGATGTTTCACAGCCATTAGGAATAATCAATCGGAGCCCAGCACTTCTAGCCGACCTTTCCCTACCATCCTACAAAAAAAAAAAAAAAAAAATTCGCTTCAGGAATGGATCAGGTAGCAACAAGCACCATGCGGTCTGATTAGATTGATATGTTTACATTTCATCTCAGTCATAGCACCCCCTTGATGCAGCGGGAATATTGTGCTAATCTTCTGAATGCAAAATCTCCAAGACCGTTGAACATCTCTGCACCATACCTGCTGCTCCTCACCCAAACATCTCCACACATATATCAGAGGTCTAACTTCAGATGGAAAACCAGGTTGTTGTGAGTGTGAGTCAGTCCACAGAAGCGAACCAACTTCGGTAAGTTGGTCAGTGTTTGTCCTCGGGCAGACACAAGCAGCAGGAAACGCTTGTTACCTGTAGACTGAGCTGGAAGTCATTACTGCAGGTCCGGCCTCAAGTGCCTGACTCATGCACACACACTCACAAACACACACACACTCATGCACATGTGTGTGCTGCAGGCGACAAGGCGATGGCGATGCTAAAGACAGGCAGGCGGGAGGGCGGAAGGAAGGATCCCTGAGAGGAACAGAGGAGGAGATGAAAGTGAGGAGCAGCAGTTAATGACAGAGGAGAGCACATCAGAAACCGAGAGGAGTCTATTGGAGTTAATAAGACTGAGCCTTGTCCGCTTGGGCCCTCTGGAGACACCAGGGGACACAGAAAGACCTGTTTCTTGTTATCTCATGGGTCCCAGAAAGGTCTGAAAGCTTTAGGTGGCACCACTGTAAAGTCAGAGTCACTTTCTCATCATCACTGACCGTTCCTGTTTTCTTCATGTTTGAATACAAAGTTACAAAAAGTAAAAAAAAACACCAGAGTGACCCTTTACTGTTGTCCTTGTTCCAGATTCTGCTCTCTACACTGAGCAGAGCCGGCACCAGAACCCGTCCTTTAGTGCCAAACTAAATAAATGACCCAGAGCCTGAAGACAGCGCTGGTTTGTTGACCTTTTCTATCACCAGTCCCTCAGGGGTCGAGTCTGGACTCTGAGCTGCTGACTCTTTGTACGGTCTGAACCCCGTCCAGGACTTCAGGGCTGGACTCCTGTTGTTGGCTAATTAAGGAGCCGGCTCGCCAACGCGCTAAGATCTCACCAAAGAGGGAGTTTAATTTGAACCACAGACTGTGTTGAAGAGAAACTCTCAGATCTTGAGTAACTGAGAATCACTCGGCCTGTGTGAGGAGTGTTTATTCCAGGAATAACAAACGGACAGTTTGTGTTTGACCGCACATCAGTTTGTGTTACAGCTCAGACAAAAGGGCACTGTTGTGTTTTGAAATCTGCTAATTAATGTTACTTTAAATGAGAGCTACCTTTCAGAAGTCCCCTGAAGTCCTCAGAGGTCTGAACATGCTGCTGCTGCTGCACAGTAATAACATCAACAGCCTAATAGGAACAATAAGAAAACAGGCACAGATGTGTTTACATAGACGTCTGGAAGCCAGTGAGATGAACTGATTGGGTCAGGATTACGAGGGCCTGTAGGCAGGATGGAGGAGGAGGAGGCTGGGTCCAAGCTGACTTTATCTGAACTGGAAATTAAACACAGATACGGCGCTGATCAGGGTCTTTATATGAGAGGAATGATCAAGCATTTCTACACTGTGAGTAAAATGTTCAAATTTGATGTGATAGCTGATTTTAAGGCATCCCTGTGGCAGCAGAACGAGCCAATGTGAAGAATAATGAGTCCTTATTACAATCTCACTGAAGTTTTCATGGGCCTGTTGACTTTAGCTTCAGTCTTCTAGCACACCATCAAGCATCTATTTAAACTGCAAAGGTGATGATATCCACTGGAATAACTGGTTTCCTCCATACCAAATAGACTAGGTACTAACCTCTCTATTGTTCACTCAGTGTGCTTCAGTGTTTTCGTTGGCTCCAGCAGTAAGTCCTTCCTGTTTGTGTGTTTGGATTTCCCATCATCCACTGCTTTAATTTCTTTCTCGGCTTTATTCTGTCCTAATGATCATGAGGAACTTTGTTCTACTTACAGTGAGGGATCATCATCCAGATTTTCCCCTATGGAGACACAATCAATGCCGAGATAATCCAGTGTTTGAAGATATAAACAGTGTTGTGCTGGTTACTGAAAAATAGTAACTAGTTACAGTTACTGGTTACTGTGTAAAAAAAGTAACTCAGTTACTGAAACCAAAAAGTAATACATTACTGAGAAAGTCACTATTTGGTTACTGTAAAACGTTCTTCCAATGCTCCCTTTACATAAAGGTGGTTTGACAAAGTTCCCCTCTAGCCGTCATTTCAGTTCTGTACTGATGCTGAATAAAACAAACCTTTGGTTAAAACAACCGTTTTAATTTATTTATATCCACATCACTGATCTAATCATCCAAGCAATAAAATGATCCGTTCTGCACCGACACAAACCTTGACACTAACACCATTGGATTCTTTTACCATTACCATTTACCATTTTACCATTGGACTCTTGGAATAATGGCCTGATATCACTAAAAAAAAGATCCAAATAAACAATTAAACATATTGTGCTATTGTTTTATCAAGTTGTGCCTGGATATGGGTCCGTCTTTCCAACTCCAACAGATGCTGCTTGGGTGGAGTGGGTGTGTGCTCGCTGCTGTGACTCTCGGTTGTGGATGCTGCGTTACCTTAGCTGCTAACTTTTCGAAGCATGCCGCTCCTCTAGGTGCTTCAGTAGATTGCTGTTGCTGTTATTCGCCGTAGAAAGGATTTTTGACCCGGGACACAGTTTACATGTTATCAAAATGTTGTTTTTCCCTTTGCTCTCGAGTTGAAAATAATGTGAGTACCTCCCTGAGGAGAAACTTATCTTTCCCTTCTCGCCGTGCCCTGACCTGTCTAGTCCTCTTCATGGCGCATGTTTGATTACGTGTCTGACGGTAGAGGGTGATAAGTGCTTAATTAATTAATTAAACTTTATTGATCGCTAAAATGTTATGGGAACTGTGTGCCGTTGTAAAGCCTCACTAAAAGGAACAGAGTAACACAACGTTTGGTAACGGAAACGGAGTTACTGAATTTAAAAAAACAACGCGTTACATTATTAGTTACTGAATAAAGTAATGGCATTAACAGCGTTATTGATAACACGTTACTACCCAACACTGGATATAATGTGATGTTTAGATTAAAGACAATAATACTGGCTTTTCTAAAAGTTACAAAAGAGTTGAGACAGTATGTAAAATGTGTACGACAACAAATTTTTGAGGTTTGAAAATTATTAAAAGCTTATATTTCAGTTAGATACAATGGTGCAAAGATAATATATAAAATGCTAAACTGAAAAGTTTTATTGTTGTTTCTTTTAAAGGAGGGACCGAGATGACCAAAAAGGTAAAACGAGGTTCCAGCATGTAGAGAAATCCAAACTCTGACAGATATTTAAGGTTTGCTGTGATTGGACCACCACTGTTTGCAGAGGGGGAGGGGTGGTCCAACAATTCCTAAATTGAGGCGATTGGGATGTTTCACATCAGAGATGATCTGAAATGTAATATTTCCCAGAGTCCTGCACTCATGTGATTATGCACTTAAAGACCACCTGGGAGGGCTGCAGGTCACTCCATGTGAACTCAAGTCATGCATTCAGCACTGAGTTACTACACACACACACACACACACACACACACACACACACACACACACACACACACACACACACACACACACACACACACACGTTGTAAATCCCTGTAGAAAAACAGGTGATTCGGACCTCAGTGTGTGTGTCATGTTTTTCCTTAATAGAAAGCACTTAAATGCCGGAGCAGTCTCTTAAAGTAATTATTCTTGGAGAGAGTCTCTGTTTGCAGAACTCACATCATGCTCTCTCTCAGTGTAATCCCTTCATTTCCCTCTGAACAACAACATGTGGCATGTTACGGACAGGGACAGAAGAATTGTGGGTAGAGGAGAGTGGGGTAAGATGATCCATTTTTCACATTTGGGATCACTACATCAAGTCAATCCTAGTTCTGTCTCTGACTAGTGTTTCTGCATATATTTCAGGATGTTCTTCATCCCTGCAAACCAACAGAATGAGAGTACACAGAACTGTCTTAATAATATAGCATGACAAAAAAAGTGGTCTACATTCATGTGTATTTTTATCTATTATACACTATTCAACTGGTAGAATCATTCTTTTTATTATTATTGCATATAGCTGCTAAAAAGCGTTTTAGTAAAAAAAAACATTTGAACATGAGAATGTCTTTAAGTGAAAAGAAAAAGTAACACATTTCAACAATCTGAACTGAAACTCTGATCCTCTCATCAGACTCCTTTACTTTCTCTGTTACCCCAGAACTACTATGATGACTTTATTAGTCCTTGAAACTAAAATGGTGGACTGTTATGTTAGTTTTTTGATGTTGTAGCTCATAGATACCACAATTGATGTATAAAACAAATTTAAAAGGATCTTTTTTGGTCTGAACACAATTCTGATAAAACTTATGACAGACTAAATTCACTTTCAAGAGTGGAAAATGTTTTTTTTTTTGTAAATAAATGTCTAACCCCTTCACCCGTGTGCTTCTTATCTTCACAGACTCCATGAATTTATGCCCATCTCCTCAATATTTGGTCACATGATCAATTTCTTTGACCATTTCCAAGAAACAGGGGGGTGGCTTAACTTACCCTTTGGCTCAACTTACCCCACTCTCCCCTACATATACAGCACTTCTCAATGTGAATAATCATTGATAAGTTTATATTTTATAGTAATTGTAGTTACCACTAAGGAAATATTAAGCAATAAAGAGAAATACATTGAGTATTTTTCTCATTTTAACAAATGTCCCTTTAAAAAACTAACAAAACTTAAGCTTAACGATAATCCTTTCTGAGGTCCTTTCTTCCAGCAGCCATAAACCGTTTATCAAAACCTGAGTCAAGGACCTGTGCACCTCAGCACTATATACAGTACATATCGCACTGCTAGCACTACTGCATTTATTGTACTTTTTATACTGGTTTTATAGTGGTTTTAACTGATTTTACTGTACTTGGCTGGTCTGCAGAGGTGCACATGTTGTTGTTGCCTTTAGTAGTGTACTGTGTGAGAGTCTGTGAGTGGCGTGACTCCTGAATTTCCCGACTGAAATTAAAAAAGTTTCTATCTATCTATCTATCTATCTATCTATCTATCTATCTATCTATCTATCTATCTATCTATCTATCTATCTATCAGACAAATAATGTAAATTATTACTTATATCTATAAATCTGACAAATAATGTACATTAATACTTATATCCTTTTATCCTTGTCTAAATAACTCTGTTTCCCAGCCTGTAGGTTTTTTTGTAGGATGGTAGGGGAAGGAGGCGGGGCCTTCCTCTACCATCCTACAAAAACAAAATGGCCGCCCCGCCCTCCTCTCAAGTATTTGCTGTGTCCCTTAATGATGACGCAAACACCAACTTCACCGGCTCGGTTTGGAGTTTTCAGGTCTAAATTCTGGACTTTACCCCACTAAACACACGCTGGGCGAGACAAGGTGAAGCTTTAGGTGAGAGAGAATCACGAATTTTTATGTTGGACGTTTATATGAATGTTTGTACGTTTAGTGTGTCACGTGTTTTCTCCAGCTTGTGTTTACAAACAGCATGCTAATGCTAACGTTAGCTCTCAGAAATACTTAAAAACCAAACCAAACGGGACTTTAGTGGCTGCTGGGGGAGTTCTTATGTGATTAAAATATTAAAATATGTCATTATCAATAAAATACATGCACTTAAATATGATTTTTTACTAGAGTTTAATCATAAAAAGTGAAAGTAAACTTCCAAAGCTCTTGTATGAGAAGATATTACACATTAATATTTAGAAAAACAGTTTCAGCTCCATATTAATGTCACTATTACATTAAAATCTTTAAATCAAAATCACATTAAAATCTGTTTTAACTGAACATCTTCTCACAGGACAGTCCAAACTCTGAATGGATCCTAAAATTGGAGTGTAAGGGGTCAGAGAGTCTCTGAGGTTTTAAGAAGAGGACAAACTGATAAAACTCTAAATATTAAATATTCTGTACATTTCTGCTCCAGCTGAAGATTTTAGCCGCCCATCTTTACATCAGTCACGGCATGATATTGTTGCATCTGTTTAAAATATTGATAAGTGGAGCTCAGTCCTGCATTAGTCTGTTTAAAGACCACATTATCACTTATCCACTAGCAAGTCCCTGAACATTAAGATCTGAACAGATGTCAGGATTTAAAGGAAAACATTCCCCTTCAGAGCTGCTGTCACATTTCTGCCCCTGATCAGCTTTAATGATGTTTAAAGTTTAATCTTTTTACTGTGGAACCTTCAGCAGGGCTGGGTGATCTGGGAAAAAGTTGATCACAACATATTTTTTTTAGAATACCTCTGCGACAGTGCTGATGTAAAACCTCGATTCCCTCTGTGTTATAGCTTGGACTTTAACAGGGCATGAAGTTTTTCTCAGGGACAGGAATCTCATTCTTAATACTGAATCTTGTTGATGAATTAGTGTTAAAGTTGTGACTTAGATGTGTCGATGATTGACTTAATTTAATCTTTGATTTATTGACCATTTTTGTTTATCGTCTCAGGCTCCATAGAGGCTTTAAAAAGACAAGGAGTTTATAGTACTTTTATTTATTTAGTTGTTTGGTGATTTGCGACAGCCTGTTCATGACAGGCAGTGATAAATTTTGAATTAGTAACATGTGTCCTCTGTATTTCTGTGACTGAAATCTATTCAATCATTTAAAAAAAACAAAAAACATCTGGATAGAAAACAGATGAGCTTCTCTGCTCAGGCCTTATGCGAGAACAACAGTTATGTAATTGTTAAAGATGGGTTTCTCCTCACTGCCGTTTGGTCGTGTAATGACCAAAGTGAAAATGATGACTTCAGCTTCACGCAAACGTGTCATCAGGGCCATGTAAGAACTGTAATGCTCTAATACAAAACCTCTCATTAGCTGTAAGTACAGGCTGAGCAGAGTACAGCAGAGAAACTCAGACCTCAGTTAGCCCATACTAATGACCGTCCACTGCAGCGTGCTAACATCCTCACAGAGCTGACACATGTTCCAGCAGAGCACAACAGCAGCTCCATCTTTAACAACATCCTTTAACACCACCTGCTTCAACACTAAACACACACTCACTTCAAAACACCACACAGTCTTTTCCAGCATTTCAAGTCCTCAGCACCACAGGAAGAAGATCTGCAACTACATTTATGCAACATGAGTGGAGATCAGAAAGGATTTTAAAGTTCAAACTGCATTTTTTAGAGATTGAAATACGTTTATTCACTTTAAACAAAAAGGCGGTAAAGTGTGTTGACGTGTTTACTAGGGGTGGGAGAAAAAATCGATACAGCATAGCATCGCGATATTTTGGCGGGTGATACATCAGTGTTCCCCTGCATTCATTGAATTACGTGCGCCGCTACTGAAATTTCACATGATCATTCATAACAATGCACCACTAATGGTTTCTACTTGCACTGTGTGAGCACAACAACACACAACGTTATTTCAGACTTGTTTTGAGTCGATTACTGTAGGGCTGCAACTAACGATTATTTTGATAATCGATTAATCTGCCGACTATTTTAATAACTAATCAATTAATCGGATAAACAGGCTAAATTCATCAATGCAGCTGTTAATAGCAATAGCATAGGGCTTTAGTTTATCATATGAGTTTATCTGCCATGAGGTGTTGAAGCCTCTGCATGTGTAGGTTACTGACTTACTGTAATCATCGGGTCTTTCTCGTCCTTATAAAAACCTGCTCTATTTCGGCGAGTGTCTGTCTTCTTCTGTAGTCAAACTGCAAGATATCAAAAGCTACCCGGATACAGCAATGCTGCTTTTTGATTGGCTGTTCAGTAGATATACTTTATTTGATTGGCTTGCGCGTGGCACGCAGCTTCTGAACTCTCGGAGAAACTCAGTTGATTTCCCCCTGTTCCATAGTTAAAGAGGTGCAACTTGGTGGACATCACCGTGTTCATTTAAATGCGTGAGAAATACAATGTGTGGTGTGTGAGCGTGTGAACGAGTGGGAGTGCGTGTGTCATCCGCTGAATGCGTAAGACTTGAGAGCCCTGTGCTCACGCATCATTGATGTACTCCCGTGCCATGCAAAACGGGCTTTGCAAATGTTGCACTGAATGCCTTCCTTTTCGGTCTTGGTAAAGTTTTCCCACACCACTGATGTTTTAGGTCGGGATTTGGGTTGGGTTGTGTCCATGTTTTTCTCAGCCGCTGCCTCGGCCATGGCTGTTTCTTTTCTGTGCGTCCTGCTGATGTTTACACGCCGGTGTCCATGGACATATATAAAGACCCGACGAATCGATTACAGAATTAGTTGGCAACGAATTTTTTCGTCACGACGAATCGACTTAATCGATTCGTTGTTGCAGCCTTAGATTACTGATTAGTCTCAAACAGGCTAAAATTGACCAATTTGATCAGCTCACTGATAAATCCATCGGGCCCTATAAGGTTTGCAAGATGTGCTGAAAATAAAATACAGCGTAAATAAGACAAACATTAAGGAAAGACAAAAGTGAAATTAGCTAAACAGTTGAAAAATTGTATAAACCACAATATATTGTATCATAATACTCATTGTAATGCAAAATGTTTAAAATCGTAATAATATCGGATCGTGGCCCAAGTATCGTGATAATATCGTATCATGGGGCCACTCATGATTCCCACCCCTGGTGTTTACGGCGTATTTGGAGTGTAAAGTAACACAGTTAGAAAACAATGGCTCATTTTTCAGTCTGTAGATCAATTTTATTAGAAACTGGAGGATCTGAACTCGTTTCTTCTTGTTTTTTATCATTATGTAAGAGCCAAATATGTTGATATGATACCATATTATGAGTTCACTTTGGTTGCCTTGGGTGTTGCTGTCTTGTCGTCTGGGGGCTCTGGAATAAAGGTCATCATGTCACTGTTGTGGGCAGGTGTTTGACCCGGAAGGGCAAAAGGTCTTTGACTGTTGTGGCGCTAACTGCCGGCATTTTCCTTGTTCGTTTAGTGTTGGATATCAATAGCAAAATGGATTTGGTTATGTTCATCGCAATACATTTTTTGTTTGCTGAATCTGACGAACAGACGGACTTTCAATAATCATCACAACTCATGGTAAAACTCAGTCGCGCGGCGCGCCAACCAGGTTATTCTGGGTCAAGCATCTCAGTAACGTTAAGTATTGACTTAGCTCCTACACATTAGTTCGAACAGGTTATTCAGTCTTTTCATGAAATGTCCTCTGTAGAGACTGAATTTTCACTCGACCCTAAACAAAGTCTCTCACTATTAAATCCATTAGCACTCAGTGGATCCCGCTCGTTCTGTCCCTTAGCTTTTCAGGCATTCTCCCTCTGCTCCTCTCCCTGCTCTCCTCGCTCCTGCTCCTCCCTGTTTAAGTTATCTGGTTATAGATAAATAATAGTCACACTTTTTTACAGCATTAGCATCAGTTTTGTTCCTGACGGTTTAGCTAGTTTCAGTCCTGAGTGATGTTTTCCTCAAAAATTGACCTTCTCCTTGTCGTTCCCGGTGTAGAAAGCTTTAAAAGAAGACTCTTTGTGAGTCTCACCCCAGCTCTGTGTGTAGTTGTTAAACCCTGATTGTGTAACTACTGTTTGGGGGAGCTGACATTACCTTATCAGATTATTCGAAGGGGTTTTATAATTTAATGCCACATCTCTTGCTCCAGCTGTATACCAGCTGACAACAGGAAGGCCTTGTGTGTTTTGACTCCTGGGGGGCTCAGAGGTCTCTTCAGGCCAGACCTTATGAGGTCTGTGATGGTTTACAGATCCACTTTGTAACTCAGACCTTAAATATGTCTTCTATTCTCTGGATGAAACAATGGCTCACCCCCCCTGCTAAGGCTGTTGACAGATCATTAGCCTCATAACAGAGCGGCGGCTGAGGAGCCGAACCCTCACTCAGGAGGCTCTCTTGCTCTCCTCCTAGTAGCTGCTGTTTTCAGACTGACACTTTAAAGCCTCGGTGAGTGAGCAGAGGTGAAGTATTAGCTGGCACGTGAGCTGCAGGCTGTGACACATGCAGAGACCATGAGGTGAGAGCAGCTGGAGCTGTTAGGACAGATCTACAGCAGGTCTGAGGAAAGTAGAGGGATCAGGACTTTACAGGAGTTGATTATTTTTCAGTTTTATAGTAAACTGGAGGCAGAAAATTAAGTAAATACCATATACTTTAATTTATAATAATTTATGATAATAAAATATATGATAAAAGTTCTGACTGACTTATTGAAACGTACCCACATCTCATTGTAAATGAAGTAACCTGGTTAGGAGCCTCATCTCTGTTACGAACATATGAGCCTGGTTTTTCACACCTCTGTGTAATTGATATTCATACCAGGATGATTAAAAACAATTACCCATGATTGAACATCTGCATCACATCCATTTAAACCACTTTAAAACCTAAAAACTCTGAACAGGAAGTGAGAAAAAAATGGTCTGTCAATCAATCAATCAATCAATTTTTATTTGTACAGCCCTTTTCATACAGGACCATGTAGCACCAGGGTTGGGTATTGTTTGATTATGAACGATTCTGAATCTGAGTCTGATTCCTCTTTTCGATTCTGGTTCCTAACGATTCTCGATTCTGATTCTTTTAAAAGAAAGGATATTAAAGAAAAAAATGTATGGTTTAAATGAGGGCGCTAATTGAAGTTCTTCTTTTTGGATGACATTTTTGAACTCCTCCGTGAATTTTTAAATTATATTAACTTTTTAAGAACTTTACTATGAATTTCTCACAGGACGATTTTCAACCAGTATATTAATATCAGTTTTTGTTGTCAGGTCGTTTGTCTATGAAAAAGTACGAGGGCTAACGTTAGTTGGATATTTAAGTTAACCCACCGTACACAGTACAATTTGTTTGCCTCTTCAATGTTAGCAAAAGACAGAAGTAATTTATTGTTTTACTTCTCTGATTCTGACTGGTTAGTGGGAGACCGGCGAAGCCTGTCAAATATGGGCACTCAGGTTTTTCTCCTCCATGAATCCTGAGGTGTTTAATCATGTTGGTCATTCACCCTCCTTTACATGATATAACTGTGTTGCTAATGTTGCACTGAGATAAGAGTTCATTCTTCCTGCTTAAGTTAGCCAAACATAAGCTTCATCCTCATTGGTGTTCGGCGGCTATTTCTTCCGGTCGGCGGACTCCAACATCGAAATTTGGAATCGAAATTTTAAAAATTTGAACGATTCCGTGAGAATTGGAATGTTAGTCCCGGTCCCCATCGATGCTCAAGAGTCAATGCCCAATCCTATGTAGCACAAAGTGCTTTAGACAGAAAAAGGAATAAAAGAAACAAAGAATACCCAAATTTACCCCAACCCAACCCCTCATTCCCACCCCACGATCTAAACTTAACAGAAACCGTATTAAAATGCATCAACTTAAAAGGGGCTTGATTTCGTGGAAACAGGAATGTGCGCACTGAGGAAACGCCATTTAAAAACTCAGGATAAGGAAACACTGGAGGTTTAAAATCGAAAAACAAAGTAACATAAAATGAAATTGAAGAAATAATAAAATGAAATAAAAACAAGAGTAAAAGATACTAAAATAAGAGCACCAAAATAGCTCAATAAAAGATGATCCTGTCATTTAAACTAGAAACAGATAAATGCTAAAACATTTAAAGTGAATAATATACAATTTAGTTAAAAGTAAAACTAAAAAGGTACGTTTGCTTTTTAAATCATCAAGATTGGTTTCAGTCTTCAGGTCTCCAGGTAAGCTGTTTCATAGACGGGGGCCATAGTAATAAAAAGATGCCTCACAGTATGTCTTGGTTTTAGCTTGAGGTAATGTTTACAGAGAACTTCCTGAACACCTGAGGGTTCGACCTGGCTCATAAGGTAAATAAGATGGGCCAAAGCCATTAAGAGTTTTAAAAACCAATAAAACAACCTTAAAATCGATTCTAAAAGAGACGGGTAGTCTACCTCTCATTTACTGTTCTATTCTGTCCCTTGGCTTTACAGACTCTTACGACTGTTGCTGCTTTATTCAGCGGATCACCTGGTTATTCATTTACCTGGTTTCTAATTATTATTTTTTTTGGCTATAGGGATGCACATGTCAGTGCGTGAAGTCTCAATCCCGTCGGAGCCTGACTCCTCCTACTTCCTGCGTGTTGACTGCAAGGGGCAGAGCTTACGTTCAGGCTTCAAGTTGCTGCTGACTGACGGGCAGGACGCCTGGAGAGGAGAAGGTACAAACATCATCCGGCGTGGACTCACAACTCTTCATGTCATGTTTTAAGCCAGCAGTTTCATGCTGGACCACCTCACCTGTTTGACCACACACACCACTGTTGTTTTCGTCATATTTCGTCAAATATTTTCGTCAACGCCAGCGTCAAAAAAGGGAAATATTTTCGTCAACCAGAACAACACTGGTTGTTTTCGTTGACGAAAATATTTCCCTTTTCTTCCACGACGAAGACGTTACGTTGACGAGCTAAACATAAGTCGGAGATGACTAAAATGTGACGAGATGAAAGTGCGTTTACGTTGATGCGACGAGACAAAAATGACGAACAGAGTTGCAAAACTCAGTCAGTTAAACGCTAAACATATAGGAGCAGCTTCAGTCCGCTCTGACAGCTCTCATCAGCCTGCTGTGCTCCTCTAACACAGACACACACACGCGCGCGCACGTGGAGCTTTGTTTTCGTTGACGATGACGTTGACGAAATTATTTTCGTCAACGTCATGGTTGACAAAAACAACACTGACACACACACACACACACACACACACACACACACACACACACACACACACACACACACACACACCTGTCCGTGTTCACCTGGTGACCTTCAGAGTGTCTGTTGTTGACCTTTCAGCTGCGCAGAGAAAGATTTATTACTCTGAATCCTCCTGAACAGATTCAAACTTTATACCTGTCTGTAACGGTGCTCTGCAGGACTCGTCTCAATATCCCTCCTTTTTCTTTTTAACTGAATGAACATTTCTAACCTGCTCAGTGAGAGACTCATATATTTATTTTCATCAAATTAAGGCATCATGATGGTTATTTTTTGACGTAAAGGGAAACAAACTCTTTATTTTGATCTTGATCTTCACATTTTACTTCAGTTCAGAGTTTCACTGTCCCTCAGAGGAAAATTTGATTTTCAGATGGTCGTATAAGAACTGTTAAAAACACTCAATTTACAGAAACATGATGCAGTGCAGTGATGAACAACTAGCATTACTATTTAAGAGTAATAAAAAAATGTCAATAAGAATAATGATGTCTTTAATTTTCTGGTGGATTAATCTGTAAAATAAAACCATCCAAGTCATATCATCATGGCAAGAACTGAGTCTAATTCAATCCCCGTCGGCCCATTTTTGCACATCTCAAGTATAGGGAAGTAGTTTGTAAGTAGTCGGTGTGTTTACATGCACAGCTTAATCGGACTAAGCTCATAATTCGTTTTTTTTTTGCCGAATCAGACTTCTCTCCTTATCGTATACATGCAGCTGAGAAAATTGAATTATTGATGTGAACGTGTCCTCCTCCCCAAAACTAGGGGGCGATATGGGTCTTTTCAGCAGTGCTGTTTCTGACCCCATACAACCGTCAACAACAACAGCAGTGGAGTTCTCTGACTCCAATCAGAGTTCTCAAACTCTGATTATAGTCGGACTAAGGTGTTTACATGCACTTCAGTTGTCAGGTCTTAGTTGGAGTAAGCCGATAATACGGTTTTCTCGAGTCTCATGTAAATGTACTGAGTGATTGGCATGTTGTGTGATAACAGTACGCCCTGAGCTCATCAAAGTTAACAGAAGTCCATGTCAGCGGTTAAATTCTCAGTCTAAATTGACACATTTTTCCACACTGTGTTCGGTATTTCTATGTTTTTATGCTCAAACTCTTTGGTCGAGTCTGCAGTCCCTCCTCTGAATAACCCAGAAATCATGTATCGACACATAAAGTCTCCTTAACTGTAAGACTGAGGACTTAGATCATTCTCGGTCTGTCTGTGGTTTCACCTCCTGACAGGCTGCACCTTTACTCACAGACTGAGAACTAATTGATAAATGAATTTATTTATATTTTGAGTTTACTGCCTTTTTTTCTGGCCCACTCAAAGAAGTACTCTGGTTAATTTGTCACATCTGTTATGGTTGGACGTTCCCTCTCCATCCAGCTCATCATATCCTGTTTCGATCCGTCAGGCTTAGAGTGCACAGTGCAGCTCTGAGTAGCAGAGAGTGGAGATGCTGAGAGTAAATCTCAGTCACATTAACATGAAGAGAGCCGGATCAGACTGTATAGAGTAAGGCTGCACGATATTGGAAAAAACTAACATTGCGATTTTTTTCAACTCTGTGATATATATTGCAATATTAAAAAATACAGGAATTTTCACCAGATGACCTGAATAACACTTGATGTGATGCTGCACTGCTGAAATTTTGAGGACAGTTAACCTGCACTGATCTTACCTCTTTTTGTGAATGTTAGTAGAATGGTTTTTGTTTGTCTCAGAGATATTTTTAGCTTTTATTGTGCTGGGACGTTATTGTGGCAACAGATAAACACAGAACACGTTTTAGTTGACATCCATCTTGTAACCGAAATAATTCCAGATAACTGACTTTCCTTTTCTTTTTGGCAACAAGTCTTCATCTTCTGTGGTTTTCTCTGTTTGTTGCTCAGTTTGCGATCGTTGTTGTTGTAACCGGGGTGCTGAGAAACGCATGTCCTCTGAGAATTGCATGCACCTCACAAAACGCGCACTGCTTGTAGTAGAGTGGTCCACCGAAATGTACAATTTAAAACCCATACAGTTCTTATTTGTTGGGTTAAACAGTGATGAGTAATGTTCCAAAAGTAATTCTCAGCGGACACGCGTTTCTCGGCTCAACTCCGGTTGCGGCAGCGACTCACTCCATGTGCAGAACATGTGCAGGGGTGGGTTTCCTCCTCTCTGATTTTGATTGACAGCTGGCAGGGTAGTCTGATCGGCAACTGAGTAAAGAACGAAGGTGATTGGTGGATCGCTGCACAGCACATGTAGAGTCACATGCAGTGTATCTCAGTCAGTTACCCTTGAAATTTACTGAGTTCATTCACCTCCGACATTGCAAGCTCTGCGATGTGACTATTGCGCACACGTAAATCGCGATGGCGATGCTCAAACGATATATTGTGCAGGCCTAGTACAGAGATGTTCTGAGGCTCATCCTCTTGGTATCTGTCTCTGCAGTGAGTGAAGCAGCGGTACAGGAGGAAGCTGAGGAGCTGGAGATGCAGACTGAGCGCTACATCCAGGACCTCCAGCAGGCTCTGACTGAGAAGGACTCCTCCTCCATGTACAGCTTCAGCCTGACGCCGTCTTCACCCACCGGCAGCTCCTCCGTCACTCTGGCGTATGAGAAGGTCCAGAAGGACATCTGTGTGAGTGAAGCTCAGAGTCGCTCAGATAACCGATCGATGTTTATTTAAATTTCCCTCGGGTCAAAGGTTAATTCAAGAATGCAGTCCTGTGTTTGGACTTTGCAGGATTATCACTGAAACATGAGTTAATTGTTGACTTTTCAGTCGTGTTCAGAGGTGTCGATGGTCACATGACGTCAGCACCGTCTCTCTAATCCAGCTCCGATGTTTCAAACTCCAGAGAAAAATCAGTTTTTATTTCCAGACCGAGTGGAGGAAGTGATGAATAGAGTGTGAAACTGGAGTCATTTCTCACCTTCAGCTGCTGCTAGTCCAGAAACTTCTTCAAACTGACCCAATACAAAACAAGCAGATAATAAAACCATGTGCTCCACATCTGTGGACACCCTTAAAAGAGAAGTGTTTGAGATCTGAGTGATTCTGTTATATCAGAGTATAAACATCCACAGCTGCAGACAACTGTTCACAAATCAGCACTCAGGTTTTCAGGTCATTAATAAACATGTTTTAACTCTGGTCTCTCCAAAGGGTTTTAGGGCTTTAATTTGGATTGGATAACGTCAGCAGGAAGCTCTAATGCAGACTGTAATGACTGCAGTACGTCCTTTATAGAGATACAACAATATGCATATGAACACTCATGATAGCTGCCTGTGTGAGACTGTTGCATCGGCTGCACAAATCCTTAAGAAAGAACACAGCGCAAACATGAGATTATGTAATCTGCACATGGAGGCAGAGAAGAAGTGACAGGAGCAGGAATAACAGTGAGAATAATAATAATAACTTTATTTATACAGCACTTACTAAACAGGGGGTGACAGCTGACACACAAAACACAGAAGAGTCCAAATAGATTAAACCAAATGAACTTGAAGCAGTAAGAGCAGGAGCTAAAGACAGAAAGGAAAAAAAATGGTCAATATTAGTGCTGGGCGATATGGGAAAAAGTTTATCACGCTACATTTTTTTTTCATATCAGTCAATATCTATATATTTACATAAAAAATGAAATGTAACAGTGTTTATCGGTAGCATGTCCTTTGCAATACAATAATCAACTGCATCTTTGTGTCTCTTTGACGTTTTGTCGTAAGGCGTTGCTCTAGAGAAAGGTCGGCTGTTTCGGCTGCATGGGCGCCATGGGCTCCTTGCTCCTCTCGGGGTTTGTAACCTTTTGAGTTGCACGTGCTCTGCGGCGCGGTGCTGCTTCAGGTGGTGAAAAAGATTTGAGATATTCCCCGACTTTGTGAGAACATGTACTCAACATAATTTGCAGTTCACATTACTCTGCTTCATATCCGAGCTCAAAAAAACAAAATACCTCCACACCACCGACGTTTTCATGCCAGTGTTGTCGACGATGTCGTCATCTGTTGAGCCTTCATGGTCATTTCTGTCAGGGGGTAGCACTCATGTTCTTTTTTTCTCACCAACAGTGCTGTCGGCTTCACCTGTTAAAGTGCTATGCTTGTGTGTAGCTGCTGTCTGCTATGACGCAGTTGTTTGATACTTGGTTCTAATTCAGCACATGATTGGTTCAGTGCAAAACGGACCCAGAGCAACTCCCCTTTTCATTGGCTATTTGTATAGTCTACCATAACGTGGCAGAATGCCAAGCATATTGACCATGTTTTATATTAATATTGAGGGAAATTAGTTTTCAATATTTTTCGGTATTGTTATATCGCCCAGCCCTAGTTAGCATCTTTCAAAATTTCAAACAGCCCAGGGTTCAACTGTGGCAGAGAGATTTAAAGACAGGCTGATAGCCCAAGTCTGCTACTGTCCACACCTGCGCGATGTCTCGTTTCTGCACAGGAGCAAGCGTGTCTGGAAATATCAATATATGCACATGCAACATGTCTGCAGAGCTGGAGGCTGCAGTTTTAGGACCGCAGCTCTGGGATTGCATCTTTTGGGCTAACTTCAGGGTCTCACTTCCAGTCCATCAGCCTTCTTTACACTAACCCCCATTTTCCACTGAATCTGGAACAGCTACGAAAAGGCTGTATCTGCCGATCGTAGCTGATTGTCACCATTCAAGTTAACGTGTCAATTTCCACCGGCTTCTTTCTGTTCCGCTGCTGATTGCCGGACTCCGCAGCTGATCGCAAGAGTTCTATTTTTTCCGAACACCGGAGCATGCCGGATAAATTCAGCACAGATTAACCCGTGCTGGAAAGGAAGTCGGGCACAGACACAAAATAAAACATCCAGCTTCTTTTCAAAATAAAACACTCAGGATGTTTCAGGAGGATTACACACCATGCAGACGGGTGGAGACAAACAAGTGAAAGGTTTTTAGACGTCATTTCACCCCGATGACACCATGAATGAGGAGATGCTGATTCTAGAACTCTAGAAGTAGATTTCCTCCTCTGGAAGGACACAATCTACTGCTTATGCCTATGTTGCTGTCTTTATGGAGACAACTCATTGCGTGATTGCACGTGAATCTGCGGGTTCTTGTAAGTTCTTGTGATTTCTGCTGTCCAAAATCCACCACGAAATTTGCCTCACCAACGGATCTTGTAGGAATTGGCGGATGGCGAAAATCGCCACCATACTGGATCGGAGCCGTTCCGGTTGCGGTTGAAATTGGGGGTAAGAGTTGTAGAGTTGCAGTCCCAGAATTGCAGCCTGTGGATCTGCAGTAAGACAAATTTTAGTGCTTGACAGTGAAAACCGACCAGTGTACCTAAACTTAAAACGATTGAGACAGTGACTCACAGATTCTTCTTCTCCTTTCCCTGCTGTCCTCGTTAAATTTATATGACAAACTTTATGATAACATTGTGTTGGAGGCTGGAGTAACTATTTAAAACTCAAAAGTCACACAGAGAAAAATACCGACAAATAAAAACGTCAGTTTTTGGTCTAAACGTGTTTTCAGACACATAGAACAACAACCTGAGCCCGTCAGTGGAAAACTCTGATTGGATGGGTTCGTATGAAGGGATTGTATTGCGGCAGTTACAGCCTGTATTCCATGTGGTAACTGCGGGGCCAAATCGGAGCCTTCTTGGACCTGTTAGACCTCGACGTATGTAAAAGTCATGGAGTTCCCCTGTAGTTCATCGGATCTGTTTCGACTTTATTTTGCCAGAAAACAGAGTGAACCTGATGGTGTGAAGCAACAGACTGAATAATCCAGCTCAGGGGTCAGCCATGTAAACAGGCGCCCTCATGATGGAGATACAAAACCCCCGTTGCCATGGCAGTTATGACAGAGTGGAAAGAGAAGTGTGTGGTGTTGCAGCAGAGAGGAAATGAATCGACACTTCTGTTTGAGAAAAACGAGTCAGAAAAAGTGGATTTACAGAAGTGTTTGGGGTGTTTCTTTTGCAACATATAAAAACAAGCAGTAATTCATCTGTCATAAAGTTATGAGTCATAATGAAAGGCTGGGAACTAATGCCGCCTCATTCCCCTCTAATCGCACAACGCCTAAAGAGACCAGAAGTGAGACTCGGACAGGTGTTACCTGAGGTGTAAGCATACCAAAGCTGTGTGCTCTCACTCACTGACTCTGCTACCGTCAAGGTCCCGTCAGGATTGTTTAGGTCTCGTTCAGACATTTGGTTTGAATGACGTTTAGTGTGTTTCACAACCTTTCCTAAATTTTATAGATTTGAAAACTTATTCTCATGGCTGTTGGAGTATTGTGCAGAAAAATCACAGTCAGATGTTCACAGCGGTTACATAAACAAAGAAACACAACACATCTCTCACTGGAAACAAAGTCAACGTCTTCATTGTATTCCGCACTCACACATTTGCGTTTGGCTGAACAATAAAAACAGAACAAGAAAAAAAACCATCCACTGTACAAAACAAGCACATTAAAAACCATTATAAACAAAACAACATCAGTGGAAACGAGCAGCCCTGTGAGGGCGGGTTTACCGCTAACAACAGCATGTTGAGTCTCCCACGTTATCAAAGCTCACTCTCTTATGCAGGGGTCTCAAACTTAAATGAGCGGGGGTGGGGGGGGGGACCTGCTGGAACTGTCATCTCAGTGGGGGGCCACTTCAGTGTTCAAGACAAGTACAAAAAAAACCGAACAAAAAAAACACGAATATTACTGAAAACGGGGGTTTATTAATAGTGTGTAATAATATTAAAAAATATTAAATATACAATATTCTCTGAACCAGCGCAACCAGTCCATTTTTTTGCCAGTCATGGGCGGTGCACCATCGGTTTTAATACCCACCAGTCTGTTCCACTGCAGACCAAGCCCACAGTTGCTGAAATAAATCTTTTGCTTTCATGTGGCCATGCATCGGAAACACACTCAGCAACTCTTCTGTCACCTCAAACCTGTCATCCACACCCCTGATGAAAATTGCAAGATGAGCATTGCCAGTTGCATCAGCACTTTAATTAAGTGCCACTGAGAATACAGTGAAACTTTTTGCTTTGTCCCATCACTATTTATAGATATCCAATCCAATCCGCTTGATTTCTATATCACATTTTAAAAAACATTCAAGTTAACCAAAGTGCTGCACAGTAGAATTGAAAGAACAAACACTGCAGAAAACATCAAGATGAAATAAATAAAAGCAGGTAAAAAAACCATTTAAAATTAAAATAAATGAAACAAAAACACAAAAGCAGAAAAGAAATAAAAGTAATAAAAGGACCATAAAAAGACACAAAAGGACAGAGATCACACAACTCTCATGCTGAGCTAAAAGCCAAGGAAGCTTTAAGACATGATTTAAAAGTAGAAAGAGTGGGGGATGTTGTAATCCCAAGTGGCAATTCGTTCCCCAATTTGGGAGCCGCAGCTGAGAAAGCTCAGTCGCCACAGGTTTTCAAACAAGTTTTAGGAACGACAAGTTGGAGCTGATCAGCAGACCTCAAGGAACGTGTGGGGGTCTACAGATTTAAGAGGTCAGAGATGTTCTGTGGTGCTGATCTGTCTAAGGGTTTAAAAACAAACAATAAAATTTTAAGACGAATTCTTAAATGAACAGGAAGCCAACGGTGGGACACCAGAATCTGAGTGATGTGATCATGTTTTCATTTACCTGTTAAAAGTCAAGCAGCAGCATTTTGGACTAACTGTGAGTGTGCGAGGGAAGCCAAACCATCGGGTAGCAAACAGGAAAAAATGTCAAGGCTTCAGCAAAGACCGGAGGGATGATCTTCTTGGGATCACAAATGTCTGTGTCACTTTTTAGTTTACAGTCTCATATTTACAGTATTAGCATTAAGTGAAAACTGAAGGTCTCCTTAGATTCTGGGGTTTATCCTCTGGAGAGCGGCAAAAATCTTTTGTCAATAAATTCGATCACAGCTGAGATGCGTCTAAAGTTTAGTGTGTCTAAAGTCGGCAGAAGGAGAAAAATATGAGGGGTTAATCCAAGACCAAAGGGGTTTGTCCTCATTGGACTATGAATGTTGGTACGAAATGTAAATATGCAATCTCAAAAACCTGTTGTTGGTCCTTGGGAAACATGAACGTCAAGTTCAGACATGAGAGAATTTGTTCTTAGGGATGTGAATCTCCAGCATGGAGAAAAGGAAAAGTCATGGTGTCGCTGAAGTTAGTTTGGTTCATCTCCCGGGGACCATGAATGTCCACCTCATCATTTTGTCGTTTTCAATTTGTAGTAGACAAAAAATTGATGTTCTTCTGGTCCAGTCTAAGGAGTACAAGGTTTTTCAAAGTCCTGAAGATTCGTCACGAGTTTATTTTGACGACTGTTGACCTGAAGAGTGTTCAGATGTTTGACTTTGATCTATGAAGTAATGGTAGCTTCTATACATTTACCTTCTATATGCCTCAGTGTCGTCATGTCTTCTCCTACAGAATCTCTCACACCCTCCAGTCCCTCCGTCACCTCTGGTTATTTAGGGGCGTCTAATATTTGCCAGCGATGACTTCAGCCCCTCTCAGAAACGCAGAGTGAATAAAGGCTGCAGATGGAATCCCCTCTGCGTAGTTTCTGTGGAAAACTCTTCCTGTTGTTTTTTCATCCGATCGTAACACTCAATCAGAAGTCGACTCTATAACTTCACCACAAACAGGGACCTCAGCTGGTAGACGGAGGCTGGAGTGCTCAGTCCTGGTCCAGGTTAGTTTGGAGAATTTGGCTGAAGCCCTGTTGATGTGGGCAAAGGTTTCCCATGTCGTCATAGAGACGCTACTGTTTGAAAAGCTGTTTCTGACTCACTGATTCACTCTAATTAGCTGCCAGACACTTTTATAAGGGGAGAGACTTGGAGAGAGCAGCTCCACCTTTCCTAAACTGACTACAGAGTGGGTGATGTTGGTGCTGATGGAGAGCTGGTGGATGTTAAAGTCGTCTGGAAAGGTGCTGACCACAGCAGGAGGGTGACACACCCCAAGACACATGTCAGAAATGACGATCACAGCTGCTTATTTTAGATCAAAGGTTCGAATGAGCAGGAAGAGGACTTTAAAAACAACGATTTGAGACTATCAGCACTAGTCTGAACAAGAGTTGGGTGGTATTAAGGTATTAAGGTATACCGGCGGTGTCCTTTTAAAGCAACAGTATCAGCGCCGGCGCTATGTTTTGTATGCCTGGAGTGTTATTGCCGTAACTCTGTCAAAGTTTGTCCGACCAGAAAAATTTCAATGGTGTGGGAAAGCTGAGCATGCACACATATAAGATTTACGGTGATAGTCGTAGCAATATGAGGTAGGCAGTCATTGCAAAACACAGGAAGTATTGGCAGAGTGCTACACAGCTTCTCAATACCATAACTCCCTGAAAGTTTGCTCTATTTTAAAAATTCTTATGCTGACTGACAGCTAAAAAAGTGTGCTTTCTGTCAATATATGATGTTTGGTATATATTACGTAAATCTTGAACTGTACCACCAAAACCGCAACTTTGACAGAAGACGAGGGAGAAAAGGAGAGTGAAGTAACCCGGGAATCCCACTGGATCCAGAACGGCTCCACTCTGGACCGGCAGGCGGATCAGATCAGCAAGCATACAGCGCCCACTGGATCCGATCTGCCACCGGAGGAGAAGCGCCCGCAAGATTACCAATATTTCTCACGAGACTGGACGAGATCTCACGAGCTCTTGCAGGTTTCCCCGGGAGTCATAGAATGAGATCCGTGTATATAAACGGCGGTGTATATAAACATCCCACAACCCTGACCTCTCCTATTATCAAGTGAAGAACTGTTCAACATGTTGACTTTATTTTATTTTGAAAATTAACCAAATATTTTACTCTGTAACCGCATACAACTTCCGCTGCTGCTCATGCTGCCCTGCACTGAATTGATGCGCCGTGCCCCGGTGGCTGGCAAAAATAGAAGACTTGCGTATCTGATCCAGCCGCCGGAGCTGATCCGCAGCGGAGCCGGACGACGGACGGATTCTGTGGAATCACACACATTGATTATAATGCCTGCATATTTGATCTGCCTGCCGTGCCGGAGCGGAGCCTTTCCGGATCCTGTGGGTGTTGCCCGTAAGAGAGTGAAGTAAGACAGAGCAAGCAAAATTGTATTTTGATTTTTAGTTTTTGAACGGTGTCGACATAAGCCAACAGTTTGGTGACGCTGTCTGAGCCTTAAGTCATAATTTTGTATTAGTCAAGGTAATACTGTATACCGCGGTAAAATGTGGAGACGGTATGGCGGTATCAAAATTTGGATACCGCCCAACCCTAGTTTGAACATCATCAGACATACAAACAGGACCTCTCTGCTCTCTGCTGATCATCTTCATGTCTGAATTAATTAAAAAAGTCCAGAAGCAGTGGTGAATCTGATTGTTGGAGGATAATGGTTCAAAAGTTCAGGTCAGGTACAGTAACCAGGTTTTTCAAGTCCTGGTTCGGTCCACTTTCATGTACAGTAAATAGGTTTCTCTTTGACTCGTTGTCTAAAGTGCAACATCTACAGTTCAGGCTCACGGGCCTGAACTTTGACCCTGAACTGTGACTTCATGGGGCCTAATTGGGCAAATCTTGTAAATTTACCAGTAGACTTACATTCCAGCTCTCACCCATGGCCATGAGCTGTGGACAGTGACCAGAAGAATGAAGTTCAGGTACGAGCTGTCAGAACAAGTTTCTTGAAGGTCCAAGAACTCCGACCTCCAGAGGGGGGTCAGTGCAGAGCAGTGACTGGAGCAGTGAGGGCGTCAGATGTCGCCCTGTGAAGGTGTTCGGGGTGTGGTCAGTCAGAAAGAGGCCAGGGGTGAACCCGGGGTTCATTGGAGCCTTTGTATGTCCCATCTGGCCTCGGAGCCCCTTTGGGTCCCACAGCAGGAGCTGGAAAACATTGTTGGGTAGAGGGAGGTCTGGGTTGACCTGCTGGGACCAGTTCTTTAATAAGCAGAGGAAAACAGGCGACAGTTCTCAATAAGAGGTCAAGGAAAAAGTAGATGAAGGAGCCATGTCTTCAGACGTCCCACAGTTCACACAGTAAAGGTCCTCACACACCGGGAACAATGCAAATATACGACGCGAAGTTACGAAATATTCAGAGGCAAATTTTGATGCCCCTGACTATGCATATCCAGCGCAATGGGATTTTGCAACTTTCCGGGGGGAAAAAAAGACGTGTCCCGGGTGGAAGCGAGAAGACTCACCCAACAGCAGACTGAGGGTTTTTCAGTTCTGATTAGACACTAGTGTTGAGATGGCTGTCTGTCATGATAGCATGTACCACCAGTACCACATTAAAATAATCCATAAACATAAGGTAACAACTGAGACCTAATGGTGCTGTGACAGCAACGCTGTGATTGGGTTTGAGACAGTGAAAATACATGTGGTTGTATCTGAACAGGTTAGCTTACGAGCTAAAGTTACTTAGCACAGATGAAAGTTAAAACAAAGACGTTTAGCAAACTGTTAAAGCACAAAAACCATTGTCACATGAGAAATCGGACGCTATGACTCTCTACAAGTTGTCTTTCAGGTCTTTATCTTTGTAATGTTTGTGTTTTATATTGAAAAGCACTCTGTTCTCCGACGTGTAAACAATTAGCCGGTCGGCCATGTTGGATATACCGGTGAATCAGACATCACAACAACACGCAATCTGATTGGTCAGAAGTGGACACACAGTATGCGAAACTTTAGAAAAATTGACCGTGATCCGAAAAATAAATGCCGCAATATCGCAGAACGGGAAAACGTCGCTGATGTGAACGCTTGGATTGAGAGGGTACGGGTTCAGAAAAAAAAATATTGATAATATTATGATAATTGCACGAATAATATGATCCCAGTGTGAAAGGACCTTAAGGTTGCACGATATTGGAAAGAACGAACATTGCAGTTTTTTTCAACCCTGCAGTATATATCGGGATATAAAAAAATACAAGAATTTTTACCAGATGACCTGAATATGAAATTTTGAGGACAGTTAACCTGCACTGATCTTACCTCTTTTAGTAAATGTTAGTAGAACGGATTCTGTCTGTCTTGGAGATATTTTTAACTTTTATTGTGCTGGGATGTTATTGTGGAAACAGATGAACACAGAACAGTGTATTGGTTGACGTCATCCTACTTGTAACCGAAATAATTCCAGATAACTGACTTTGCTTTTCTTTTTGGCAACAAGTATTCATCTTGGTTTTCTTTTGTTTGTTGCTCATTTAGCAATCATTGTTGTTGTTACCGGTGTTGTGCTAAGAAACGCATGTCCGCATCTACCTTGCAAAACGAGCACCACTTATGGTAGAGTGGTCCACGGAAATGTACAATTTAAAACCCATACAGTTCTTATTTGTGAGGCTAAACAGTGATGAGTAATGTTCCCAAAGTAATTCTCAGTGGGTACGAGTTTCTCGACACAACACCAACAGCGCCAGCGACTCACTCCATGTGCAGGGGTGTGGTTTCCTCTGCTCTGATTTTGATTGATGGCTGGTAGGGTTGTGTGCTTGAGAACTGAGTAAAGAACAAATGTGATTGGTGGATCACTGGACAGCACATGCAGAGTGACATGGAGTGTATCTCAGTCAGCTACACTTGAAATTAGATGAGTTCATTCGCCTCCAACATCGCAGGCTCTCCTATGTGACTATCGCACACACATACATCGCAACGATGATGCTCAAACGATATATCGCACTTATTTAAGGAGCTGATGATTTCAGAGGTCAGCGGTGATAGTCCAGGTCTGGCCTGGATTATCACCAGGCCGGAGTCTTCATCTGTCAGTCAAAGGGACCTGAAGTTTGGAGGCTCTCTAACGGTGTTTGATAATCAGGGTTTGTTTGTCACAGTGACAGTGGGTTGAAGTGATATCATGATCACTTAATAAAGGGATCATGGACCCACAGAAGGTCCTCACCCTGCTCTGCACTTCCCCTCAACTCGAACTTCCTTTAATCTTTTCGGCATTCTACTGATTTTATGACCCACTCATTAAACTCTCTGCCAGCAGCACCGGGCATCTGTTTTTCATGAAAAAGCTCTTAAACTCCTGCGCACTACTTGCACAGACCTCAGTACAGAGAGAGAGGTGCAGCAATCGGTTCAAGACACGAATGTTGGTCTGCAGATCCAGAACTGAAGAGAGTCCTGATTCTGGAGTCACTGGGCAAGAAAACAACTCCATGATATGCCATTATTGGGCTTTGCTGCACTTAAGTCACCTAAAAAGCCAAAATGAAAAGATTATTTTAATGAATGCTTTCCTTTTTTAAAAAAAGTCTTAAAGTCCTGGTTGACGATCTGAGAAGCAGTTGAAAAAAACTGAGCCGTTGAGGCAGATTTGAAAAAAGCGTCCCACCCCCCAAACACAAACCTCTCCCCTCTGTGCTCCACGATAACTCCCCCCCGAACCTGTATCGCCCTACCCACGACACACCCCCTCTGACAGAGCAAGAAGCCGGCCGCCAGAAGATCCTATGCTAGCTTCAAATAGGATTCACTATGTTAGTTAGTGACTAGCGGCAGTAAACGCCAGCTCTGCCAGCGAGCGCCATCTGCAGCTGCCTGGACAGCTACCGTGTTGACATTGCAGAGACTACTAAGAGTTATTTATGTAACGTCTGCCATGATAAAAAGTGATAAAAATGACCTGTTTAACACAAATTCTGCTGTCTCGGCGTTTGCTTTCAGGACCAAATCCTGGCGGAGCTTTCTCCACCGCTCGAAGGATGACCCGATGTTTATTCCAGTTAGATTCCTTGCTTGGTCACATTTCCTCTTGGTCTCCGCCCTTTCTTCTGTCGGCTTGCGTTTTCTTCCCACTTTTGGCGGTGGGGCCAGCAGAAGTGGGTTTTTTTTGCGTCTTTCTCCATCACAGCTCCAGTAGTTAAGCTGCTACGCTACTTTTAGCTGCTCAGAGCTCCGAGGAGGGCCGGGAGGGGACAAGTCGGAACTACGGGAGAGGTATGAGTAGAGTACAGCGAGGTGATTGGATGAAGAGGCGGAGCAGGAGATTGACCAATAGAAGCTGTCTGGGGCAGATAGCTCCCATTGGTCAGTGTTTTTGCAGCCCTGCACCTGCTCGGGTGAACAGATTTTTTCCGTTCTTTTTTCTTTTCACTTTGTGGAGATCGCACTACAGGACCATTATTGCCATAGAAATGAGGGTCATAATAATTACCAGTCTCTCCATCGACAACCATGCCTTTAATAATTCAACCTTTTTAACCAGTCCTGAGTCTGTAAAGTCATCAGAATCAGGTCTTGCAGGTTCTCTGGTGTTCAGGATGTTGATGTTTTATACATATAGGCCTTCCAAAGGTTTTCTACTCCCCACACAAACATTTTTATATCTTTGACTTTTTTTGTGACCAAAGTCAGTAACAGTACGTTTGTGTTTCCTCGTTTCCCTCCAGTTCCAGTTGGGCTCTGTGGAGCTGACAGCCGTGTCGGAGCCGGCGGAGGCGGTGAGGGAGATCCTGATCCACAGTCTGCAGAAGGGGAACACTTTACAGCAGCACAACCACAAACTGGAGGAGGAGAACCAGAGACTGAGACGAGAGCAGCAACGCGTCACTGCAGAGTAAAAACACACACCCTACACACAGCTAACAGATCTGGTAATGCTGACACAGCGTCCACATCAGATGTCGGACTGCTTTATTCGAGTGAAATACAAAGATTCAAGGGACACGACACAGCTGTTACCTAAGAAAACCAAAACCTGGCAGAGCCCAAAGATGATTTCAACTTTGGAAAAATCATGTAGAGTCGTTAATTTCTCCGGAAGTTTGGAAAATTTGAATATTAGGTCCAAAAATGGGTTATTTTCTAAAGGACATTAAATAGTTAATTTCTGATGAACAGGATTAGTGTCACAGAGGGAAACTGATCGTCAGGCTAATTAGTGAGTTTGTGTTTAGATTTTTGCCCTAATGAGGAGGAAACACTTCCGAACATGTTCACTATGAGTGAGTGAATTCGATTATTTCTTCACAGGGTAAAGTTTCTTATTGTGAAAAGTTTGACCTGAGGTCGTTACCCCGTTTGGAGCCCCGCCCAGAAAACTGTGATCCCAAGTTTTAGTTCCTAAAATCATCACAGGGATTCCTCAGAGTCATTACTGTGTGTGTGTGTGTGTGTGTGTGTGTGTGTGTGTGTGTGTGTGTGTGTGTGTGTGTGTGTGTGTGAACTGACGTCACATCAGTGTTAATGTGAGTTCAACACATCCAGCGGAGCAGAGGGTCAGCTCCAAGATTAACTCTCAGATATGAGGTGTACATTTTGGAGCAGCTTCTGAGCGTCCTTTAATTAATGATGAGATTTTAGAGGAAGGAAACAGAGTCAAAGTCACACCTCCAACTGATGAGGTGAATGTCCTGAAGGTTAGTCGCATGACGGGGTCTAAAAAAGGATATTCAGAGAGGGGGAATCTCTCAGAAGGAAAGATGGAAGAGGTTCAGGACTCTGTGAGAGACTGCTTAAGCTAACCCCCAATTTCCACCACATCAGAACAGCTACGACAAGGCCACATCCTCCGATCATAGCTGATCGTTACCATTCAAGTTAACGTGTCAATTTCCACCAGCTTCTTTCCGTTGCACTGCTGTGGACGCCGGTGCATGCCGGATAAATTCAGCACAGATTAACCCGTGCTGGAAAGGAAGTCGGGCACAGACACAACATAAAACATCAGGCTTCTTTTCAAAATAAAACACTCCGTGTTTCAGGTGGATCGTATTACACACCATGCAAACAGGCGGAGACAAACAAGTGAAAGGTTTTTAGACGTCATTTCACCCCAATGACACCATGGATGAGAAGATGCTGATTCTCGAAGTCTAGTAGATTTCCTCCTCTGGAAGGACATAATCTACTGCTTATATGTCTATGTGTCTGTCTTTATAGGGACAACTTGTTATCGCACGATTGCACATGAAACTGCGGGTTCTTGTGAGTTCTCGCGATTACCGCTGTCCGTAATCCGCCATAAAATTGGCCTCACAAACAGATCTGGTAGGACTTGGCGGATGGCGAAAATTGCTGCCGCTCTGGATCAGAGCCGTTCCAGATGCGGTAAAAATTTGGGGTAACAGTCCAACAGTTTCAGAATAAAGTTCCTGAGTGGATTTCTTCATCTACAGTCCATAATATCATCCAAAGAGGATCTGGAGAAATCTCTGTACTGAAGGGACAGGGACCAAAACCAGGACTGAATGGTCCTGATCTTCAGGGCCTTGAAAACAGACAGGACTCTGGAATGGAAATCACCGCATGGACTCAGAATCACTTCAAAAACCATCGACTGTGAACACAGATCATCACTGCATCTACTAATGAGGTTCAAACTGAACCAGGAAAGAAGAGACCAGATAGAAACAGGATCCAGAACCACCAGAGACTTCTCTGGACCTGAGTCCATTTAGACTGAGGGGACGAGGAAAACTGTCTTGTGGTCTAGTGAATCAAAATCTAAAACTCTTTAGGAAAGGACTAAGGCGAAACGTCTCAACTAAGTCCAGTTGTCCTTTCAACGAAGACTTGGAAATCATAGATGCTGCGTCCTCAGTTTTAAACAATATCTCCAGGTTTAAGATCAACATCTGTGTCTTTTCAGACCGTGACTTTTTTAGGGAAGGCCTTCATATGATCCTAAACCACAATCTGACAACAGCATGGCTCTTTAGGAGAAGAGTCCTGGACAGATGTGGTCCTGACTTGTCTCTTGTTTTGTGAGTCGTGTTGTTGATACAGAATCCTGTAAAATGAGCACCCAGGTTTTAAAACCTATATGAACACATCACCTAATCCAGTTACTGATATGAAGACAGGAACAGATTTACCCCTGTTCCTCAGAGCTGCTGCTGGTGTCTGATGATGAACGACTCTGAAAGCTCTCCTCTGATGGCTCGATCCATCACTGATTAACAGCAGCGGTGTCTGGTTGCTGCAGTGAGACAGTCGTCTATTTTTCCAAACGTCCAGGAGACGATTTTTGCTGCAAATTAATGACATGAGGATTTGAAAGCTGCGTGTTTGTTTCTGTGTGTTTCAGGATGAAGCGGTACGCCGGTGGTAAAGAAGCTCTGGAGGCCGAGCTTTACTCGCGTTTTGTCCTGGTGCTGAACGAGAAGAAAGCAAAGATCCGCAGTCTGCAGGAAACCGTCACACACCTACAGGAGAAGAGGTATACTGAGACGTCTAAGACTTCATGGTTTTTACACTCTGACATGGTGTTTCTCCTCCAAACTAAGCTGTACCTGTTCATTCAGGGGGAGCTTCTATGATTTGTCCTCTTCAACTCATGTTTTCTTGTTTTGTCTTGGCAAGAAAAAAGCAAAAAATATTACATCTCAAACCGAAGAACAACTGTTTAAACTAATTATTTGGCTCAGAGGACAGCGTAACTTTATGGGATAAAAGTTTCATTGGAACATTTCCAAAACTTTTTTAATTTCTCTTTAAATTCATCCAAACTTTTATAGTCCATTAACATTATCCCTGATACTCTCTAAACCACCTTCTTTGGTGAAACCATAGACTGTATATACTATGGACAACTTGGTTCCGCCTACTGCCTGTATACGGATTTGAAGCCAAAAAGCTCTCGATATTTCCAGGATTTTTCCTCATTTCCTGAAACCAGAGCTGCGCAGTAGCGATGCGTGCATTCGGCCGCGCAGTCGCCAAGAGTCACTTTGATGACGCTCGGCTCAAACAGCGTGTCTCCCGGGAGAGCGACTCAATCCCTGAACGCCCATAGGCTGTATCAGGTGTCAATCATTGAAAACATGAACCCCCCTAATAACTTTTAAAAATGGAGCTTCACAAAAAAAAGAGGACTTGAGCACAAACCAGTCTTACAATAACTACATGTCAACATCACAAGCAGGGGGGAAAAAAATTATGTTCTGTGTAATAAATTACTAAGGTTTGTCCACAGCCCCATAAGCTTTGCTGGTTGAGGGGGGATTTATGGCCTATACTGCAGCCCATCAACAGAGGGTGCTGTTCTCGGAATGGCTTCACCCAGCAAGGAGGCAGACGGCGTCCATTTTATATACAATCTATGGGTGAAATGGTCTTGTGGGATTTGGATTTTCAGCAGAGTAACATCTGCAGGTGTGTTTAGAGGAACTTACACCTTATTCACATATTTTTGTTTCTTGCAAGCTTCATCTGGACCTCTAGAGAATACTAACTCTCCTCTGTTCAAAATGATTTGAACTAAATAAGATTAGGGTCACTAAAAAAAGTGAGTAAGAGACTTATTTTTTATCTTTTTTTTCTGGATTTTCAGTTTAAAGTAAGAATTTCAGAGATATAAAAAAAAAATCAGGTTCTACTTTTTCAGTCTGAAATCTGACTTGAATTGCACTTTCTGGGAAAAAATCAGAATCAAAGATTGAAGTCAGAATTCTCAGAAAATTGTCAGAATTTTCAGAAAAAAAACTCAGTTCTTATATTTTTGGAATTCATTGGAAGTCATTATTCTTAGATAAAAGACGGAACTCTAAGAACACATTTTTTTCTTTAGATCAAATTTGGATCCTGAAAAAAAAGGTATTGTGAAGAAAAAAAATCAAAATTGTCAAAGTCAGAATTCTCAGGGAAAAAAAAGAATTCTTAAATTTGGAATTCTCAGAAAAAAATCAGAATCCTGAAATCAAAGTCAGAATTCTCAGAAAAATGTCGGAATTCTCAGATAAAGATATTATTTATAGATAAAAGACGGAACTCTAAGAACAATATATATATATATTAGATCAAATGGGGAATCCTGGAAAGAAAACTACAACTGTGAAGAAAAAATCTAAATCCTCAAAGTCAGAATTCTCAAAGAGAAAAAAAAAAATCTTAAATTTGGAATTCTTGGAAAAAGTCAGAATCCTGAGAATAAATCAGAATTCTCAGAAAAAAATGCTGAAATTCTCAGATAATTGTCAACATTTTCAGAAAAAAACCTGAATTCTTTAATTTGAAATTCTCAGATGACGACATTATTTTTGGATAAAAGACCAAACTCTAAGACAAATATTTTTTTTACATCAAAGTCGGAATCTTGAAAAAAAAAAAGAATTGTGAAGAAAAGAAAAATGAAAATCTTTAAAGTCAGAATTCTCAGGAAAAATAAAATTATGATTATTATTATTTAATTATTAAAAAAAATTCTTGGACTTAAGTTTTTTGTTAATATTGTCCCTTATCCTTCTCCGTAGAAATTTTTACATATTTAATCCACTTATAATTTTTCCTGAAGTCCTTTCAAATATTCAAGGAGTCTGACATTTAACAGTGAGGTTTTTCCTGCAGAGAGCTGTTTCTGCAAATGAAGCTGATTATACATCCATAAGACTTCAAATTTAAACCTGAGAGTTTATGGACACTGAAATAAATCACAAGGACTCTGGTCTTTTGCAGGAACTCAGAGGGGAAGAAAAAAGAGGACTCAGTGAAATCAGACCAGATGGCAGCTCAGGAGGAGGACGAGTACGGGGGCAGCACTGATGAAGAGCCAGAGGAAGAGCAGCTGACTGCAGCTTCCACTTCATCCACCCAGGGTAAGATCTCCATCAGCTGACTTTCTGAGAGCATGGAGACCCTCTATGATAACTGATCCAGTAAATAAGTAAATGAAGAGGAGGTGTGAAGGCATTAAAAATAACCAGAGGAAACACTGGCTCTTCTTCCTGACGGTCAGGGTTGTCATGATGTTCCCAAAGGCCTCATCTTTTTCCTCTGTCATCAGCTCTTCAAATTTCCAACGTGAATTTATCCACGTATTAAAAATGTCGTTGTTCGTAATACTGAAGTACTTCAACACCAATCATATCACCAACATTTTTCTGTGGTAACCACTCGCTGGAGAAGAGATTTCTCTGATAAGGAACTTTTCCAAGAGACTGTCCGTCATCACCTCGGCCTATTTCTAAGACTCTGAATAATCATGACAGAGCAGTACATGACCGTAAAAAGTGAGTTTTCAGACCAAATTAGACTGATCAGCTGCAGAAACAGCCTGATGTTGGCATCTGAGCAGGAGTCGCCACAGGAAACTGGAGCTGCAGGTGCTTTCCCACACCTGGAGTGAGCGGTGACGTCACCCACCGAGTCGCTGAGTCATCAGAATTAAAGGAAATTATGTGTGTTACATATTTTGAGAAGTATGACAATGAGTGCGCTGCTTTTGGGGAGCATGTTGTCATGGCGGCAGAGTGTGTTTGAGACTTTTCAGTGCCCAGAAACAAACGATGACCTCAGTGAGGAGTTATGTAAGAGTGAGCAGAGGGGCCTCCACTAACTGACACCCTGAAACACCTTTAAACACAAGCAGCTTTTATCGTTGACGTTCAGGCTGCAGACGGCGGCTCCCAGGAGGTCTCTGTGATTAATGTGGCACCAGCAGGAGGAGGCGGCGGCGGCAGTGGCGAGCGGTGTGATAGGGCATAAGTATCTATGTATCATAAAGCTCCAGCAGCTCTGTCCTGGTCACAGCTGTTTACCTCTCAGATCTTTCCACTTTCTCACTAACGCGGTTGGCCTGTTTGATACGCCGAGGTGTCATGTGTTCCCCGTCGTCTGAGGAGGAATAGCTCACAGGACTTTTTTGTTGTTTTTGTTGCTACGACAGTGACTCACTCGGCCCTGTGTTGCCAGTTTGTGCCAGCAGATATAAAAGGAGAATGGGGGGGAAGTTTGAGGAAATTAGTGGTTTCACTTTGTGTGTGCCGAGCCGTGTTTACAGAAAAGTGAGAGTTAAGATTCACACAACAAAGCTTCTGTTGTGGAAGTCTAAACTCTCTGGAGCAATTTGAGTGAAGTGTGTGTTTAAAAGCAACACGCTCTGAGGAGTTACGGAAAATAAAAATGTTTGTCTGTAAAAGGAACAAATATTGGATCTAATACTGACCACAGAGGCTGTTTGACGGGGATCCTCCTCTAATCCAGGTCTGGAAGAAGAGGAGATTTGGATTACATGAGGTCTAATCTGCACAATAACCTGAGAATCAATTTCAATTTATGATTAAAATCTGGGAAAGTTTCCGACTGGACTCAAGAATGCCCCGACCAAATCTAGTTTTAACTGAACAAAAGGGTGGACTGCAGGTCTGCATTTCTTCTGATGGGACCAAAAAGGTGGAAACGTACCATTAGAGTTTATAGATCTAGGATGACATATTTAGATAGAAAAGGGAAAAAGTACAGTGGTTAGAAAATATGCCGGCGTCCAACAAAAGTGTCGTACCTTTCATGATGCTGCATCAGGGGGTCCTTTTTCAGGGGTCCTTCTTCAGGGCGAGCCGTAAAACTGCAATAAAAGACAGAGACACTGAAATTCAAAATTATCTTTGAATGAAGCCCAGGAACCATCTGTTACTAAGCAACAAGAGTGTCAAGGCTTGTTCCACAGTCCTGTGAAGGGTAGACCAGCTCAATCCAGTTTGGCCTGACTGGTCTCAGGGGTCACAAGGGCTGCTCTTTCCAAGGCTGGGTCCTTCAAAAGCTGGGTCTGTCAAAGGCTTGGTTCTTAGAAGGCTGGTTCTCCCAAACTCAGGGTCCTTTTAAAGGCATCATACCTAGAAGCTTTGTTCATCAGAGGTTGGGTCCATTAGAGTCTTGGACCTATGAAAGCTGCGTCCTTTAAATACTTGGTCCTTCAAAAGTCAGGTTCTAAAGTTTGGGTCCTTCAATGAATGGGACGTATTGTAGCTAGGACACTTGAAATCTCGGTCCTTAGGAGGCTTGTTAACCCAAAATCTGGGTCCTTTCAAGACTGGGTGCTTTATAGAGACCCTTCCTTGAAGCTTCATTCATCAGCAGCTAGGTCCATCAGAGTCCTAGTCCTGTGAAAGCTGGGTTCTTACGAAACTGGGTCATTCAAAAGTCAGGTTCTAAAATTTTAGTCCTTCAGAGAATGGGACCTTTTGTAGCTGGGACACTTGAAAGACCTGGTCCTTTGAAAGTTAGATCTTTCAAAAGCTGGGTCTGTCAAAGGCTTGGTCCTTAGGAGGCTGGTCCCCCCAAATTCTGGGTCCTTTAAAGGCACTGTACCTAAAAGCTTCGTTCATTGGAGGTTAGGTCCATCAGAGTCTTTAAATTCTTGACCCCTCAAAAGTTCTAAAGCTTGGGACCTTCAGAGAATGGGACGTATTGTAGCTGGGACAATTGAAGACTCTGTCCTTTGAAGGCTGGGTCTTTCAAAAGCTGGGTCTGTCAAAGGCTTGGTCCTTTGGAGGCTGGTCCCCCCAAATTCTAGGTCCTTCCAAGACTGGGTCCTTTAAAGACACCATACCTATATGTGTTGTTCATCAGCAGCTGGGTCCATTATAGTCCTAGACCTATGAAACATGGGTTCTTCCAAGACTGGGTCCTTCAAAATTCAGGTTCTATAGTTTGGGTCTTTCAAGGAATGGAACGTATTATAGCTGGGACACTTGAAAGACTCAGTCCTTTGAAGTCTGGGTCTTTCAAAAGGTGGATTTGTCAAAGGGATGGTCCTTAGAGGGCTGGTCTCCCCAAATTCTCGGTCCTTTAAAGGCACCATATCTAGAGGCTTCGTTCATCAGACGTTGGGTCCATCAGAGTCCTGGGCCAATGGATGCTGGGTCCTTTAAATACTTGGCCTCTCAAAAGTCAGTTCTGAAGAGGCTTGAACCTATTGTTGCTGGGACACTTGAAGACTGGGTCCTTCGAAGGCTGGGTCGCTAGAGGCCTGTCATTCAAAGACCGGGTCCTTCAGACATTTGTTTCTTTTAAAGTTGGGTCCTGGATTTGGATGCAGGTAATGTGTGGAAAACTTGGGAGGCTGGCTCCCCCAAAATCTGGGTCCTTCTGAGACTGGGTACTTTAAAGGCATCATACCTAGAAGCTTCGTTCATCAGAGGTTGGATCAATCAGAGTCCTAGACCTATAAAAGCTTGATTCTTTCAAGACTGGGTCCTTCAAAAGTCAGGTTCTTAAGTTTGGGTCCTTCAGAGAATTGGGGGGTGGGTCGCTAGAGGCCTGTCATTCAAAGGCTTGTTAAAAAAAAAAAAAAAAAAAAGCTCCCTCTCTGTCTCTCTCCCTCTCTCTCTGTGCGTCACTGACACCTGTCCCCTTTGTTCTGGTTTTACTCTCTCGAGCTGTTTTGTGGTCAGTCAGGTCACCGAGTTTAACAAGCAGCTTTTACAGACTGTTTCAGGGACCTGAGTCAGTAAATTTCCTGCAAACATGGAGGACAATGTGGAAAACAGCCTCTGGATTACACATGGAGACATATATCATCATACAGTCGCGTTTTAACGACATTTCCACCTTTTCCTGCTCCTCTTTGATCCATGTGGGACGCATGTTTTCAGGTGGAACCATCTGCCTCTCTGTTGTTCCATACGCTCGTCACGGTGTCATCACGTTAAAGGGCCGAGGAAGTAAAGGGGCAGGGGGTGATGAGAGAGGAGTAAGACAGCCGAGGAGAGGAGAGGAGACACCAGCAGATATGTGAGAAAGCTGGAGGCCATCACTCAAGCACAACAGGCAGAAAAGAGATTTGTTACCTGATGAATTTCAGCCCGGGGTTCTTCTGAGGACTTAAAGACACGCTGGTACCTGAGCAGGAGGGTTAGAGACTCTTTAAAACTGAGGGTGCAGCATCTATGATTTCCAATTCTTTGTTGAAAGGACAGCAGGACTTACAGGTGAAACATCTCAAGTAAGTGCAGTTGTCCTTTCCATGCAGTGATTTTCACTTCAGAGTCCTGTCTGTTTTTAACCCATTAAGACCTGAACCCTGTCTGAGACATGCCTCTGAAATCCTGAGGATCATTTTGAGAAGGGCCCCCAGATCCTGAGGTTTTCTGAAAAAGCTGATATCTCAGCCTCTGTAGCAGATAAAAACAAAATTCAAAAAGTATTTGAGAGCTAAAACAAGCTTTCAAGATAACTATCTTTTATTTTTCCGTACCTTCATCAGATTTTTGAAAACCTTGAACAAACAAACTCAAATGAAATAAAGTGGCTGTATAAATAAAAGTAAAGACTCTGCACTGGAGAATAACAAACAATTTGATAAAGTGTCCATTCAATACAAATGTAGATATAAAAAAATAGAGTTGAAAGGGTATGCAGCTGCCCTAGTATAGTGCCAGTACAAAAGCAAAAACTAAAAACTTAAAAATAAATAAATAAGTGGCTGACAGTGTGTTCATCTCTGTGCTCACCCAAAGTCATGCAACACTCACAGAAAACGTCAATAGTTGTTCACACTGTTTACAGCCAGAGACTGGAGGTCCACCAGATCTCTCATTTTCAGGGAGAAGTTGACCAAAAACATTCCTCTCATCCACAAATCCCAATCTGGTGGCCCAGAAGGTTCAAAATAGAGGTCGTCAATGTCATAATTTCTGTCAATATCACTACGTTCACTAATGCTGAATGCTTCTCCTCCGAAGCTGCTCTCTGCTTTCATCATTTACTTTCCTCACAAAGCATGTAGCAAGATCCAAGCATGAATCTAATCGCTTTATTAAGCTTTATTAGCTTATCAGAGGCAGGCGGGTATGATGATTTGATTTGCCACGACTCCAGAAATGATTGAAAAACTACAGAATGTTACAAAATGACCTCTCTGCGCTCCTGGCTTGAAGGGTAGAAATGCGCAGCAGGGCCGCCGGCTTGGAAGATTGAAATGTGTACATGCTGTCCCGGGGGTAAACTACAAAAAAATTTTTGATTTCTGTGGAAAAAGTTTAAGATGAAATCAAAATAAAAACAAAAGATTTGATTAAAAAAAAGTTCAACACAGTCAGAGCTGCAAACTAAAAACTTGTTTGTTTTGTGTCTCCTCAGCCTCTTCAGCTGCCAGCCCGTTAGACGACAGCCTCAAGGACATCACAGACGTGGCCCCCTGTCGAAAACGCCGCTTTCGTCACCTCGGGGCCCTCGACCCCGCAGTTAAAAAAGCGAGCCCACAACCCTCAGAGAGAAAAAGGTAAAACACCAGACTGCATCCCTTGTCATGTCAGTCATAGTGTCACGTCAGTGTTTGTTTTGACAGTGTGTGGAAAAGTAGTTCCTGATCTGTGGTTTCACTTCACACTTTACTGACTCTGTAGCTAGGAGACCCTCAAACACTGATTATCAAATCTGTGTTTTTAGGCATCCAAAAATAACACAAGAGTAATCACTTTTATTGTTTTTAAATGAGCTTTATTGGGGTTACGGCGCACCTCCCTTTTTTACTGTGGAACTGAAACACAGAGGGACGATCTTCTCAACCGTCATCTGTGTTCAGATTTCATCTTCCCATCACTGCGGCCTTCTCTGTCCTTTCACTTCACTGGCTCCTCCTCCTCTTCTTGAATGGGAAACACAAACACCATAAACTCTGTGTGTCAGGGATCTTTTTTATGTGGGTAAATACAAACAGTCCATGGTGGCTCTCTTTGGACCTGGTTGGAGATTGCTGTTAACCTGCACGTGAAGTACAAACAGGACTGAAGGGCAGCAAAGCCGAGCTCGCTCCTCAGCTGTAAATCACTGATCGACCACGACACAATCTGTAAACACGAGGAGGAGGAATCTGGGGGGCAAAGTGTGAGTTTCACGCAGAAGGAAATACCACCAAACAAAACTTTTGTTTACGACTGCTAAACATCACTGAGAGGGAAAGTCACTGTTTTACTCTGGAGCTTCAGTGGAAACTCCAAACACTCACCTCAGGAGACCTGCTGAGGTTTTAGTAACATCACAGCTACAACAAACCTTTAAATAACATCTCCAACATTTCTCTCAGTGTCCTCCTCATCTGCTCATTTCAGCTCTCGCTTACATTAACAGTGGACCGCTGTACCTTCAACACTTTGTTCTACAGAGGGTGGAGAGAGGAGAGCAGCTGTGACAAAATATAAACAGTAAAAGATCTTAAATCTTCCATTTTAAGTTCAAATCCCAGATTTCAAGTTGCCTGGATTCAAAGGAGGAACTGGACTTGGTGAAGGTTCTTGAAGGCGTTTAGCCTCTTGCTCAGAGCTGAAGAAGCCTCTCCTTCCTCTTCCTCCTCCCTCCTCAAACCTCTTGAATTCTCCTTCTGACCTTGTTCCAGTGTCCAAGTTTTCCCTCTGCCTAATCCAGAGAGAGGCCAGCTGTCCACCTTCAGGGCGTTATCAGGTTTACAGCGTTCCTGTGAGGGGGAACATCAGATCCAGCTCTCCCAGCCTGGTCCTGCAGGTTTATGATTTCTGCTGCTGCTGCTGCTTTCTTCTGTTGGTTTGATCTGTTGGAGCTCACAAACTCGGCCTGAGGCAGCAGACCAGATGGTGATGAGCAGGTCGGTGGAGTTTGCCTCAGGAGAAAGGACCTTTACACTGTGGAGTTTATGTGGACGCAGAAATCCACTAATGAGTGAGTGGAAACCATCAGGAGGCTGCAACATATCCCATGTGGTCCTGACCGTTCAGGCCATTCTGGGTACTAGAGAGGATGAGATGGAAAAAAGTGACTTAGATGTTCTCTCACCATGAAGATAGCTGAGGTTTAATCATCACGGATTTTAGATAACAGTCTTCAAGTTTTGTTTACAACCTCAGTGTCCAAAACTGCAGTTCCTCAAGTGTCCACTTGAGGCTGACTCCAAAAGTGAGCCAATCCTGGTAGAACTTTCCAGAGGGAATTAGTAACAGGGCTGTGGGGATATCAAAGTGTCACTTTACGTCACTTTAAATAAACAGACCTCACCCCCAAATTCCGCTGCATCCGGAATGGCTGTGAAAAGGCTGTATCCGCTGATTGTAGCTGATCGGTTTTCAGGCGGATCGTATTTTACACCATGCAAAAGGGCGGAGACGAACAAGTGAAAGGTTTTTAGACGTCATTTCACCCCAATGACACCATGGATGAGGAGATGCTTATTCTAGAAGTCAAGAAGTAGATTTCCTCCTCTGGAAGGACACAATCTACTGCTTATATGTCTATGTGGCTGTCTTTGTAGAGACAACTCGTTATCACGGGATTGAATGTGAATCCACGATTTTTGCCAATTCCCTCTGGATCCGTTTGTGAGGCAAATTTCATCAAATTTCAGCGTGAATCTGCGGGTTCTTGTGAGTTCTCCTGATTCCTGCTGTCTGAAATCCGCCATGAAAATTGCCTCACAAATGGATCTGGTGGGAACTGGCAAGAATCGCTGCCGTTTCATAGCAGAGCTGTTCCGGATGCAGTGGAAATTGGGGGTTAAAAGTTCACACGAGGGATGATGGTCTTTGTAGTTCCTACTTCCCTCCACTCTGGTCCACTACAGCAGAGACAAATCAACACTTTCCTACCTTTGGTTTGATACTATCACAGGTCTACGATGGCACTGAGACATAGCAGTATCACAGAACCGACATTAGATAAAATACTGTTACATCCCCGTTTAAAAAAGTGCTCTCTCTATAAAAACAAGATCTAGTCTTCAGAAGGTCTTTGAGGGGGGGTTATCTTATAATCAGGGTTGTTTCATATTTGAGTCATTACGACATTTCTGAGTCTGTTAGAGATGCTGTCCTTATCTATGTCATGAACCATCTAATGAATAAACGGCTGGGTCATACTGTGTCATTACTCACCTCTTTGCTTTTCCCCTGCTCCTCCACTTTATCCAAACAAGGTCACTTCTAAAATTAAAACTGATGACGTCAAAAAGCCTCTGAGCTCCAAACCCAGATGAAATACAACGACAGTTGATTATGTTGCGATACTCGAAGTCAGCGAGTGTGTTTTCCTGCAGCAGGTCTTTAGAGAGAAGCTGTTATCTCTCTGTTTACACCAAAAAAAGTCCTGGATGATGGATCACATCATCAGACCATATTGCATACATGGACAGTTTGGAGATCTGGGTAGACCTGAAGCCCAGAAACCAGCGGAGTTAAGTGGGAAAATGAACTGGGTCTTTGGTGGTAATGAATGGCGTCATTCTCGGGTCTGAATGCTGTATGACAGGGACATTTCTAAGGATGCTGAGGACATGAACCCAAGTCCAAGCCAGAGTCAGTCTTTGCTTTCAAAGAAACAATTATGCAACCTCGTCTTTCCCCGGCTCTCTCTCTGTTCTCTTTTTCAGTTTCTTGATCTACACTCAAAGTCAGACCGTCTGCAGCTCTGAGTCCCTGTTTCTGCACATCCAAGACCTCACAATGCTTGCTCCTTTTTTCCATTTCTCCGGCCTGCCAGCTTCTCTTTGGACTAGGCCAGTTAGAAAATATTCCAAAGACATGTCTCAATCTGACATTGTTCCTGTCTCCCTCTAACAGAGGGGGGATAGACCCAGTCCAACCTCCTCCGAGTGCCAGCCACTGTAAACTGTGCCACATGCAGATGGCCAGAAGTGGTGCCATCCATCCCCAGCTGCTGTCAGGGGTTGGTGCCCATTACGGGGGCTTATTACCAGCTCTGACGGCCTCAACAAGAAGCAGCAGTGAGCCGAGGAGCAGCTGTTTGATCGCTGCAGAAGCTGCCCCCCCACCAGGCTGGCAAACAGGGTCTGCAGAAGGGAGGCTTTGTCTGAGAGGGGGCTGTTTACGTGGGGGCTCAGAGCTGCTGGCAGTCCTACACCCAGCTATTGTTTTTTTGATTTCCATCCACTGCTCAACTCATTTATCTTCGGAGGGTTCCTCCATGTTTCTCTGCAGGCAGGTCGTCCATGGAGAGAGAAGATAGGAGTGAGGGGGAATAATGGGATCAAATTACGGGAGAGGATGAAGCCTGTGGGTCTGGTTTTCCAGAAAAGGGGTTACAGTGATTCTGGGTTTAAGCATAAAGTTGTTTCCTCCACTGGCAGTCATGCATCGTACCTTTTTCCCTTCACTCTAAGAAGGGTCCACACTTTCCAAGAAGAACTGAAGAATCCCAGGCCTGTTGTTGTATTTAAAAGCCTCTTAAATGCTCACTTTAAAGAAAGTGTCCAACACTTAAAGTCTTTTTATTTTAAGAGTAAGATGAGATAATTCTCAGTTTGTTATGTTCATGTCATCTGTTTTTTCCTGCTCTCTTGGACTGTCCTTTTTTTGGTTTCCCTCTGGGAAAAGTTGGCATGAGTGAATCATACCTCGTCCTTTTTTGGCATCACATTGGAAAAGTGTCAACGAAAGCTTGAACTCCATCTGAAGAACTTCGTTTTCTCATTTGAATTGAAAAAAATCTGCCTCATACAAGAGCCCAGAAACCTCTCGATTCTGCTTCTGGAGACTCCCAAATGAGGATGAGTAAACATGCCAACACTCAGGAAAATCGGCTCCTTTGTTATCCAAGAGATTCAATGTTTCTTTGTTTACTGATTAAAAATGATTTCCGCTGCAGGTCAGAATCTTTCGCCTGTTTGGTTTCCTCTGGAAAAGTTGGTAATAGTCTGTCTCACCCCGTCCTTTTTCCCATCATATCTTAAAAGCTCCAAAGCCCCACCCCTGCCTTTTTAGACCTGCTGAAATGGTCACTTTGCAGAAGCATCACACAGATCCACCTGATCCTACAGCTACACTGCAATGTTCTGATGCTGGCATCCCTCTGAGAAAGTTCAAGCTGCTGCAGTTTTGTTTGGATTAGCAGTATGTGACCACAACCCTCTCTACTGAACTTTTCTTGTTCTGACTTTTGCGGAGTGACATGAGATGATCCTCAGTTCATCATGACCGCTTTGTTTGGCCTCTTCAGGTCTCCTAAAACCTTAAATGTTTCTGAACAGGAGCAGATGTTGTGTCACTCTCTCGCTGACTCCAGCTGGTCAGCTGCTGTCTTTGTGTGACTTTGTCATTTATTAGTCTGAGGATGGATCCATATGACGTAGTGACCCGAACAAACTGTGATGTAAACAGATGAACTGAACCAGACGGACTGAAAACCAGAACACACACACCTGAATACACGTACTTGCTGACTGGTTATTGTCAGCCACAGCTTGTCCTTCCCTGAGGAGTCATGTGCAGGAATGTAACAGTAACCGGTGTAACGGTAAATCATGATAAAAGTGTTGATAGTAATGATAACGTTTACTGTTTTCATCTCAAAAACTGGTGTGAGGGAGGGGAGGTGTAATGATTTAGCTGTGAGATCGCTGATGATAACTGGCTAATGCTTATACTCTGTGTGCACGCTTCGTGGTGCGCTGCATGTATGTATACTGATACATACAAGTCTGACTTCGAGCCACGTAAGAGAAAAACTCATTATTAAGGTGTTGCGGCTTTTATTTAGCCGTGGCTGTAGTGCGCCACGATCAATTACATGTAGGGGAAACTCTGTGTTAATCATCCGAGCTTCACCTGACCCTCTAAGTATCTGCGCAGGCACACCGTGAAGCATTTAAACTTTCTATTAAGTTTGAAATGGAATCATGGCGGAAGGAGGAGATAACGGCGCCAAAGACATCCATCAGCCCTCTAAGAGGACCAAGTTGGAAGTATGGGTGTATTTTGGGTTTAGCAGGAATGTCAAGGAAACGATTCGTTGAAGGTGGTATTACTGTCTAGATATGATGAAACAATGAGAACAAGGCATTATTTAGCGCCAGTTAAAAACATAAAAAAATGCCTCAAATACATTTTTAAAAATACCGCGATAATACAGAAAACCACGATTAGCGGTGAGATAGAATTTCCATACTGGTACATCCCTAGTTGTGCCTCTATAGTTCGAAATTCAACTCTGATGGACCAGATTTGACTCCTGTGGTTTAATAAGTAAGAATAGACCAAAGAGCTTCCACAATGTTTCCAAACTTGAACAGAATTTTTTACTGCTTGAAACTAGACTTGATCGGACTTAACCCCCTTTAAATCGTCGGTAGTGTCAGTAGGTGTGTTTCCAAACTTTGAACAGAGCCAGGCCGAGGCCGTCCTCTCTCTCAAAGATAAGTGTTTCCCTATAACGCTGCAGTGTTTCTTCATAAACTTGCTGTGGGACACTTTCTCAGAAAACATGACAATTTCGAGTTCAATTAAACGACTCTGCCCCCCCCTCCCCATCAAAGTCCCTGAATCTCTGACTCATCCTAGTTCCTGCTCACACGTCTTGGGGATGTGAACCGTTTGTGTACTCTGAGCTCTTTTTTTCCCATGAAAGGCAACTCAGAGAGGTTCTGTCAATGATCAAACATTGCTCCTAGCCATGGTGGATAATTACTACAAGACACGGCCCTGCTAAAGCCGTATTGTGTGCCTGTATATGTGCACAGTGATTTACACTCACACTATGGTACACAATGCATCCTTATAAGAGTTTTAATAGACAGTTGTTGTTTTTGCCCTTCAAACATGATCAAACTCAGCTGTGAAATCGGCCGGGATTGTGTAACAGATGAAGGTTTTCAGCTCCAGAGTGGGTTCCCTTTGTGAGGGGATAACCCACTAAGTGGTTTCCAGCCTGGGGACTGGGACCCCCAGAAGGGTCACAAGATGGATTTTCAGATTGAAACAGTTTTTGGCATCATTAGCACATGAGCTTTGCATTTTGATGTTTAGTGGTTTTATTATTAAATAGTGGAAAATTCAACATTAAGAGGCCTCAAAGGGGAACTAAAGAGTTTGAGAAGTGAGGCTCATGTTTTACTGAGCGTCCTGAAAAGACACAAGGGGACCAGGAACCTTTAGATTAAATAGGAATAGCTGTGTTTTTAAGACTCGGACCGTTAATGCAGATTTTAAAAAGCTTAATAGGTGCTTTTAAAAGGTGATCAAGGTTCTGCCTCAGCCTGCAGCTAATAGACTGTAATGGTTACAGTGTAATAAATGAATTAAAGGGATATTCCAGCGTAAAATTAATTTAAGGTCAAACACATTGAAACACCGACTTAAACAACCCCTCCAGAGATGAATGTTGCCAACCGCTTGTTTCTCTAGTTATACCAACTTTAGTAACGACTGCAGGATAGCAATACAGAGACCCACACGCTCAACCAAAACGCCACTCTATAACCACAAATAATGCTCACAACAGCACCTAACTTCATTAACAGTACATATAGGGTCCCAGCCATAGTACTAGCCACCAAAGATCTTTTTAACTCTGACTAACTTCTTTAGCAAAGAGACTAAACACAACTCACCTACCCTCTTCCAGCAGCCGCTTGTTTGTAACGAGACCTTGGGCCAGTCCATTACGGACTACAGTAGTAGATAATTACAACATTTATGATCATTTCTTTATCGTTTCCTTGAAGTAATAATACTCATATTAATCATTTTGCACTGCAGACGCGACAGTTCTTCTGCCTTAATGTCTCGATCTGATTGCATTTCCATGCGGTCATTACTAAAGCTGGTATAACTAGAGAAGCAAGCGGTCGGCAACATTCATATCTCAAAGGGGTGTCTAACTCAGTGTTACAGTGTGTTTGACCCTGTATTGATTTTAGGCCGGAATATCCCTTTAAGAGTGCCTGATTAGTTAGAAGAGGTGAGGTACACCATCAAAGGTGTGACAGAAAGAGGCAAACAACCAATCAGGCACACGCTCACATCTACAGACAGTTAAGTGTCTGCCGTTAACCTGACGAGCAGGTCTTTGGACTACCCAGAAAGGTTCCTGCCCAACCTGGAATCCAAGCCATGGACCTTCCTGCTGTGAGACACCCTCCTGTGCAGCCCTAAATATCTTGAAAATGTTCCATAAATATTCAGGAATTATTCACAAGCTCCATCTATCCCTAAAATCTTATCTCAGGATCATGATGGTGGACTCAGGGACTGCTACCTGCACCTTAACTGTTTCTGTCTTGAGAATGCTCCTCTTTAGCCTCTCATGCTCCTGTTTATCTTCTTCTGGCTTTGCACCACTAGCACAACATAAACATCATTATCGCGGTCCTCACATTGGCGGTAAATCCTCCTGATATTTCCTCCTGCATTCACAAACTGACTCACTCTGACTTCCACAAAAATTTTCATGGACAGCTGGTGAAAAAGTTATGTCTACAGTGAGGTTTGAGGCAGTGACACTGGCAGATCAGCAGAATTAAACCGATGTTAGTCTTGTGGCTCTGAAGCAGAGGTGTGCTGGTTGTTGCTGGTTTTAAGTAATCACCAAAAAAGGTGAAATTTTCCTGTTGCAAGAACTATGTTGCAGCTGTTATCGCCTGTTTCGTGGCTTCTGGTTAAAGCAATCATGTGGGGTACTACCAAAGCCTACCCCTCCACATGTGGCTGATGTGGTCCTGCAGGTTTCCGACCCCCTGTACTAGAATAAACTAATCCGTCTTCCTTTCAGCGGACTGAACCTCTGTTTAGTTTCTTAAGCCACAGACCTTTACTTCATTGGTGAATAGGCTGCAGCTCTGCTCGGTCCCCGGCCTGGCTCTGTGTGGGGGCTCCTGTGTGCCCGGTGCCTGAGTTTAACCTCACCTCTTGGGGGTGAGAGCACTCCTGTCACGTCCCCATCCTGCCATGTGTTCAGGCCGGTGGTGGTCTCCTGCAGCAGCAGTGTCAAACAGCTCCCCCTCTCTCCGCTGAACACGTCTCTTGTTTCCTCTTAACTGGTTCCAGCAGTGCTGCAGTGTTTCTGGTCCAGTTGGTAATGATTTAAACAAGCTCAGGGCCTCTGCTCGGATCTCCTCTCTCACATCACTCACGTCTTCTTCTTCTCATTCAGATAATCATCGCTACATCAAGGCTGGATTTGATGGTGAAAGTCTGTAATTGTCTTCCCTTCAGTTCTCTAAGATGATCAGGTTTTCCAGCTCAAGGTGCTTCTCTGGAGTCTTGGTGGTCTCCTGGTCACCTTGACTTTTGCTTCATCTGTTGTTCATAAATGCTGAGGCTGGAGGAACAAGGGGGCACCATGTCAGATGGTTTACACCAGGAGAAATCTGATTACTTCTCTGCAGAGAGATGTTTTCCTGACCTCATGAGACCTGATCATTGTTTGGTTCACTCTGTGTCTATAATTCATTTCACAACTCAACTTAAGAGCTGCTTTGTTTCACATCCACCAGGAACTCTGAAGACCTGATGCAGTCGACTTGAAAACAGTCCATGTACATTATTTGTCAGCTGAGCCGTACACTGAAGACATAGAAGAAGCTCAAATAACATCTTCAGATGTCGGCTGAGTCAGTGAAAGTTTTCATTTTGCCTCATTTGGAGTTTATTTCTAGTCAAATTTTAAAGTAAAAGCTCTTCAAGAACAAGAGGAAGTGTAAGTGATGTCAGTGTTGGTTGATTAATGAGATTACTAAACACCTTGATTATCCTCTTATTTCACCCATGACTCAGCCTCCACCTGTGTCACTTACCCCCGATTTTCACAGCATCCGAAACGGCAGCGATTTTCGTCCGCCAATTCCTACCAGAGAATTGTGAGGAGAATTTCGTGGTGAATTATGGACAGCAGGAATCAGGAGAACTCACAAGAACCCGCGGTTTCACAAGCAATCGTGCGATCATGAGTTGTCTCTATAAAGACAGACACATAGACATATAAGCAGTAGATTGTGTCCTTCCAGAGGAGGAAATCTACTTCTAGACTTCTAGAATCAGCATCTCATCATCCATGGTGTCATCAGGGTGAAATGACGTCTAAAAACCTTTCACTTGTTCGTCTCCACCCGTTTGCATGGTGTGAAGTACAAACCGCCTGAAACACGGAGTGTTTTATTTCGAAAAGAAGCTGGATGTTTTATTTTGTGACTGTGCCTGACTTCCTTTCCAGCACGGGTTAATCTGTGCTGAATTTATCCAGCATGCTCCGGTATCCAGAAAAAAATAGAACTCTTGCAATCGGCTACGAAGCCCGCTAAACCGCAGGGGGCCGGAAAGAAGCCGGTAGAAATTGACACATTAACTTGAATAGTTACGATCAGCTATGATTGGCGGATACAGCTTTTTCGTAGCCGTTCCGGGTGCTGTGGAAATTGGAGGTTAGTTTTGCTGCTTTTCCACTGATAAACAGTTTAACACAAACAGTTCAGGGGTGTTACTTTTTAGACAGCTGTGTAGTCATGAAACAATACAAAAGTAATGCCTTCATGGAAAACATCTCTGAATGACTTGCAAATCATCCATGAGATTGTTTTGGCACCTTTTCACTGATAAACAGTTCGACACAGTTCAGGGGTGTTACTTATTACACAGCTCTGTAATCACGAAACAACCCAAGACTCACACCCTTGCAGAAAACATCAAAGACTGCTGTGTAGACCATCAAAAAGTTTGCTTTTCAAGCGACAGAAGAACCTGCAAATGTGTATGCAGAAAAGTAGATTTACATTCACCATGTAGACTTTAGAGTCATCACAGTCTTTTAACCCTTCTAGCCCAACAAGTGCACATCCTCAAACACCGGACTACTCCTTTAAGACTGAGCACAGAGCAGCACCCCCGAGGATAAAGTCATCCCTCGGCCTATATTCGTGTTGTCTTTCCCGATTTCTTGATCTCCTCTTGCCCTCTTTACGCCACTTCCTACTGAGCATCCTTGATCCTTCCTTCATCCTCTGCTTGTCAGACATATTGTTTCCTGCGCCCTTAACGTCACATGGTTTTACATTCGAGCAGAGGCAGAATACATGAGGCTGGAGGAGACCGCGAGGCTCGACATGATAAAACACACAGGTAGTCGAGTCCAGCATTTGATGTAGACCACTTAGATGGGGGAGCTGCTGGGCCCCAATTACACACACAAATACACACACACACCCTAACACGAACACACATCTCCATATCTACACACTGGCATAAAGTTGCCCATGTGTTTTTAGTCTTGTTCCCTATGGGCCACATGATACACTTCCCGTCTCAACAGGAAAACGCTCCTGTAAACTCGCTTCATTAGCCCACTGACCTGTGTTGTGTGTGTGTGTGTGTGTGTGTGTGTGTGTGTGTGTGTGTGTGTGTGTGTGTGTGTGTGTGTGTGTGTGTGTGTGTGTGTGCGCAGGCCCGACCCCCCTGCAGGATCCAGTAAGCAGCAGACTCCCCAGCGATCCACAGATGCTGCAGCAGCAACTTTAGAAGCAGAGGACCTGTTTGACAACTTCTGACCTTTCACTTTTCAAAGACAGACAAAGAGATAATGAGAAATCTGATTTTTACTCAAGAAGCTTTCATTTTTATATTGTATTTAAAGACCATGGATAACACTGAAATGATGTACAAAGAACATTTTTGGTCCTAAAACTGAAATGGTGACAAATTTAGAGAAAAAAAAATGAGAGTCTGATTGTGATACTGAGTTCGATTACATGTTCAAAAACTGATATATTGCATCAATCTGACTGAAATTGGACCAAATTGAATTTTATGTTGTTGGACAAACATACCCATTATGAAACTGAAACCATTGTAGACGTTCTGAGCATGCTCAGCAGTTTGCACGTCTCGCTACGACCCAGAAGCAAGAAGAACAGCATAAACATAAAGACAGATGAAGAAGTTTGTCGATTATTTTGGTCCGTGACATGACAGGTGAACCAGGAGATGGACCAGCAGTCATAAGATGATCTAGAGACCCGCTTCAGGAAAGTGTTAAAGCAAACTCGGACACCTCTCAGGGGTTGAAAGATGGCTCCCTCCTACACCTGTAAGAAAAATCCTGAACCTCCTCAGAGGATCAGAAAGGAACCCAAACAACCTTCAGTACCCGTAGAAAAACCTCAAACCTCCTGAAGCTTTCCTCAAAGGGATCCCAAACATGCTGGGTAACACCTTGAACCACTAAAAGGAGCTTTTGAAATCTTATAAAGGATCTCCAGAACCACCTGGAGTAATCCGAGACCTCCAAACAGACCACTTGAACAGTTGAAAGGACACTAAGTAGGGTTTACAAGTCCACTACCACACCAAAGGCTCTGAAAGGCCTCTGTAAACTTTTTAATTTTATAAATTGAACCTTTTTAACTTCAGAGTTGTGCTCTACACTCTGTGCACAGATCCTGACATCAGCCTGTTTCTCTGCCTGTTTTTTTTCCTCTATATTTGTCACCTGTTCTGGACGATGGATCTCAAACTCTGGGAAAAGCTCAAGCTTTAAAAACTGGTTCTGAAATTCGATTTTTATCTAACCTGTATTTTTTACTATTTTTTCAATAAACTTTGTGAATGTACTCAGTCTCGTGTTTCAGTTATTGAACATTGTTTTTTATGTGATCTGCCTTTTTTATTATAGATATACAGAGGAAGAAAACCTAACACATCTTTCTAATAACAACATCTAATAAACAATAACCACAACAACGTGACAACTTATCCCTCACATGGAGGATCATCTGGCCCTATTGTCTCCAGGAGGTGTGCTCACACCAGAAAAAAGGACCCTAGGACACCCTGGGCCACGATTAGATAAATCCGAAGAAACCCAGAAGCCTCTCGACATAGTTTGGACCACTGAAGAAATACATGACCATCATAAAAGGACCACCAAGACCTTTAGAAAACAAACCTCAGCTATGTCAGTGGGGACAGTGACAGTGAAACTGAGACTCACGTTAAACAACAACAGTAAAACTGAGACTCAGTGGGGAAAGTGACAGTAAAACTGAGACAGGGGTCAGATACAGTGAAAGTTCGACTCAGTGGAGACAGGAACAGTAAAACTGAGACTCAGTGGAGGCAGATACATTGAAACGGACACTCCTTTGTAAAACCATGATACTCAAGCTTCAGTGGGGATAAATACAGTAAAACTGAAGCTTATTAGACACAGATGTAGTGAAATTGAGACTCTGTAGAGACAAATTCAGCAATGCTTTAACTCCTTGGAGATAAATACTGTGAAACAGGGACCCAGCACAGAAAAACACAGTGAATCTGAGACTTCATGGACTCAGATTTGATAAAACTGACGCTCAGTGGAGGAACAAACGATGAAGATTTTACTCCATGGAAAGTGCTAGAAAGAGACTGAGAGTCCTTGGAGACAGATACTGAGAAACTGAGACCCAGTAGAAACATAAACAATGAAGCTGAGACTCAGAGGACACAGACTGTCTGGACACAGGTAGTTAGTGTCCATCAGAGGACTCCTGATCCTGATCCGCTCTTACTGGTAATCAAACAGGTCATCGGTCAGCCTGAAGCAGCAGCAGGAAAGTTTGTCCAAACAGACGGTCATTGAGGAGGAGGAGGAGGGGAGGTTGACCGTGGTCTGCAGAACCCTGATGATGTCATGAACCCCGGATACCACAATGTTAGGTTTCCAGGTTTTATCTGGAGGAGCGAATATTTGCAGATGTGCTCAGCCTGCACGGATAAACACAGATGAGTTCAGACTCGGGAGGGTGAGGTGATGCAGAAACCAGCGTTTACTTTGGACTTCATCGTGCTGAACCTGTGAGGGCCTAAAGCATGGATGTAGTGCTGCTGCATTATGGGAAATGTCAATCTGAGGGTTTATCTTAGAGCTTGGGGTAAAAACTGAGGACTTTGCGACATCTGCTGCACAGATTTTTGAGATGATCGATCTGATCTAAATCACCCAAACTGTACAGGGGAGGAGGAGGAGGAGGAGAAGTCACCCAGAATGACCCTTTAATGTCTCTCTCTCTCTCCTTCTGCCTCCCAGTGTCTCTCCACCACTGCTCCTCTCTTAGGTTTTCTCTGCTGCTCTCACTTCCTCCTCCTCTTCCTCCTCCTCCTCTCCTTCCCTCTACTCCCCCTCCTCCTCCTTCACTGGGCGGTGTATTGTGGGGGGTGTGTGGACATGTGCGCCCCTCCTCTCGGTAATGCGTGGATAATAGCGGGTGTAAAGTGGATTTGAACTTGCAGCCAGTGCTGAGAGGAGGCAGGAGAGGTTTCTTCTTCTGCTGCAGCAGCTGAGAGTGAAGCGCCTTCAGACGCGGCGAGTTTGAGAACCGACCAGAACCGACTGGATTTTCGGAACCATTCTTCTTTTTTGTGGATTTAAAAGGTAAGATGTTTAATTCTTACACTCTTCCCTCACGAATCTCTGCAGAGTTTCAAAGAAGTAACTTTATTTCCATGCACAGGAGGAATTTTTTTTTTTTTTTTTTTTGGTGATTTCAGAGTTTTATTTGACTTAAAACTGAACCCAGCCCCTTCTTCCTTTGTGCTGAGGAGTCTGGGGTCTTTTTGGGTGGTGGACAGGAATGTTCCCACACTGATAGAGCTGAATGATATGAGAGTCATTGATTGAAAGTGACACTCGGGACCAATTAGGTCCATTTCCATCCACTGACAGCTCAAACTCTTGATCCGTCGATAAGCTTTATCAGCGCTTATCTGCTCCAGCTGTGACCGCACATCTGCGCAGACATGTCCTCTTCAAACTCTTGATCCATTTCTATCTTCGGAATAAAATCAATCTTCGTAGTTTTTTTTTAATTTAAGACTTTTGGAGCCTTTTTTTTAACCGGGAAAAGTCAAAATAACCGGGTTAGATTTGCAGCCATAAAACGGACATGCCTCAGAAAACACGTTCAGATTAAAGTACAGAAAAACACTCAGCGCAGACTTTAAATGCTTTTAATGTGTGATAACTCAAAATAACTTAGATGTGTTGTAATGAGTAAAATGTGAAAAGTTCATTTGAACATTTGCAGACAGAAGTTAATGGGTAAAATTCATGAATGATGGTAGAAATGCACAAAATAATTAAAAAAACAAGTCGTGAGCTTTGGCTGTTTTATGTTAAGATTTCGCTCTAATAAAGTCTTTTTTCATTAAAAAAAATAAAAATCAGTTTCTGACTAGAAAGTTAATAGAAAAAAAAAAATTTGTAGTCACATTTAACGCCCAAAACTTACATCTTAACCCATTGTATAGTAATATTTCCTGACATAACCAGATAGTTTGAGAAGAATTAAAATAATTTAAAAAATTGCATTCGATTCTCTACCTAAAAACATTTTTGAGCTAAAAAAGCAACAATCAGCCGAGTAAAAATTTAAAGCTCCTGTCAGAGATTTCCAGTTCAATAAATTTTGGCGCCCCCCTGTGGACGATTCTGTAATTTCTGTGTCCTCTTCAAGCTCAAGAAGTGTCACCATCCTACTGACTTTGGACAGTTAAATGTGTAAAATTTTTGTGAATGTTTGATATTGAAAATACAAAAAAGATCCATATTTGTTTTCTTTGTTTTTGTTCGGCATAAAAAGTCGTCAGTTTGAGTTTGAGTGTCATTAAATTAAAATAAAAAACTCCCATCAGGAGCTTTAATTACTTTAGTAAACTAAAAACAACAAGAAGAAAAAAAAGTTCACATGATTACTCACTTTTTTTTCCCCACGAAGGTTGGAAAAGTCAATATTTTCAGAGATGAAAAGTAATCCATAACTTTTGGAAAGTCATAATATGACTCAAAAAGATGGGGAAACTAGAAAAGACAGCTGCTGCTGGATTTAGTACTTTTTCGTTTCTTTTTTCTTTGACTGAAACTTACTCTGACTTCTTCTCCCATCTGTCCTGACGGTATTTTACCAGCGGATTTAACCAAAGGTGCTCCTGGCTGATTAAAAGTTCATGAATTTTGACTTTTTCTTCTCTGACTTTATCTTCTGCTCTCTTCAGATCGTGTTGAGATGATTTCTCACATCCTTACACACCTGCTCTGCCTGCTGTGTGTGTGTTCAGCTCGTCCTTCATCAGGTGAGTCCTCTCTCTCTGTGTGAGGCTGAGCTCCAGGTCCAACTCTGACTCAGTGGAAACTTGTTCATGTTTTTCTGGCTGCAGACTCAGATCCTGAATCAGAGTTTGATTGTGTCTGTCTTCTCTGCCTCATCCTCTCTGACATCAACGTCATGAGCTGCTCCGAAGATCACTGTATGAGTCGAACACAGATTTTAGTCAAACGTCGCGTTTATTATTACAGGAAGAAAAAACCTGAGGTGTTTTTTTACCTAAAAAAACCTCAGAAAACAAGATCGAGTAACACCAGACTCTCTTTTTGGAAATCCTGGATGCCAACTTGGACTTCATTAAAGGGATATTTTGGCATAAAATTAATTTAGGGTCAAACACACTGAGTTAGACCCCCCCTCCAGAGATGAATGTTGCCGACCGCTGGCTTCTCCAGTTATACCAACTTTAGTAACAACTGCAAACTAGCAATAAAGAGAGCTACGCACTCAACCAAACACCACTCTATAGCCACAAAAAATGCTCAGAGCAGCACCTAACTTCATCAATAGTACATATAGGGTCCCAGCCATAGTACTAGCCACCAAACATCTTTTTAAAAACATTAATATACTGTAGGAAAGTTAGCCAAAGTAGACACTAAATTAAAGAAGACAACGGGAGTGGTGATAAAGTAAAAATATGTCACAAATTGGTTAAACTCAAAATTTAAAGTTAGAAGTGTTGGAAGTGTCGGTTAAAAAGTCAAAATCAACTAAATTTAATCTGTAAGGTTTAAAATTTCACCCTAAAAATCTCTTTAAGGTAAAAATTTGTCGAAAAATTCTCAGTTTTAACACCAATGGAGCTTCACTGAACATTTTGACACCTTTAAGCTTGTTGTTTTGGTTTCTCAGTCTCAACATTTAACCCTTTACTTTGGGATATTCCAGGGTAAAATTAATTTAGGGTCAAACAAACTGTTACACCGAGTTAGGCACCCCTTCGAGAGATGAATGTTGCTGACCTCAGGCCAGTCCATTACGGACTACAGCGGGGTGACGCAGCTCAAGGAAGAACATTTATGATCATGTCTTTATAATTTCCTTGAAGTTATAATCACCATATTAATCATTTTGCACTACAGACGCAGTAGTTCTTCTGCCTTAGTGTCTCAGTTTGATTGCATTTCCATGAAGAAATGATCATAAATGTTCTTCCTTGAGCTGCGTCACCCCGCTGTAGTCCATAATGGACTGGCCTGAGGTCTTGCTGCAAACAAGCGGCTGCTGGAAGAGAGTAGGTGAGTTGTGTTTAGTTTCTTTGGAAAAGAAATAAGTCAAAGTTAAAAAGATGTTTCGTGGCTAGTACTATGGCTGGGACCCTATATGTACTGTTGATGAAGTTAGGTGCTGTTCTGAGCATTATTTGTGGCTATAGAGTGGTGTTTTGGTTGAGCGTGTGACTCTCTGTATTGCTATCCTGTGGTTGTTACTAAAGTTTGTATAACTAGAGAAGCAAGCGGTCGTCAACATTCATCTCTGGAGGGGGTTTTTAACTCGGTGTTTGACCCTAAATTAATTTCACGGTGGAATATCCCTTTTATGAACAATAGCTCCAGGTTTAGGAGCATCAGGACTTTGTACTTGTAGTCACCATAAGGGCTTAATATCATTTGTCTGTCTAACACTCTTTTGGAAAGGACGATCACCTTAGGCGAAACGTCCCAAGTAAGTCCAGTTGTCCTTTCAACGAAGAGTTAGAAATCATAGATGCTGCATCCTCAGTTTTAAACAATATCTCCAGGTTTAGGATCAACATCTGCTGCCCTCTAGACAAAGACTTTTTCAGGGGGGAGACCTTCATATGATCCCAAACCACGTCCTTTTTCCTTCAGACAGATCACGACAAACTCTGACTGAAAAGTTCCAGCTCTGACACGGTCCTCTAACCATCAGGAACCATCTAACCCTCCATGTTCCCCCTTAGTTCTCTGATAGCGAGCTCTTAAAGCTGCTGCTTCGTGTCCTAATGCAGGATCCTGTTTTCCAGCTCCGCCTCAGATGAAGAGCGAGAAAAACTCTCCGGCGTTCGGCTCCATGGCGGGACGGGCGGTGCTGCCTTGCCACTTCGCCATCACGCCTGACTCTTCCCCGTCGCCCACCACGCTCCCTCCTTACTCCACCATCAGCCCTGATGAGGAGGTGAGGATCAAGTGGACCAAGGTGGAGGAGGCGGGGGAGAAGGTGGTGCTGGTGGCGCAGGGCGGCGTGGTGAAGATGGGGCAGGAGTATCAGGGTAGGGTGTCGGTGCCGGGCCGCCCGCTGTCGGTCGGAGACGCCTCCCTGACGATCGTGAGACTCAGAGCAAGCGACAACGGTCTGTATCGCTGTGAAGTGATGCACGGGATGGAGGACAGCCAGGACACCGTCAGTCTCAACGTCTCAGGTGAGTAAAACAAACGCACCTTCCTGATTCTTGGCTCTTATGGGTCGAATTAACAACCTGAGCAGAGACTGGACTGCTGTTTTAAAAAGAAGAGTGGTTTTAATCACTGATTTTGTCTAATAAAATATTCACGTTCTTAAAGTGTAGATAAAAATTGTTCAAAAAAAGCATCATTAATAAATGAAAAAAGGAAAAAATACAGAGTTCTGAGTCTTAGCAATGTAGAATAATTTTTTTGATTCATTTAAACCATTAAAAAAATAAATATACGGTAGGAAAGTTAGCCAAAGAAGACACTAAATTAAAGAAAACAAAAGGATGGGTAAAACAGTAAAAATATGGCTCAAACTGGAAAAACTCAAAATTCAAAGTTAAAAGTGTGTTAAAAAGTCAAAATCAACAACACTAAAACTGTAAGGTTTAAAATTTCACCCAAAAATCCTGAGTTTTAACACCTCTGCAGCTTCACTAAATGTTTTAACATCTTTACTCTCATTATTTTGGTTTCACAGTCTCAACATTTAACCCTTTACTTAGTTTCAAAAAAATCTGAATCATCCGTTTACATGTGGAGTGCCACAGGGTTCGGTATTTGAACCACTGCTGTTTACATCGTCTGTTAGTTATAAACGTTTGAAGTCAACGTCACTGAAGTTAAAATCATTTTCAGGAAATACACGTTTTCTGAAGTGGAAAAACAGCTGCAGCCAATAATAATTTTTAAAAAAGCAGTAAATACAATTTTTCTTAATTGTGAGATAAATCTGTAACTTTTGGAAATCGTACTTTTTCCGGCAGCAGGTGAAACTTCCCCCTAAAAAAAGAAAGTCCCGCTCTCTTCAGGAGTTTCTGGGGTTTTTCCGTCACAGTGGAAACCCCACAGAGCTCCTCGCTCTCAGACATTTACACAGATTCCACATTAATAGTGAAGAGGACTCTTTGTTGGTCAGCTCACACAAAGACGCTCCCTATGAGTGACACACAACTCTCCATTGAACTCCTTCAGCCGTCCATTCAGCACTGCCAGGAGATCCTCACAGAGAGGAATAATCCTCCATCCAGAGGAGGAGAAAGGAGCTAATAACTCCACATAACAGTCAGATTGACTCTGACGATGGAAGAACTGACTGTCTCTGAGGCTGAAGTTTCATGATGTTGTTTAGTCTTTACTGTAATCTGGTCTCATTTCTGTGGATTATCTCATCCGGACTGAGAAAACCTCATTTTTTCACCAGTGTTGTGATCTCAGCCCAAACTTTCCGACGATGGAGTCTCAGATGTTGAAGTAAAGACCTGGTCATGTTCCTGTGTCTGTATCTGCAGGTGTGGTGTTTCACTACAGAGCGAGCACCAGCAGGTACACTCTGGACTTCGCTGCTGCTGTGAAGGCGTGTGACGACGCAGGCGCCCGTATCGCCGAACCTGAACACTTGATGGCTGCTTACGAGGATGGCTACGACCAATGCGACGCAGGCTGGCTCGCCGACCAAACAGTCAGGTATGACAGTGAACTGACGCTCTCCTGCAGATGTTAGAAATAAAGTTTTCACGATTCAAATACTAAAAATATTCTTCTGTGTGTGTTTTTTTTTCAACCTTTTCCTCCTCTCAGATATCCAATCACGAGGCCCCGCCCCGGTTGCTCAGGCGACCTGGAGAGCAAAGTAGGTGTACGATCGTACGGCGTCCGCGACCCCAGTGAGAAATACGACGTGTACTGCTTCGTGGATCGGTTACGAGGTAAACTAAAACCGGCAAATATTATATTTGACCTATAGAGCATGGTGCTAGTCCAGGCAGGCTGCTAATGCCTATCCATGTCAGCTGACAGCTCAGCTACATCGTAAAAGTGTTTTTCTCTTTGACCTGAAACCCTCTCAGGGTCTTTGCAGCTGCTCTCCCCACCTCCTTTCCAGCTCCTCCTTTTTGTTCTGGGTTTAATTTTACCCCGATCACATGACATGGAAAGTCCTCTCAATCAGTGTGTTTACATGACACTCTAGAAAACCGAATTATCACCTTACTCCAATTAGAGATGCACTGATCAATTTTTTTCCGATCCAATCCGATATCAATACCTAGGTTGAGCATATCAGCAGATATCCAATACCGATCCAATACTACTGTTGAATGAATATACTGTATACCTTACCCTGTGAGTGAAGGCATCAGGCTCGACATTAGCCTTGTTAAAAAAAGGGAACAAATTCACACAGATATACAGATAAATTATTTATTAACGAATTGCACATTAGCACACAACAAAAACAAGACTTCCATGTATTAAAAGAAAAATTAATTAAAAGAGAAAAAAAGATCGAAACACTGGATCGGCATCATTCATCCTATATCTGATCCAGTTAATTTGTTGATGTCGGAGTCGATATCTGAAACAAATATCTGATCGGTGCATCCCTTATTCTGATTACCGTATTTTCCGCACTATAAGGCGCGCTTAAAACATTTTAATTTTCTCAGAAATCCTCAGTGCACCTTATGTATGAATTCTGGTTGTGCTGACCTCGAACCGATTTTATGTGGTACACAGCGTTAAAAAATCTGTCGAAATGTTTTATTACGACATCAGTAAGCTACAAAGCTGCACAGCCTGTCGGAGCACTGCAGCTACTGTAGCCTCGCAGAGTTATTGAATGAGTTCAATAAAGTTTGACTTATCTGACTGTTTTGTTTGGCTAAAGGTGGGGTGGCAGGATCTGAAGAAGTTCCAGTTTTGGGGAGAAATCTTGAATGTAAACTCTACCCCTCCCAAATAGTTTTCCCCTCAGCTCCTCCTCTCCCCTCCCTCTCTGCTCCAGCAAGCCCCGCCCACAAACAGACGCTCCTGCTCGCTCGTATTGTTCCAATTAAATTCAGGTATAATACAGATAAATACTTCAGATAATTACAAATGGGGCCCAGTCAACGTGAAAGTAAAAAGCATTGGTGCTACTGTAGATACCAACAGACTACCAGCAAACACAATGTTTGCAGGACTTCTACAACTAGGATAAAGTGACATAGTCCAGGACCAGAGTTCAACAGTTTAGCGGAGCTACAACACGCTACAGCAGGCCCCGTTTGACAAGAAACACTTCTGTTACAGACACTTGGCTTACTTTGTTAAAGCGGTTTACCTGTCCAGCAGAAAGGTTACAGGGTCAACAACATCCCGAAGCGCTCCCCATTGTTTATGTTGACCCGGCTTTTTAGCTCTTGTCCGGTCTACCTCCGTTTTAAGCGCCCGTTATTCCACCAGAGTCTCCGGTATTTACTTTGTTTTCTTGCATGTGTTGGCAGTCGTGGCCAAAGGAGGATTCAGACAATTTTCCGTACTTTCTGGTTGGTTTCTATTGTCTGATATTGTAGCACGCTAACTTTGTTTGGGCTCCTGAATGACACGGGGGAGCAGTGTCTGCCTCACAGCCTATCAGGATGGGGGAGGCGGGGAATGGCTTGGTTTACAGTCAGAAAGAGCGGAGCCCTCAGAAATGTTAAAATGTTGACTACACAGACATAACAAAACACAGCGATATCATTATATTCCCAAAGGTCATTAATAACTAATAACTATTGACTGATACTGAAAGCTTTTTTGTATATTCACCACAAAAAAAGATGCTTTTTTAACGGATTCCTACCTACCCCACCTTTAATGCGTTTTATAATCTGGTGCGCTTTATGTATGAAAATAGATGCAAATAGACGCGTTCATTGATGGTGCGCCTTACAGTGCAAAAAATATGGTAAGACCAGACAACTGAAGTGCATGTAAACATCTTAGCCCGACTGTTATAGGAGTTTGAGAATTTAGATTAAGACACCCAGATAATGCAATTGGAAATGATTTTCTCTATCAAGTAACCAGCGTAGTCCGAGTATGCTCAGACAATGCATGTGCACCACGCCCCCGTAACCCCGTGGGGCGAGAGAGAAACATGAGAGAAGAGGAGTAGCATTTGTCTCATCAGCAGAAAAAGTAGTGCATCCATCATGTAGGACAAAAACAATGCTGTACGATGCTCCATGTTCTTGCTCCAAAATGCCCAGCAGCAGTTGTAGACACTTCTGACGTCTGGCACGGACCTGCTGTTGTTGTTGACGGTTGTATGGGGTCGGAAACAGCGCCGCTGAAAAGATCCATATCGCCCCCTAGTTTTGGGGAGGAGGACACATTTACGTTGATAATTGAATTTCTCAGCTGCATGTATACGCCGACAAGGAGAGAAGTCCAATTCAGCGAACAATACGAATTACGAGCTTAGTCGGATTAAACTGTGCATGTAAACGCACTGAGTGATGGCCTGGTTTGCTCCTGCAGGTCACACAGAGACCGTCAGTATAAATTTCAGTCTGTTGCCTCACTGGAGCTTTACATAAAGATATGTTGTTTTATTGGCAGTTGAGTCTGCTGATGAGAGAAATCCTCTGATTGACTGTTAAAAGTCAGAAAACTGAACAAGAAGAGAAACCAAAAGTTAGAAAAGCAAACTCTCTTTTGTTCCTCCATGAGAGAAAAACTTGAGCTGCCAACACCGCAGCTATTAGCAGCTTTTCGTCCATCATTTCCTGGATTGTATTTTTAAATATTTGGGTCTTTTTGGGGCGCTGAGAAAGTTGTAGACAAACACCGCTGCATTATAACAACAGTCAATAATCTGCAGTGATTCTCCGGGGTCTTTGTGGTGCATTCAAGAGCAACAGACAGAAGTGACGGGACTCAACCTGGCAACCGTCTGCTCCTAGCCTTTGCTTTGGTGTGGATTTTCTGTATTTGGGAAGTTAAAACCACAAAAACTCAAACACAACAATAGCAAGTGTCATGGCTGTTCCAGAACTTTGCCAAAATAAACAAAGACAGGAAACATGTTTACTCAGAAATGACTTTAAAACAATATAGTCGATAAAGTTTAGGATTATTAACACCTCTTTTTCTGTCAGCAGAAAAAAATCTCTAATCTTAAACAATCATCAGTGAAAACTTTATTTCGTGACAAAGGCAGAAGCAGCTTCGATGTGACAGTTTTTGTCCTGAAAACATCAAAAATAATCACGACATGATAATAAGACACTTAGAGGAACTTTCAGAGAGCAGAGAGGGTGGAGCGATGAGCAGTAAAACGGACTTTTCCAGGCGAATGGAAGGGTCAGAGAGCTTCCAGGCGGGCGCGTCCTTCAGCGTCGTCCCTGAAGGACAGCAGAGCCTGACGCAAAGTCTGGGAAAGCTCTTCGAATGAGGAGCTGCTCAGAGAGGCCAGAAAAGCATCTGGGACAACTCCAACATCCAATTGTCTCTTGTTATAAAGCTCTCAGTCAAAGTTGAGAGAGGACATCCAACTCTGGGTTAGAGTAGAAGTCAGTGGGAGAGATTCAGGATTATTATTATTTCTAATGTCATGAACCTGTGTGTCTCCATGTCTGAAGGTGAGGTCTTCTACCCCGACCTCCAAGAGAAGCTCACCTTCCAGCAGGCATCCATGGAGTGCCAGAAGCACGACGCCGTGATGGCCGCACCTGGTCACCTGTACGCGGCCTGGAGAGCGGGGCTCAACCGCTGCGACTACAGCTGGCTCTCCGACGCCAGCGCCCGCTACCCCGTCACCATCCCCAAACCTCAATGTGGAGGAGGCCTGCTGGGAGTCCGCACGCTCTTCAAGTACAGAAACCAGACCGGATACCCTGATAAAACCGACAAATACGGCGTGCTCTGCTTCAGAGGTAAGAGTGAAAATCACAGCCGGACTGTTGTTGTGGTCTGTTTAGAGGTCTTCAGTCTGCAGGAAAAAACACATCAGGGTTAAGACCCAGACGGATCAGAGAGGGTTCAAGGCTTTTTAAAGCACACAGACTTTATTTTATTTTTAGCCTTAAAGGGTCATGTGTCATTTCTAAACGCAGTATCGAGTTTTGAATATATATTTAGGGTTTGAATCAACAAAACTGAAAGAAATAGACAGAAACTGCAGCATATAGTCCAAACTACTGTCTGTTTCTACCATCACACTAAAATTGCTCCCCTGCAGAAGTCAATAAACTCCTCCCACAAGTCAGATCTGGATAAACTAACTCCTCCCACAAGTCATTTCTGGATACACTAACCCCGGTTACAGTTTGCTTTTTTGTGTTTGATAAAACTTTTCTTAACTTAGTTATAGACACAGAAGGTTTGAGGCAGAGACGTCTTAATTCTCGGCTGACAGACTCAGAACCAGATTCACAAAAAAATTTCAGTCCGGCCATAAACCTGTACAAACGAGCAGAACAGACCTCATCGAACTCACAAAGGGTTCAGTGCTCCACCACCTGCACTGGAGAGCAGCGTCTTCCTTCACAGTGCAGTTTGCACACAATGGACTGGCCCGAGGTCTTGCTACAAACAAGCGGCTGCTGGAAGAGAGTAGGTGAGTTGTGTTAAGTCTCTTTGCTAAAGAAATTTGTCAAAGTTAAAAAGATGTTTGGTGGCTAGTACTGTGGCTGGGACCCTATATGTACTGTTGATGAAGTTAGGTGCTGTTCTGAGCATTATTTGTGGCTATAGAGTGGTGTTTTGGTTGAGGTTTGTTTATGGCTCCTCAGATCGCTGTGTATTGCTATCCTGCGGTCGTTACTAAAGTTGGTATAACTAGAGAAGCAAGCGGTCGGCAACATTCATCTCTGGAGGGGGTGTCTAACTAGTTGTTGCTGTGTGTTTGACCCTAAATTAATTTTATGCCGGAATATCCCTTCAAATTTCATCAGTACTTTTTGCTTTGTGAATCACACACTGAGACCGAACAGATAGCAATGACCAATGATGTGCAGTTTTGCTGCATCTCCGTGATTACCCTCTTCAGATTGTTATTTTAAGTGTCTGACAACATCATAAAAGAAATCCTGCAGAGACAGAACTGTTTTTTAAGGAGGAAGATGTTGTAATTTAAGCAGAAACAGATGTCCCATCACTTTTTAAAGTAACCAGACCACACTGTTAGGAAGAGTCATTTTACTCTGCAGTAAAAGGAGTTCGTGAACATTTGCATTTCATCTCAAAGTTCATGTTTTAACTATTTCATGTTTAGCTGCTCCAACTTTAAAAACATCAAAGTAATCCAGACTACACTCTGTATGACACTCTTTTTAAATCTCTACACTCCACCCACAAAATTAGCTGTTAAAACCTGCCGAACCCGGGAGTCACTGGTCTACCACTCACTTGATTTTCACTCTATTTTGTTTTGAAGGGTGGATTGAAACCCAAAACAATTATTTATTTACACCTGAAAAAAACAACAAAAAAAAAACCCCAGAAAAAACAACTAGAAGAGGCAGAGGCAGACCAGCAGCTCCCATGTCCTGAGCTGTGACCGTCCCTTATCACCACATTTGACTGCTTGAATTATGTAACTTTGCAGAAGGAGCCTACGATACATGTAGTAAGCATGCAGAAGTATCCCCTCTGACATTTCTATCAGTGTCAGTTAAGAGGAACATTTCCTATCTGGATCTGACTCTGATTAGAGATACCTGACCCCTCTTTGGGAATGTTCATCGATGAAAAAAATTGATAAAAATGGATGAAAGCGTCTCCTGAAACCATGACATTAAATTTGATGTTTTAATTTGAAGAAGAAGAAGAAGCACAAATCAGCCAAACTAACAGAAAGGGGGTCCAAAAGAGAGAAACTGGAAAAGGAGAATTACAAACATCCTGACATGCAAACTCATTCATCTGAGCATGTACAGGATTCCTCCTCCTTATCTCAGGGTCCACTCTGACACCTTTGTCTGCTGGAGAAAAACTGCAGCTTCTTAAGCGGGAGATTCCGGAATAAAATTAATTTAAAACACACCGTAAAACCGAGTTAGACACCCCCTTCAGAGATGAATGTTGCCGACCGCTTGCTTCTCTAGTTTTACCAACTTTAGTAACGACCGCAGGACAGCAATACAGAGCGGGTCTGACGAGCCATAAACAGACCTCAACCAAAACACCACTCTATAGCCACAAATAATGCTCAGAACAGCACCTAACTTCATCAACAGTACATATAGGGTCCCAGCCATAGTACTAGCCACCAAACATCTTTTTAACTTTGACTAATTTCTTTAGTAAAGAAACTAAACACAACTCACCTAATCTCTTCCAGCCTGCCGCTTGTTTGTGGCGAGACCTCAGGCCAGTCCATTACGGACTACAGAGGGGTGTAGTGTTGTGTCTTTCGCGAAAAGAACCGAATCTTTCAAGTGAACGTACTGAACCAAATTACTCACTCAAGTGATTTGTTCGTTCGTCATTTCAGTTGAGCTGTCAGCAGCGCAGCTGCTATAGCATGCAGCATTGCCAGGCGAGCAGCCAGGGAACAAGGGCCTGCGTGCACTGCTGCCTGAATCACTTGGTAAACAAATTACGCATTGAACTACACTCTCTGGAATCATTTTTTCGGGCAAAACTAACTTTGCCACCACAAATACTTGTATACAATAGGACACAGCATGAAACAAGTAGTGCATTAAACTCGCAGCATCCTATCATTGCAGCGGTTTGCAAGGGAATGGTGCATGTTTAGTTTGAATTCTTCTAAACGTTCAGCGAAGGAATCACTAACTGAGCACAATTTACTAAAAGAACTGCTGTGCCCATCACTAGCAGGGTGACGCAGCTCAAGGAAGAACATTTATGATCATGTCTTTATCATTTCCTTGAAGTAATAATCACCATATTAATCATTTTACACTGCAGACACGGTAGTTCTTCTGTCTTAGTGTTTCGGTCTGATTGCATTTCTATGAAGAAATGATCATAAATGTTCTTCCTTGAGCTGCGTCACCCCGCTGTAGTCCGTAATGGATTGGCCTGAGGTCTCGCTACAAACAAGCGGCTGCTTGAAGAGAGTAGGTGAGTTGTGTTCAGTCTCTTTGCTAAAGAAATTAGTCAAAGTTAAAAAGATGTTTGGTGGCTAGTACTATGGCTGGGACCCTATATGTACTGTTGATGAAGTTAGGTGCTGTTCTGAGCATTATTTGTGGCTATAGAGTGGTGTTTTGGTTGTGGTTTGTTTATGGCTCCTCACACTGCTGTGTATTTCTATCCTGTGGTCGTTACTTAAGTTGGTGTAACTAGAGAAGCAAGCGGTCGGCAACATATATCTCTGGAGGGGGTGTCTAACTCAGTTTTACTGTGTGGTTGACTGTAGCTTAATTTCACGCCGGAATATCCCTTTGAGTCAAGCAAACTCTGAGGTGTGTTAAAACACAAACAAGCTGCAGACTGCAGTCATTTTAAAAGAGAAGGAGAAGAATAAGAAGAAACCCAAACAGGAGGAGAGCAAACTCCCCCTACCCTTTTTAGAGTGGGGCACATACTTTTATGAGGGGAAAACCCGACTCATGCTCTGAAACACAGATAGAGAGAAAGGGGACAGGTCCCTAATGTCTCACAGCTGGACCCGGCCCAGACACAGACAGACAGACGGAGGGAGGAAGAGTACAGGGCGAATTCTCCTCCTCCTCCTCATCTTCATTTTTATTAAGAGAGAGGTGAGCAGCACAGGAACCAATCAGATTCTTTACTCATGACATCACTGCTCACAGTTTATTGGCTCTGATTGAGGAACTTTCTGGAACTTAAAGCTGAGCCGTACATTCTGCCGAGTTTGCACCACAGAGGTAACAAGCAGTGAAGTGACAGCATGAGGACAGACCCCAGACCAGCCAGATGACTGTGAGCTCGCCAAACACATGACATCATAACTGGGCGGGGCTGAATAACGCAGACTTCATGGTGTGAAGGACCAGAGCAGACAGCCAGGCCTTTAAACACCTTTATGAGCTAGAGTGGAAAAACAACGATCTAATGACGCTCCAACACATCTCTGCTGCTGTTTAAAGAGCCGCTTTAACCGCAGAGGGAGACTTTAATGGAGGGGATGTTTTTTAAAGCCAGGAACAGCGCTAACATCGATGTCTTAAAAGACTCCAGGCTGAATCAGTCTCTATATGTTTGCAAACGCAGGACTTGATGGTCTACTGCTGAGGCTTTTAAAAACGGATTGAGGGTGTAAAATTAATTTAGAGTCAAACACACAGTAACACGGAGTTAGACACCCCCTCAAGAGATGAATGTTGCCGACCTCTTGCTTCTCCAGTTATACCAACTTTAGTAACGACCGCAGGATAGCAGTATACAGCGGTCTGAGTAGCCATAAACAAACCTCAACCAAACACCACTCTATAGCCACAAATAATGCTCAGAACAGCACCTAACTTCATCAATAGTACATATAGGGTCCCAGCCAAAGTACAAGCCACCAAACATCTTTTTAACTTTGCCTAATTTCTTCAGCAAAGAGACTTAACACAACTCACCTACTCTCTTTCAGCCTGCCGCTTGTTTGTGGCGAGACCTCATGCCAGTCCATTACGGACTACAGTGGGGTGACGCAGCTCAAGGAAGAACATTTATGATCATTTCTTCATGGAAGTGCAATCAGACCGAGACGCTAAGGCAGAAGAACTACCGCGTATGCAGTGCAAAATGATTAATATGGTGATTATTACTTCAAGGAAATGATTAAGAAACTTGAGGTTCCGTAAATGACTTTAGGAGAGCAAGGTAACAGCTGTTTCTGGAGAAAACCTGAAAAAAAAGATCATGGACTGGACCATATGACTGTTACAGAGGGATAAAACCAGGTCCCTGGGTCACATAGAGCTGGGTCAGTAGTTTTAGGCATGTAGATAAATCCAGGCTTTTATTCTGTATATTTGAACACTAGGGCTGTAAAGTCCTGGTCAATTGGTTGACTTATTAGTCGATACGTGCTGAGTCAACCAAAATTCGGATTAATCGACTCGATTTTTTTCCGCATCAGTTTACTGTTACAGGCGGATTGGAGCGGCATCAGCAGTGATGCAGACGCTTAACCGATCAGTTGTGGTGAAGAAAGAGCTTAGCCGTAAGGCGAGACTCTCGATTTACTGCTGGATCTATGTGCTGACCCTCACCTATGGCCATGAACTTTGGGTAATGACCAAAAGAACAAGATCGTGTTATCGCGGTTCTTGTTAGACACATTTCTCCCGTTTGGCTTTACACCTCTGTTGGAGATAATGGGTTGTGCTACCTTTGAACAAACTCTGCCGAGGACTGTGGAGGATTGAAATCTGATTTAGTCAAAAAAAGCAAACCAAATGACTTAAGAGATCCAGCTACAAAATCGTCTGTTTTACCTGCAGGAAACAGAAGTTGCTGGTCTAGACTACGACACTCACTTGATTCTTAAGCAATAATGACAACCGTGTGTTTTAAGAGTTCATTAACTACCAAAACTGTAATTATTTACATCTAAAAACACAGACGAACCAGCAGTGGTAGACCAGCAACTCCCATGGACTGGGCATGCCTTTTTAGAAACAAGATCTCCATTTCTGCTTGTCGTGGTTCATTGAAGGAGTAAATCAATCTGTGCTTCTAGGTTTGAACAGTAGGTGGAGCTCATTAAAGAAGATAATATTGCTACAGGAGATCCAGTCTGGGCCTAATCAAGTCCTGACACCCCCAAATATTCAGAAATGAGACCTCTGTTCTGATAAAACCCAAAGAACCTCAAAGTTGTGTCAGTAATAGGGTGGTTTTACTATCACTGAGTATCTGCATAAGGAAATAAATGAATAAAGATTGAAAAAAAGTAAATTTAAGAGGGGCAACTAAAAAAGGGGGAGCCTCGTCTCGGAGGAGAGTCAGCTCCAGCCTTTATTAAAGCATTATGTCAGTGACGTTCAAAGCCCAGGACTACATGATGTCAGCACTCGGACCTACACAAAGCGCAGCATTGTGTGTGGGTGTTTGGGAGTCTTGTTTCCCGTCTTTTCTCATATGGTACGTGTTCCATCATAATGAGATATAAATCTCTGCTAGCATCACAGGCTAATTTACAGCAGCAGGCTGGTTTTCTCTGCAGGACTGTAAATAATGAGTGCTTCAGGAGGAGGGAGAAGGTGGTCACCACGTAGAAAACAATAGAGAGTGTGTGTTAGCCTGCTATTTCTACACACACAGATTTCCCATAAAACAGACCTGAATTTCCTGCTGTATCTGAGGCATTGTTTTCACTCTGACACCATCAGTACAGTTTTATTTCTCACAGGTGACTTCATGCTTCAAAATTCAAAGCTGCCACTTTTCCTTTTATAGCCAACGTGACAGCGTCATGATTATTATCATTTTCCACAGAGGGAGAAAGAGAGAGAGAGAGAGGGAGAGAGAGAGGGAGAGCACTTTTCTTTTTCTAATGAGTCACTGCAGCCTGATTCAGTCTGAAAACATTTTCTCTTGGATTAGCTGATGTTGGCCGGACAGATTTTTTCAGACATGCATGTTTTATCTCACAGATGATGAATGAAGATATTTTTATCACTGTGCAGCACTTTCCAGAGTTTAACACAGATATTAGGGTGATTTTCTGTTATTTCCAGCCGTCATTGTTGTTTTTATTTTAATTTATTACATTTGTTTTTGGCAGAAAGCATGTCTAAAGCTTTAAACATCACTGAGTGGATTACAGGTTCTGTTAAAAACTTTTTAAAAACTCTTTTTAAGGTTTTAAACTAGCAGTGGGCGATAAAACGATAACAATATAAATTGAAAATTAATTTCCCTCAATATTAATATGAAACATGGTCAATATGCTTTTTGATAATTGGCATTCTGCTATGTGTTGTTAGATATACAAATAGCCAATGAAAAGGGGAGTCACTCCGGGTCACGCTGCACTGAACCATTGATGGCTGAATTAGAGCCAAGTAGCAAACAACTGCGCTGTAGCAGGCAGCAGCTACACACAACCATAGCACATTAACAGGTGAAGCTGACAGCACTGTTGGTGAGAAAAAAAAGAACGAGTGGTACCCCCAGAAATGACGATAAAGACTCAACAGATGACGACATCGTCGACAACACTGGCATGAAAACGTTGGTGTTGTGGAGGTATTTTGGTTTTTTGAGGTCGGACATGAAGCAGAGTAATGTGTACTGAAAATTATGTTGAGTACATGTTCTCACAAAGTCGGGTAATACCTCAAATCTTTTTCACCACCTGAAGCAGCACCACATGGCAGAGCACGCACAACGCAAAAGGTTACAAACCCCGAGCGGAGCAAGGAGCCCATGGCGCCTGTGGCGCCAAAACAGCCGACCATTCAGTCCACTTTCTCTAGAGCAACGCCTTATGACAAAACTTCAAAGAAACACAAAGACCTCACAAATGCAGTAGATTATTGTATTTCAAAAGACATGCTACCAAGAAACACTGTTAAACTTCATTTTTTTATATCGTGATATATAGCGATATCGACTGATATGAAAAAAATATACTGTGATAAACTTTTTCCCATATCACCCAGCCCTAATTTAAACTCTCTTTTTCATTCTGTCTATCACAGCTGGACCCCCAGAGCCAACCTTACCTGATGGCTCCTTTGATCCCAGCAGACCAGTACCTGGGCGAGAGGTAGACTCAGCGAGAACTGGGATCCAAACAAGACCAGGTGCTGTCCCAGGGAGACCAGACACAGGCTCACTTGACCAACCCGGCGTGTTCCCCACCTCGGAGTTTGTCGACTATGATGTAGCAAATTTTGACACATCCAGGGTGGAGGCAGTCCCCAGAGGAGACAGACTGTCCCCAGTGCAGTTCCCTCCTTTGCCCACCACCCGCCCACAGCCCTCACAGCTCGACATTTACCAGGGAGGCCTGGACCCTAGTGCCGGAGTGTTGCTGACCCCAGGTGTGGGAGTCCCTCCAGAGATGGGTGCCGTACAGGAAGTTTTTAAGGGGGACACCAGTGGAACTGCCTCCCAGTATGAGATCGTCCAATCACAGGCTGTTCCCGGAGGTGTCGACTCATCAGCTAAACCACCTGTACACATCATCCTCGTCAACGTGCACGACCAGAACCAATCAGGTGGGTGGAGAGATGTTAGGTGATTTCAGTTCAAACATGACCACTCAGCACCAGAACTACAAGTTATTCAAAGACTGGAAACACTGGTCAGGTGTTAGAGTGTGGGTCTGCAGAGCTGGAGGCTGCAGTTTCAGGACCCCAGCTATTCTGGGACCCTTGCTGTTGTGAGGGGTGTCTAGGGTTGATGTAAGACACAAAGACTGGTCATATTATACTCTGCAGATCCTACATGTTAAATAAAGGTGGGGTAATCAGGATCTGAGGAAGTTCCAGTTTTTAGGGGAAATCTTGAATGTAAACTCTACCCCTCCCAACCAGTTTTCCCCTCAGCTCCTCTTCTCCCCTCCCTCTCTGCTCCAGCAAGCCCCACCCACAAACAAACGCTACTGCTCACTTGTATCGTTCCAATTAAATTCAGATATAATGCAGATAAATACTTCAGATGATTTCAAATGGGGCCCAGTCAACATGAAAGTAAAAAGCATTGGTGCTACTGTAGATGCCAACAGACTACCAGCAAATACAATGTTTGCAGGACTTCTACAACTAGGATAAAGTGACATAGTCCAGGACCAGAGGTCAACAGTTTAGCTGCACTACAACATACTACAGCAGGTCCAGCTTGACAAGAAACACTTCTGTTACAGACACTTAGCTTACTTTGTTAAAGCGGTTTACCTGTCCAGCAGAAAGGTTACAGGGTTACCAAGATCCCAAAGCGTCCCCCATCATTTATGTTGTCCCGGCTTTTTAGCTCTTGTCCGGTCTACCTCCATTGTAAGCGCCCGTTATTCCACCAGAGTCTCCAGTATTTACTTTGTTTTCTTGCTTGTGTTGGCAGTTGTGGCCAAAGGAGGATTCAGACAATTTTCTGTACTTTCTGGTTGGTTTCTACCAATGGCGATTGCTCTAAGACTGCAAGGGAAGCTCAGCTTCCCTTAAAATGTCACCCCCCCAAAAAAAAGAAAAAGTGGTGAAATACGTACTGCTGTGTGTACATTTCATTAACTAAATACGCGCTAGAAAGCCTTCATCTTTTGTTCAGACACTGTGATAAGAAGCTGATAATCACAGGTAACCGGCATAACTTCATTCTCATTCATCCTCGCAGCGCCTCAGCGCTTCACACAGCCGGACGCTCAGCGTCTACTGACTTCAATGTGGAAGCTCAAAGTGGGTTGTTCCAGCAGCTAAACTAGATGCTCATTGGATAAATGCTGGGCTTTGTCCCGCCCATCGGACGCTCAGCGTCTCTGGAGTTCTATGACGAGAGGGCAGTCCCAACTTTCGCCCGGACTCTGAGCTTCTGCATCCATGATTGGATGAGCTGTCTGAGGCGAAATCCTTTTTTGATTGACAGCTAAAGAAGCGAATCAGTGATCTTGAAGAATAAAACATCTAGCAGAGCATTTTCCAAGTTATTCATTCCGTTGTTCTTAACTGCTCCAGAGACTTTACCGGAGTAGAATTTACATACAAAGAAACAAACACAATTATGATGTAGGCCAGAAAAATGAGCTTCCCCTCCTTGAAAGACCAGCAGCTGCCACTGGTTTCTACTGTACGATATTGTAACACGCTAACTGTGTTTGGGCTTCTGAACGACACGGGGGAGCAGCGTCCGCCTCACAACCAATCGGGTTGGGTGAGGCAGAGAATGGCTTTGTTTACAGTCAGAAAAAGTGACCTGCTCAGAAATGTTAAAATATTGACTACACAGACGTAAAAGAACACAGCGATATCGTTATATTCCCGAATGTCATCAATAACTAATAACTTGATTGATATTAAAAGCTTTTTTGTATACACACCACAAAAAAGATGTTTCTTTAACGGATTCCTGCCCACCCTCACTAAAGGTGCATACCTGCAGAAATCCTGACTGTCAGAAGCTTACTTTACTCGATTGGGTGTCATGGCTGAAAGCTTAAGCAGTCCACTGCAGCGGGTCCAGAATCTTTAGTACCTATGGGCTGCTTCGACCCCCTAAAAGTGATGAAATGAGCCCCAGGTTGAAAACTGTTGAATTCCCAGTCTTCTCTTTGACATTTATAAACATCACTGTCATATAGTTCTTCTAAAACCTTTCCCTTAGACCTCCAAACCTCAGGGCTGCAGTATCTCATTTCTGGGTCTTTCATTGAGAGCATTTGTCTCTCAGGGTGACCTCATGTTTGGACTGTGCTGTTTGTTGTCTCCATAGGAAGCAGCTAATGGTTTTGTTGCCTTTGTGCATGTATGCAGTCAAATATCACACACCCACTGTTAGAGGAGCCAGATGTGGAGGAGTTATGAAATCCGTTTTGCAGCTAATGTTGCAATGTCATGTTGTAAACACATCATCCTGTTTCCACTGAGAGAGAAGGAGACTCATGCAGAGTCGAATCTTTTTAAGCAAGTGACTCTTTTCTGTTTCTCACACTGTCAAACACACAGCGGCGGTGGTGGTTTGATTAATCGGTCTCTGTTCTCTTGAGCAAGCAGCTCCAAATAGACGTTTGTAACTCAGCCCTGAAAATGTAGAAAGAGCCACAAGTATTTAACCTCAATCGCCTTTGCTCCGAGGAGCTACCTAAATTAGTGTAATTTACAACTTCTCCAGAAATATCCACTCCTTTCCCACAGAAATGAAGTAGCAGGCTCAAATCCAGGGGTCCAGAAACCTGAACCAGGTTTACTGAGGACACGGCCAGTCCAGGATCCCTGTTACTTAGACTGAAATACAGTCTTATATTCTGTACTATCTATTATACCAGAAAAAAAACATGTACAAATCAGGACCTGACCCAAATAAGACCAGTAAAGAAGATCCTGGGTACACTCCAAGAAATACAGGAATCATCAGGTCTGACTGTAAAGCAGAAACTCTGGACTTCATTATTTTTTAGTTAATTTGACAAAGAGCTCATAACCACAAGGTCTGCTCCTCTGAAATAAACAGTCCAGGTCATTCATACAGCTAACGGTGGGATTTTTGGCCAAGAGAATTGGTATACCATGGTCTTGTAGTGTCAGTCAATCAAATCTATTTATTTATATAAGTGCTGTACAAATAGAAATAAAAACCTGAAAAATTAAGTTAACTGAAACTTTCCTTTTCCTGTCAAACTGTAACCTAGCATAGCACCGTATCACATCATATTGTTTGTATTGTATACTGTCATATCAGATCATTCCCAATTGTATCATATCGTGTTACATCTTGTCATACAGTTTTCTATTGTATCATATCGTGTTATAGTGAATGTAATGTGGCCTTATTCAATCACTTTGTGCCATTTCTTTATGTTTTTGTTTCATATAGTTTTTGGTATATCGTCTGGTTGGGAGATGTTGTATCTCAGCCGGTCACATCTTAATGAGTCGTTTCTAACATATCATACCATTTCATGTTGTATTGTCATTATGTGTTGTATCTATGTTACCCTATCAGACCATATCCTAGAGTAACTTATACTCTTATATCGAGTCCTGATATATCCATATGGTTTGGTATCATTATGGTGTCACATTGTACTGTGACATCAGCTCTACTGTTTTAATCTTATAACACTGTAAAATCTTATATGGTGTCATATCGTATCGTACTGTTTTGGATAGTTATGTATCATTTTGCATCGTGATGTGTGGAATCATATAACTTATTGTGAAGAGACAAAATCGCATTGTATCATCATATCAGGGTGTTCAGTATGATGTTTATAGTGTTGTATATAAGGTATGATACGGTATGTCATGGTATGTTAGGCTATGTTAGGGTAAATTAGGGTATGTTAGAGTATGATACAGTACATAAGGGTATGTAAGGGTATATTAGGGTATGATATGGTATGAAATGGTATGATACAGTACGTAAGGGTATATTAGGGTATGATATGATATGTAAGGGTATAGAAGGGTATGTTAGAGTATGTTAGGGTATGTTTGGGTTTGATACGGTATGTTAGGGTATATAAGGGTGTATAAGGTTAGGCTATAATGAGGTATATTAGGACATATTAGGAGGTGATGCCTTGTGTTAGGGTTCTCTTGGGTATATTAAGGTGTGTTAGAGTATGATATGGTATATTAGGGAATATTAAGGTGTGTTAGGGTATATTAGGGTAAGTGACAGTATATTAGGGTATGTAGGTGCTTATTAGGGTGTGTAAGGATATGTTAGGGTATATTAGGGTGTGTTAGTGTATATTACGGTATTTTAGGGTATATTATGGTGTGTTAGACTATGATAGGGTGTTTTAGGGTATGCAACGGTATATTAGGTTATGTTAGGGTATATTAGGGTGTGTTAGGGTATGATACGGTATGTTGGGTTATGACACGGTATGTTAGGGAATGGTATGGTTTGTTGGGGTATATTTGGGTATGTGAGGGTATGATACAGTCTGTTGGGGTATATCAGGGTATGTAAGGATATGTTTGGGTAAATTAGGGTGTGTTAGGATATATTAGGGTGTGCTTGAGAATGATACGGTATGTTAGGGAATGATACAGTATGCTAGGGTATGTAATGGCACGTTAGGGTATGTTAGGGTATCAGGCTAAGTTAGGGTATGTCAGTGTTTTCTATTGTACTTTATCCTTCAGCAGCTGTTATCGGTGCCTTCTCAGTCGGGTATGAAGGATTGTCACGTCAACAAGTTCATCAGCTCTGATGTACATCATGTCAAACGCCTTTAGTTCACATACCCTTGACCTGATATGTTCTTAGACTTCCTATCACGTCCTTGATTGCTCACTTTGTTCTGATCTTCTGGTGTCTGTGCCTTAAACCAGTGAGGTAGTTCCTTGAAGGGGTATGAAGGTTGGCCCCCTTAAGACTTCATGTTGTCTAGTCGAGGTTCCTCTAAATACTCCTTTCTTTGACTTTACTGTGTGGACCTCTTTACCCTCCCTGCTCAGACTTCACTGTGTTAAAGAAGTCATCATAAAGCATTAAGAAGGCCTCATGCTTTGGTTTTCCTGAGCCCTAAAATCCTCAAATGTGAGCTGAAGTTTTTCCGGACCACCCACTCTAATTACTCACTCCTGTGTTTGTTGACCCCCAGCTGAGCGGTTCCATCTTCCTGCAGCCTTGTTTATTATTGAAAGTCGGAGGCGGATTCAGTTGCAGCTTATACATCATCGTCATCATCACATGAAGCCAGAGCTGCTTTGCTTGAGGCCCACAGACTCAGTGTTTCACATCCTGAGGAAATCCGGGAAATTGAGGCATGGGGTGTTTTAATGAAAACTCTTCCTGTTTGAGAGTCAACTTGAGGCTTTTGAACAAAACAGACTAACTCAATAGACCAGTCCGGTTTGAAGAAGATCCCCTTGTGTGTCTCTTTTCGTCATCACGATAACTAAACTCAGGTCTGTGTTTGCGTCAAGGTTTGCCGTTCCAGTTCCCACACTATAGCTTCCATGTGTACCAAAAAGTCTTAATGAACAGACACAGGTGTGCATTGTTTGAGAGCAGCCCCCCGGCACACACTGACCTTAATCATAAACTGACTGTTAACATCCAGATCTGCAGCCAGGCTTGTTTTAATAAACATCAGACATGAGCTGGTCTGAGATCCTGCAACACAGAGTCTAATCTAGGTAAGAAGAGAGCTCCAGACCCCAGTGTTGGTTTTGTTTCAAGGCTCTGTTGTCTTTTTTTTATTGAGGGAAGAGCCGTGTAAAGGTTAAGCAGATGTTTAGAATTGACGTCATTAGAAGACCAGGTCTCATACCCACTTAGTTGTGCCATGAACTCGGTCGTTTAAATCAGTTATCTGAGATTTCAAACCGTTTAGAGTTTGACTGGGATGTCTCAAGTGCAAAAGTGACTGGTGTAGATGCTGGGTGCTGTCCCCTCTTTTTTTCCTTTAACTTCTTGACTTTTGAACTTGGCATCTTGTCCCCCGTCTGTCCCCCAGTGGACCACATCGTGGACATCTTGACCAAGCCTATGACTGGCGCTGACGGCTCCACCTTCATTGACCTGTCTCAGATCCCCAGCGAAGGCGTGCAGTTCAGCGGAGAGGCCGATGGTCTCATGCCGTCTCCAATCACTGTGCCTCCAGCTATCAGCTTCATCAACGGGAGATACGAGGTATGCAGAATACACTTCCATTTTTGATTGATAGATTATTGGGGCTTCAATCTAGTCTGTAATTGTAGTTCAGTCAGGACCCCGATAAGGATTTGCATGCAGTCAGTTATAGTGTCTGAAAGCTCCTACCTTTACTCTTGTGTGCATGAAATGCCAAAATCTGAGACAGGGAGAGCACGCCACCTTCCCTTTTTGTGCATGAATGAAAGGAGAAGGCAGGGAGAGCATCATCGAAGCCCCCTGAGCATAAAATGTCTGCAGAGGAAAGTAAAGGTAGTCTAAAGCTGTTTTAAAGTGAACAAACATCCTGACATTTGTCGTGTGTAGAAGGTAATGGGCCATCTTAGACGAGGACACAGTTTGCCTTTTGTAAAATACTTAAGAAAGACCATCTTTGTAGAGATAATCAGCTGTTTCTTTCAGGTATTTACTCACATTTCTTCATCTCTGATCCACTCAGGTCACATTAGCTCCAAGGCTGTCAGAGGAAGCCAGAGGAGGCCAGTACGAGGAGTTCAAACCAGAACTGTCTAATAAGGTGGAAGAAGATGTCTACGTAGTCAGTACTTTTGACTATGAGAATGTTCGAATCCAACCAGATGAAACCGGTGCTGGAGTCACTCCTCGGACATACCCCCGTGTCCCTGGCTCTGACCTAGATGAAGTCAAAACTGAAGAACCGGGAGACCACACAGCAATAAGAACCACCACCATGACCCCTTATCTGCCCCAGCGCCCAGATGCAGTCCACCCAGGTGTCTCAAGACCAGTTCCTGGAGTCTCCCTCAAAGAGGAGCGAGAGGGTTCTGCAGGCCGTGAGACTGGTGCAGAGGCGGGTGTGGGAGAAGAATTCGCAGGTGGCGTCAGAACCACCTCAGCTTCAGGACTCCAGCCAGGTGTGAGGACTGAAGAGGCGGAACTTGGAGGAGTGGAGCCTCCTGCTTTTACCCCTGACTCACAGCCACGGAAACCCCATGCAGAGACCCCCACTGAAGACCCCGAAGGGTCTGCCTCTGGAGGGGAAGATGAGGCTTCAGGACAAGAACCATCAGAGTCAGCCAAGGGTCCCGGCACACCCCCAAAGAGTTACACCCCCGCTCAGACCCGGCCCGGAGCTCCAGAAGGCCCCATGGTTTCACCTGCTGTCGACAGGGTCTCAGAGCCAGGCTCAGGTGTGGACCAGCTGTCCGGGGAGGGGGAGGTTTCTAGGGAGGGTGGTCCGGCTTACCGTCCAACAGGGATCCCTTTGACTGATTTACCAGATGTTGCTGCTGCGCCGAGGGCACCCAGACCCCCCTCACACCCCTCCTCTGCTGCTGCAGCTGACACCTTAGGGTCTGAAGGCCAAGCCCTCCACCCCACAGAGTCCTACAGAGTCCACGACAAAGATTCCACCACAAGAACCACACCACTATACACATTTGACCACAGCTCCAAGTCTGTTCCTGAGTGGGCCCTGTCCCCGGACCCTGCTGCCACCCGTCTGCCAGGGGAAGAGTTTGTGGACTATGGCGGTCAGAGAGAGGCCACTGCGGTGAAGTGTGCGCCCCAGACGTCACAACAGACAAGGACCACGGAGCAACCGGAGAGCGGAACAGACGCGGATCCTTCTCTGGAGGCCAGCACCGTGGATGTCAGAGGTACCTGACCTGCATGATTAGAGGTTGATTCTCCTGATGCTTCATCAGTGTCAACATGACATGACACCATCCCCCCGGAACCCCCCCCCCCCCCCCGAGCCAGTGAGTGAAATCTCTGGAGTCCCTGAAAACAGAGGCTCTGAGAGAACCTGTACGACAGCCATGTTTAGACAAGACAGGAGTGGGGAAATCGACCCTAATGCACAAAGACCTGCAAGTGCGAGTAATGAATTTACCATGTAGTCCGTTTTTAAAGATCTGGAAACCTCGTTAAGTGAAGGTTTTCAGCTTCTGCTTATTCATTTTCTGTTTAAGTGCCAACAACACAGTAACTCTATGTTGTTTCACTCGTCTCACAAGAAGACAGTGGAGTTCTTGAAGTTATTAAAAGAGATATTCCGGCGTAAAATTAATTTAGGGTCAAAGACACTGTAACACCAAGTTAGACACCCCCTCCAGAGATGAATGTTGCTGAACACTTGCTTCTCTAGTTATACCAACTTTAGGAATGACCACAGGATAGCAATACAGAGAGCCACTCTATAGCTACAAATATTGCTCGGAACAGCACCTAACTTCATCAACAGTACATATAGGGTTCCAGCCATAGCGCTAGCCACCAAACATCTTTTAAACTTTGCCTGATTTCTTCAGCAAAGAGACTAAACACAACTCACCTACTCTCTTCCAGCAGCCGCTTGTTTGTAGTGAGACCTCAGGCCGGTCCATTATGGACTACAGCGGGGTGACGCAGCTGAAGGAAGAACATTTAGGATCATTTCTTTATCATTTCCTTGAAGTTATAATCATCATATTAATCATTTTACACTGCAGACGCGGTAGTTCTTCTGCCGTAACGTCTCGGTCTGATTGCATTTCCATGATGAAATGTTCATAAATGTTCTTCCTTGAGCTGAGTCACCCCAAAGTTAGTTGCTGTTCTGAGCATTATTTGTGGCTATAGAGTGGTGTTTTGGTTGAGGTTTGTTTATGGCTCTTCAGACCGCTGTGTATTGCTATCCGCGGTCATTACTAAAGTTGGTATAACTAGAGAAGCAAGCGGTCAGCAAAATTCATCTCTAGAGGGGGTGTCTAACTCAGTGTTACGGTGTGTTTGATCCTAAAAGAATTTTATGCTGGAATACCCCTTTAATAGTATTGCGCTAGTTTGAATTCCTGTTTAAGTTTTCATCAATACTGCACAGCCCTACTTAAAGGTCATTTGGTTGATTGTCAAAGGTGATAAAAGACAGACTGGTGCTGACTTTGTTTGTATGTTATGGTCTGGGCAGGTCTCCTGCCCTGCTCCACCAGCGTGTGTCAGAACGGAGGCTCCTGCTACATAAAAGGATCACAAAACATCTGCGTGTGCACACCTGGATACACCGGGGAGCGCTGTGAGACAGGTACACACACACACACACACACACACACACACACACAGCAGTGCAGAGTCCTTCATATAAAGGCTGGTTCTGACCCCACGCTGATGGATGGATCATGCTGGATAATAGCAGCTTGTGTTGTGTGTCTGCAGATGTGGATGAGTGTCACAGTAACCCCTGTCTGAACGGAGCCACCTGTCTGGATGGAGTCAACTCCTACTCCTGCCTCTGCCTGCCCAGCTATGCGGGAGCGCGCTGCGAGCAAGGTCAGCTGACTCTGAGTGATTACAAAGAGTGCTGTTACACCAATGTGACCCAATTAAAAGACAATGTTTTTGTTGCTATCAGGCTCAGAAGTTTTTTTTTTTTTTGAAGGCCTCCAGACTCCATGATCAAATCTGGGGATTTTACCTGCAGGAGTTGTTGGTCTACTGCTTACTTGATTGGGTAGTTTGTGTAAAAACTTAACACTGTTGTTACAATCAATTACACAAACAAACCAACCAGTTAAAGCAGCAGTAGACCAACAACTCCCATGTCTGAAACAAGGCTGTGGTACTGTAGCTGCTGTAGGGTTTACTTTAAGTTCTGCTGAAAAAACATAACCTACCAAATTATCACTTTAAGGTATATTCTGGCATAAAATTAATAAAGGGTCAAACACACGTTAACGCCGAGTTTGACACCCCCTCGAGAGATGAATGTTGCCTACCGCTTGCTTCTCTTGTTATACCAACTTTAGTAACGACCGCAGGATAGCAATACAGAGAGCCACTCACTCAACCAAAATACCACTCTATAGCCACAAATAATGCTCAGAACAGCACCTAACTTCATCAACAGTACATATAGGGTCCCAGCCATAGTACTAGCCACCAAACATCTTTTAAACTTTGCCTGATTTCTTCAGTAAAGAGACTAAACACAACTCACCTACTCTCCTCCAGCAGCCGCTTGTTTGTACAGAGACCTCAGGCCAGTCCGTTACGGACTACAGCGGGTTGACGCAGCTCAAGGAAGAACATTTAGGATCATTTTCTTTATCATTTCCTTGAAGTAATGATCACCATATTTATCATTTTGCCCTGCAGACGCAGTAGTTCTTCTGCCTTAGCGTCTCGGTCTGATTGTATTTCCATGAAGAAATGTTCATAAATGTTCTTCCTTAAGCTGCGTCATCCCTGCTGTAGTCCATAATGGACTGGCCTGAGGTCTCGCTACAAACAAGCGGCTGCTGAAAGGCTTGGTTGAGGTTTGTTTATGGCTCCTCAGACTGCTGTGTATTGCTATCCTGCGGTCGTTACTAAAGTTGGTATAACTAAAGAAGCAAGCGGTCGGCAACATTCATCCCTGGAGGGGGTGTCTAACTCGGTGTTACGGTGTGTTTGACCCTTAATAATTTTACGCCGGAATATCCCTTTAAAAATAGTCATTTAACTCCACAGAGCGCAGGAGTTGTTGATCTACTGCTGCTTTCATTAGTTTAATTGTATCCACGTATAAACTGACCAATCAAAGTGAAAAGTCACTCAGCTGTTAAAACAAGTCCGACCTTGTCCCGCAACAACTGACCACCAACTCCTGAGCTCCTGAGTCGGTGAAGAGACAGTGATGTGACGGCTGTTTTTTTCAACCTAATTAAACCTTTTTTGTGTGTCGACTGATTTTGTAAAGCCACTTAGAATGAAATGTGAGGAAGCTTTAAAGTGGCTGATTTCCTGTTAATTTAGCAGAAATTAAAAAAAAAAAACAACTTTAGAAAAACTAAAAAAAACAGACAAACTTGATTTTAGGAAGTGGATAGTAAAGTAGAAATTGTAGAAGAAGTATTGTGATGTACTGTGGGCTGAGACTGAGCTTTCTGCCTGCCTGAACTAGCACTGTGCTAATCTAATGATCAGTGTAACTGCTGTTTATTCTGTAGAGGACTAAAGAAGGATAACGGTGACCCAGTTAGTCGAATAAAGACACATATCCTTGTACAGTTACATAGGAGTTGTTAGTCTGCTGCTTTAACTGGTTGATATCAACGATTTTAAAAACCATCTTAAGTTTTTACAGGATAAAAATGTAGATTCAGTGGTTGGAATTTGTGGCAGCTACATGGCTGTATGTCCAGTGCTCAGCATAAATGAGTACACCCCTTCAGAGTTGTCAGAAAACCTTTAGTTTTCTTTCAAAATCAACATTTTCTACATCAGACTACACAACAAAATACTCCCCCAAATGTAGGCCATTGATTGCAAACAAGAGTTTTTAAGTTGCATACATTTTCAAAATCAGGATGCAAAATAAGTTCAAAGTTCTGGAAGCAAAGGTAAATTTTAGTTACCATATAACCCTTATTTTCACCTTATGGTATATCAAATGTTATATTAAACTCAGCTTTGTCAAAATTTTGGAAATTGTACTTTTGCTCATTACTTTTAATAGGGGGTGTACTGACTTATGCTGGGCATTGTACTCAACCAGTTTGAAGGAGTTTTAGACCTGCAAAGAAACACTCAAGTCGGGCTTATTAAACCCTGACTGACCTTTTTATGAATAAGAAGTCTGTAAAAGAGTGTCACTGGCGCTCAGGTGGGTCCAGCCTGCTGCCTGCTCTCCTCCTCTTCACAGCCTCTTTGCTCAGCTGTCCTCCAGCTCTGGGTGGATCCTCTTTAGCAGATTAGTTCCAGCTTCTCCTTCAATTTTTGTGACATTACTCAGCAGCTAATCAAAGTTCAGGCATACAAACAGACTCTGGGGATTGATATTTTCCGAGTCAAAGATCTCCCTCTGTTTTCTTTCTATCAGAAGTTCAGTGTTTGTACAGTTTTAAAGCTGCACTGATAAGCTCACTCTCTTGGTTTTAAAATGTTTCTGTTTGTTATTGAGAGTCGTCACTCTGATTTAATCTCAGGGAGTAAACCTGGTGGACTCTCAAAGAACCACAGGGTGATGAATGTTTTATGTACAATTTTGGACATTTGTTGTTCAGTTTTTTTTACTCCTGTTTCCACTCAGTTATGGCTGGCATGTATAGAAAGTGGAAACCCCCTGTTTTAAAGTTCCCAGTCTGCAGGGTGTGACCGTGTATGGAGGATGTATGTATGACGTAGTCCAGAACTTAAATTCTTCTGTATATTTGGCTCGTCCTGATACAGGCAGAGAGAGAGAGAGAGAGAGAGAGAGAGAAACGAAGCGCAGACACAGCTGTCCTCTCTCTGAAGGAAAAAAAATATAGATAATTGCTCTTTTATTTTGGCAGAAAGCTTTTGCAGCTGTGTGGCACTGAGTCAGCACTAAGTCCGGCTCCATACGGCTGCAGACTCTGATAAGGACTCCTCTGGACTCTCCTGGATGTTAAGGTCTCTAACTGCTGTGAAGACCCTCATGGATTCAGAGCGTCCTGTAGACCTCACCTGTCCCCTCCAGGTGTCTGCACAGTGGACTCATAGAATCCGGGCCGGTCTGCAGCGGTTAATACCCCGGAGTCCCGACAGCATCTTTCCATCTCAACTTTATTGGTGCTCTCATTACTCTGAGTCCTCTGAGACAAAACAGTCATTGTTTACCGAAGAGCCTGATGAAGTGAGGAGCTGAGGGGAGCAGACCAGGAGCCAGGACCACCCCACCCCCCTGGGATGTTCCTGTGCTCTGTTTTCAGCAGTATTTCCACTAAACCCATAATTTAGCTAATAACGAGCACCGTTTCAGGGTTAGTGGCCGGATGTTTTAAATCCAGAACAAAGATTGAACTACTGCATGTTCAGAAACCTGGAAAAGCTTAAAAATGATAGAGAGCAGCAGGAGGAGGAGCATCTTTTGTTCTCAAGATACAAAGAGTTTTGTTAGGGTTTGTGAGGAGACTTTGTCCTCCGGTGGGGCTGGGCGATACGGGAAAAAGTTTATCACAATATATTTTTCATATCAGCCAATATTGATATATATCACGATATTTGCAATACAATAAGCTCCTGCATCTGTGAGGTCTTTGTGTCTCTGCAACGTTTTGTCATAAGGTGTTGTGATAGAGAAAGCAGACTGAATGGTCGGCTGTTTTGGCGGCACAGGCGCCATGGGCTCCTTACTCCACTCAGGGTTTGTAACCTTATGCGTTGTGCATGCTCTGCGGCGTGGCGCTGCTTCAGGTGGTGAAAAAGATTTGAGGTATTCCCCGACTTTGCAAGAACATGTACTCGACATAATTTGCAATACACATTACTCTGCTCTCTCTGTCTGAGGTGAGAAATAAACCAAACAGATTTTGAGTGAGCTCTGACTACTATTGTTAAAACCTGGTTTCTGGTATTAGTGGTATTATAAGTCCTCCGCCAGCTCCAGCTAAACCGGCCTGTGATTTCTGGCTCCTCTGTCAGATATCAAGGATCACAAACCTTAGGGAGTAGACAGAAGTCTGCAGAACCCTGATATGGATTTGGACTTCCCTGTGCCAGCTGTGTTATCCACCAAGACATACAGCGAGACATTCACCACTATGTATCATTAAGAGTTCAATGGTAGAAAAACATGGCGTTTGGTTCGACTGTGTTTTCTAAAATCGTCCTTTTCATTGAACATGGAACAGTAACTCCTTATTTTACCGCCTGTTTTTTTGAACATATCCTTTTCTTCTTCTTTGCAGACACAGAGGTCTGTGGGTTCGGCTGGCAGAAGTTCCAGTCTCACTGCTACAAGTACTTCACACACCGTCGTACCTGGGACTCTGCGGAGAGGGAGTGTCGCCTGCATGGTGCCCACCTGACCAGCATCCTGTCACTGGAGGAGCAGACGTTTGTCAACGGTAAGTCCATCATTTTGAGTTTTCTCTTCTTCAGAGTTGATCCAAACCTTCTCAAACGTATTCAGGAACTCTGTTCATGACCTTGCAGGGTTCGACACTATCTTTTTTTCACAAGGAGCACATGAAGATCTTTAGGGGCACAATGAAAATTAATCAAACAATGTGTGTCTTACTGGTCATTGACATGGAAGCTATTGAAGGAAAACAGCCTTTCTTGAGAACATCAACCGATAATTTATTGATGGTCCCTCATTCAACACCCGATGTTGACAGCGAGGGTGCCGAGTAGATTTAACCGCGCTGCTGTTGTTATTCCCGGTTATGGAGAGTGAGAAGACATCGGTAGATCCTCAGTGAATGTCCATCAAATATCCAACCTAAAACTAACTTCACTGCGGTATTCACATAAAAAAAATATTTGTTGCCTTGGCTGATTTTTTTATGCGCCCACGTGCCCCTAAATACATTTATTTTTAGTAGCAAATGTGAGTGAAACGGTCACACTGTCGAGCCCTGCCTCATACTGTAAACCAGGTTTTTACTCCTGCCCCCCATCCATGAGCTGAAGACTTTAGGATCAGGTCCACATCTCTCCTTGGAGCGAATTTGTCTGTAAAAAGTTAAAAGCTGCACTTACAGGAGTTTACGCATTTGGAAAAGAGCAGCTCATAAACTCGCTCTAATCCGGCGATGAGTGCTGCTGCGATAAAAACTAAGTGGACTTTCCATCGGAGATCAAAGCGGACTCTGTTCAGACCGTGTCTGGGTTTATTAGGGAAACTGCTGACTGAGGAGAGATGGACTTGCGCCACAGAGCCTCGGCGTTTCCTCAGCTCTCTTGTTTGTTCACACACTGGTTACTCACACACATGTTCAAACCACAGACTTGTAAACAACCGAATCAACACTCCAGCTCTGCGCCTCACTCCATCACACACTCCTCTTTTCCTGCCAGACCTCTTCAAAGTCCAGGTTGAGTTTTTTGCTGTTTCCTGTTTGTATAAAAAAGAGCTGAGTGGATGCAAATTTTGGGTTCTGATGTGTTTCATCTCTGCAGATCTGGGTAGCGACTACCAATGGCTCGGCCTCAACGACAAGATGTTTGAGAGAGACTTCAGGTGGACTGACGGCAAGCCGATGGTAAGAGGACATCAGTCTGTGTTTGTTTATGCTCATGAGGTAAAACTCTAATGTCTGGACTTTGGTTCTGGTCCAGATCAGACAATGTGGGCCAGGCTACAAACAAACCAAAGTAACCCCCAATTTCCACCCCATTAAGAACGGCTACGAAAAGGCCGTATCTGCTGATCGTAGCTGATGGTAGCCATTCAAGTTAATGTGTCAATTTCCACCGGCTTCTTTCCATTTCGCTGCGGATCGCCAGACTCCACAGCTGATCACAAGAGTTCTATTTTTTTCTGGACGTTAGAGCATGCCGGATAAATTCAGCACAGATTAACCCGTGCTGGAAAGGAAGTCGGGCACAGACACAAAATAAAACATCCGGCTTGTTTTCATAATAAAACACTGTGTTTTAGGCGGATCGTATTTCACACCATGCAAACAGGCGGAGATGAACAAGTGAAAGGATTTTAGACGTCATTTCACCCCAATGACACCATGGATGAGAGGATGCTGATTCTAGAGGTCTAGAAGTAGAGTTCCTCCTCTGGAAGGACACAATCTACTGCTTATATGTCTATGTGTCTGTCTTTATAGGGACAACTCGATATCATGTGATTGTACATGAATCACGGGTTCCTGTAAGTTCTCGCGAGTCCTGCTGTCTGAAATCCACTATTAAATTTGCCTCACCAACGGATCCGGTAGGAATTGGCGTATGGCGAAAATCGCTGCCATTCCTGATCGGAGCCACTCCGGATGTGGTGGAAATCCCGGGTGAGGGTTCGTCCAGTTTTAGCAGGTTTACTTTGTGCTGAGTGGAGGTCTGAAGTCCTGGACTGGTGGTCAGGGGGCTTGTGAGAAGACGTGAGATCCTCCCTGACACAATCCCAGAATCCATGTTCAGCATTATCTCCTAAAAAACTGAGTAACTGAGCAAGTGTTCGTCTCATTTCTTACAAAAATCTTTTAAGTTCCTCTTTATTTTGCATGCTGGGACAGGACTGTGGTGGTCCATGCCAGCGCTGTGGAGGACTCTCAGTCAGTGTGTTTACATGCACAGCTTAATCGGACTAAGCTCATGATTCGTTTTTTTCACCGAACGTGTCCTCCTCCCCCAAACTAGGGGGCAATATGGGTCTTTTCAGCGGCGCTGTTTCCGACCCCATACAACCGTCAACAACAACAGCAGGTCCGTGTCAGACATCAGAAGTGTCTACAACTGATGCTGGGCATTTTGGAGCAAGAAGATGGAGCATCATACAGCGTTGTTTTTGTCGTACATGATGGACGCGCTATGCATTGTCCGATCATACTCTGACAACGCTGGTTACATGGTAGAGAATATTGAATTCCAATCGCATTATCTGGGTTTCTTAATCGGAGCTCTCCAACTGTGATTATAGTTGGACTTAGGTGTTTACATGCACTTCAGTTGTCCGGTCTTAATCGGAATAAGGTGATAATTCCGTTTTCTCGAGTGTCATGTAAACATACTGGTTGTGAATAAGCCCAGGTCTTGCTTGGCCGGACTGATCTCCGCTCTTGGTTTCTGTGCTGAGGGACAGGTTTGTTGTGACCCGTCCTAACTCTGCACCAAAGGAAAAAAAAAAAACAGGGGTCCTGTTTTCCTCTGATGTTGTCTAAACCTGTCGCAGATGTCTTTCTCCAAACTCAGGATTTGATTGTGTAGGACAAATGTTCTGGATCACAGATGAACAAATACACAAGATCAAAGTTTGACCGACTACAGCGTGGAGACCTAAGGTCAAACCAAGTTCTGACTAAGAGTCGGGACATGCACGTCGTTCCTCCATCCTTTTTCTTCTGCTGAAACAATCAGAAACATGCAAACATCACTCCTGTGCGCTGCAGCTCCCCCGTTTCTCACTCATGATGTCAAACTCTCACATTCGTCCCGGTGGGAACCCTCAGATCCAGATCCAGGTCTGACCGCGGCCTGAAACCTGAAGCTGAGGAGACTCTGCTGTCGTCATGTGTTATCATTCGGAGGGAGGCACGCCCGAACTCGGGTCAAACACGAGTACGCATATGTTTCTGTGGTCCTGGTCTAAAACTGAAGCAGCTCGTTGTGGATTTCCTTGTGTGTGTTTGTTGTTCGCCCTGCAGCTCCTCTCTCTCTCTCTCTGGAACCATCTGGAATATTTGGTGATTTCAGACTCGGAGCAGAAATCATCTTCAGGATGACGCAGCACTGACCCAGATTTCCACATCGGGAAACTCTTTAAAGGGATTAAATCCGATCCGTGTTTTTTTATTTGTTTTTATGACGATAAAGTCAAACATTGAATTTGTTTGTTTCTGCAGCAATTCGATTACTGGAGGCCCAACCAGCCCGACAGCTTCTTCCAGTCAGGAGAGGACTGTGTGGTGATGATCTGGCACGAGGGCGGGCAGTGGAACGACGTGCCCTGTAACTACCACCTGACCTTCACCTGCAAGAAAGGGACAGGTACAAGAACATGCAGAATCTAGTGCACGTATGTCTCAGTTTGATCTCTGCAAACACCAACAGCTGATCAGGTGGAGGAGCAGAGATGAGTCACAGACTCCAGAGTTTGGAACCAGTTTAAAGTTTTTCATGGGGTGGGGCTTAACTTCAAAAGAAGGACGACAAATATACTGTACTATGACATTTTTATCATACTAAAATCCAAAATATAATCATACTATACTATGATATTTTTCATTTTACTATACTAAGACATTTTTATCATACTATACTGTGACAATTTTATCATACTATACTGACATTTTTTTCATACTAAAATGTGAAATTTTATCAAACTATAACATTTTGACATACTATACTATGTCTTATAGATAGATAGATAGATAGATAGATAGATAGATAGATAGATAGATAGATAGATAGATAGATAGATAGATAGATAGATAGATAGATAGATAGATAGATAGATAGATAGATAGATAGATACTTTATTAATCCCAGAGGGAAAATCAAATTTGAATTACTCTCTGGGATGAATACGGTATCCGTCTTTTTTCACACAAAATTTTTAATGTTTATTCTACTATTCAATGACATTTTTATCATACTATATTATGACATTTTAATCATACTATACTATGATATTTTGAGTATACTCATTTTCGTAATTTCTATCATACTTTACCATTACTTTTTTTATAATTATACTATACTGTGACATTTTTATTATACTTAATTTAAAATTGTATTTATACAATACTTTGTCTTTTCATACTATATTTTTTTTATATGTTTGGTTGTTGACTGTGGAATTTATATCCTACCATATGACATACATCATACTTTACTATGATTTCTTCGATATACTATACTTTGACATTTTTTTCACACTTTAATTCAGAAATTTTATCATGCTATACTTTTACATTTTCATCCTTGAAACTTTGACATTTATATCATACTTTACTACGGGTCATACTATACTAACAGGTCTTTGCTGCTGCTCTGGCTGCCTTTGCTCTTCATGCTCTCTTCAGGCTTTTGTTTTTCACAAGCAGATATAAAAGAACAGGAGCTCTCAAAACCATGACTTCCTGTATGAACGTGATACCTCTCTCTGAGAGCAGTGGTCCTGATCAGATCAGAGCCGCAGTGATTTTGTTCCTGTGTTTGTCGTTGAGCCTCGAGTTTGAAACTCTTTGTTTCTCCTCCATCAGTCTCCTGTGGACAGCCGCCTGTGGTGCAGAATGCGCGCGTGTTTGGAGCCATGAAGCCTCGTTATGAGATCAACTCTCTGCTGCGCTATCACTGCAAGCAGGGCTTTATCCAGAGACACGCCCCCACCATTCGCTGCCGTGCCAACGGCCAATGGGACACGCCCAAAGTCACCTGCACAAGTCGTAAGTAGTCAGAGGAAGTTATAGGTCAGAATCTCAGATGTTTTCACCGTTGACACTGTTTCATTCCCGCCTTTAGCTGCCACCTACCACAAAACAGCGACCGCACGACGCCGCATCAGCCAGAACGCTGAGCAGCAGCAGAACCAGCTGAATAACCCGCACGTCCATCACACTAAGACACCCCAGATACTCAACCCCGCCCCAGAGGAACCACGTAGCCACAACTTCCTCCAGAGAGCAAAGAGGCAGGGGCAGCAGACACTCCCCGAGGAGCAGATGAGACGCTGACGGGTCTGCAGTTCCAACGAGCCAAAACCAAAAGGCTGGTTCTGACGCTGCAGAGGCGCTGACAGATGGAGGTTGACCTCTCTGTCTGTCAGTGCCTCTATAAAGGAAAAGGGACGTGTGTCAGCAGAAAGTCCAAAAACACAAAAACCTGAACCATAACACTAGTGAGACATCAGTTCAGTCTTAAAGGTAGCTTCAATGCCCCAAACTGCAAAACCCGGTTCCCTTAAGTCCTCAGTGTGCGCCCCTCTGTCACCCTTATGTTAAAGAGACCCTGTGGAGTTTTTATAATCCTGTTCACGCTCTTATGTTTTTCCAAGCTCAGTATTTTGTCTCCTGCATGGTGCATTTGTTCGCATGTTTGCTCTTTATAACAATGAAGTTTGGCCTCTACATGCATGTTTCCAATAAAGTCAGGCTTTCAGAGCAAATATTTCCCATGAAGTATCCTGACACTGCTCCACTTCTCTGTCAATCTTTGTTTCCAAACTTTGCAGAACCAGATTTTGGAGAAGGAAGTTTTCAGGGTTTAGTCCTGAGTAGTCTGGTCTACCTGCATTTGCTGCAAAAAGAGATCTGGTGTGGAGAGGACAAGTGAAGATATGCAACCTACTCAAACACAATCCCAGATCCTTATTTCTGATATAATCTACAAGAGTTTTTCTTATTTCTTTAAAAATTGTTTTATTAGACTTACAGAGAGCTGCATTGACTTAATGAGCAGCGTATTTTAAGACATAAGATACAAAAACAAGACCTGAATGGCATGTAATGATGAGAAAAAACTGCTAATGAAGAACAAAAACTTATTTAGGCCTTGAATCTGCAGGTTCTTGTGATTTCCTGCGATTCCTGCTGTCCGTAACCTACCACAAAATTCGCCTCCCAAATGGATCCGGTAGGAATTGGCATATGACAATTCCGAATCGGAGCCGTTCCGGATGCAGTGGAAATCTGTCTTAAGTCTGTGTCTGATCCAGCTACAGTCACATTGACTGTCATCAATGCCCGCTCTATTCTGCTCCAGAGGGTCTTTGCTGCTGTTCTCCCTGCCTCCCTCCCAGCTCCTCCTATTTGGTTTTACTCGGATCATTTGGATCGTCACTAACTCCTGCTCTGTTGTGCCTTTGCTGCTGCTCTCCCTGCCTTGGTCTTGCATGAATGCAGACAGACAGAGTGGGGGTGGGATGTGCTCCCCCTCTGTCTGCAGAAAGGACAAGGAGCTCTCAGACCAGAGCTGTACCAACAGAGCTGACTGACTACATGACGCTAAATAAGCCAACATCTGCATGAACATCATCACATCCTCTCTCGACTCTCTTTACCAGACATGCACTCGGCGTCTGTCCCATGAGTCTAACCTCACAGGTGGTACCGCCCCCTTTTTTCCAGCTGTTTTTCCAGTCAGCTGCTTGCATGTGCGTTTATATTTTCCTGTATCAAAACTCTGCTGCACATTTCTGCGCGCTCTCATGAACTCCACAGAGTCTCTTTAAATGTAAGGGGTAAAAAAAACGGCACATAAACTTGTCACGGCCAAAACCAAAACCTTAACAGAGATATTTTTTATTTTATCCTCTGATTTTTCCCTGATAGAGAGAATCTGAACATCTGGTGCAGTTTTCAACCAGAATCAGCCCCACATATTTGCATGTTTCACTTTAAATTATTGTCATTGTACCTTTATTTTAATTCTATCAGTCAATCACGACCCACTCCTCCTGGCCAATGTCCCCGTGTAGAATTTTGTATGAAATATTGAGCTAAAATAAAGTTTTTAAAAAAGGGAGAGCAGCACAGAAACAAACACACACACACACACACATGCAGAGCTGAGAGGGAAACGTCTATGAATGTTTGGTGTGTGTGTGTTTGTGTGTGCGTGTGTGTGTGTGTGTGCTGCTACTAATAACAATAAGATTTATAATATAGATACTATATGAAGCCATATGAATTAACTTATTGTATACTGAAAACTATGAATGAACTGTGATTATGATGAAAGGTCGTTGAAACTGAAACGACGACTCTCTTCGCTGTTTACAGACTCTGTCATGTTTGTTCGCTGCACCGAGCATCTGATTAGCGACGTTAGCTTGATGAGCTTTTTCATCTCCGGCTGATTTTTTTTAACGATTTTCTCAGCTGGAACTCTTTTTTATACATGTTGCTTTTTTTCTACAGATCTGGAATCTGTTTAAATCCAACAAATAAGGGAATGTGAAAGAAAAAATCTACAAGCTCCACAAGATTATTTTATGTGATTTTTATTCATTAAACTTCTCATCTTCATGCTTTTAAAACTTTTTTCTGTTTATATCAAGTGTTTCAATGTATACGCATCTTTTTTAAAATGTTTTCCACTCTGTGTGGTTAATGAGGTTCACTGTTTCTGTTGCACAAGAGCTCATTTTTATGTAATCATCCTCTCTTTTTGCAAAAATGTCCATCATCCTGGTTTCATCGTCAACTGAGTGTGCAATAAAAGAATCTCTTATAACAGAATCTGTGGTTTTTGTGCTCCTTTATTCAACATCTCTTTATTTACACTTCGTTCCAAATGATATTTAAGTGTCATAAAGGTTCCATTTTTTGTTTTTCAATTAAAGTCATGGATGGTACTGTGTCTCAGGGCTCTTTGAATCACTGAAATCAATCCCAGACACCTGTGACAATTAAGGAAAAAACTACTAAAGAGGGACGTTCCACATTATTAAGCAGACCAACGTTTTCAAGCAGTATGGGCTCCAGAGGGTCTTTGCTGCTGTTCTCCCCGCCTCCCTCCCAGCTCCTCCTTTTTGGTTTTACTAGGATCATTTGGATTGTCACTAACTCCTGCTCTGTGGTGTCTTTGCTGCTGCTCTCCCTGCCTTGGTCTTGCATGAATGCAGACAGACGTTCCACATGTTTTCAAGCAATGTGGGAAAGAAAAAGGATCTCTCTGCTGCTGAAAAGCCTGAAATAGTTGCATGCCTTGAACAAGGTATGAAAACCTTCGATATTTCAAGAAAACATAGGTATTATCATCATACTATTATTACATCATATTACAAAGCAGCAAACAGATATTTTAAGCTGCTGATGTCTCTGGAGTCCCATGAACTTCAAGCTGTAGGATCCACCAGAGGCTTGAAGTTGTGTATAGACCCTCTATTCGGCTACCTCTAGACAATGCTCACAAGCAGAAACGGTTGTAGTGGGCCCAGAAATATATGAGGACTAATTTCCAAACAGTCTTGTACACTGATGAGAGCCGTGCAACCCTGGATGGTCCAGATGGATGGAGTAGTGGATGGTTGGTGGATGGCCACCATGCCCCAACAAGGCTGCAACGTCGCAGAGTTATGTTTTGGGCTGGAATCATGGGGAGTGAGCTGGTCAGCCCTTTAAGGGTCCTTAAAGGTGTGAAAATGACCTTGGCTAAGTATATGGAGTTTCTGACTGAACACCTACTTCCATGGTACAAAAAGAAGAACCGTGCTTTGCGTAACAGATCATCTTTTATCATCTTCATGCATGACGATGAACCATGTCATGCTGTAAGGAATACCTTTGCATCATTGGCTGCTATGGGCATAAAAGGAGAGAAACTCATGGTGTGGCCCCCATCCTCCCCTGACCTCAACCCTACTGAGAGCCTTTAGAGCACAGGTGTCAAACTCAAGGCCCGGGGGCCAAATCTGGCCGGTGGAACAATTATCTGGCCCACAAGATCATATCATATTTGTATTACTATTGGCCCACCAGTATGAAGTATGCAGATTTCCGCCAGTATAATAATGTAAATTTTAGCACCATTATTTAAAATGTCCTTAATAGACCACAAAAATCTAGGAAATTAAAGGTAAGGGAGATTTGATAAATAGTCAAGAATGTGGGGGAGAAAATATGTGGTGTTTTATTTCATGTTTTTCAACATTACAAGTCAAACATGATTGGGTTTTCTATTTCATGCTTTGATTTTGTTCAACTCAGTATTTGAACTTGTGTCATTTTTATACTTTAGATTCCAATTTTTAATTTTAAGTCATATTTTCACCTTTGATACCCTATTTCAACGTTCTCCTCATGTATTTGCGCTTTAAAAGCATTATTTTTCTATCTTTAATATCATGCGCTGATCTTTTGGACTAATAAATAAAAATAGAATAAAAATAAAATTAATTTTTCTATCTCAGATTGCCTTTAAACTTTTTTTTTTATGTTTTTTGAATTTCCAAATAATTTATAATTATTGCTGTTTTTGTTTTGCATATTTTTTTTGAAAAGGAGGTTGACAGTTTTGGTGAAATGTTGACCCTGTTTGGCCCTCAGGTTAGACCTAAATCCAGATTATTGCCCTTGCTGTGGTTGAGTTTGACACCCCTGCTTTAGAGCGTCCTCAAGCAAAAGATCTATGAGGGTTGGAGGCAGTTCCCATCCAAACAGCAGCTCTAGGAGGCTATTCTGACATCCCGCAAACAAATCTAAGCAGAAACTCTCCAAAAACTCACAAGGTCAATGGATGCAAGAATTCTGAATCTGCTATCAAATAAGGGGTCCTATATTCAAATGTAACTTGACCTGTTTGATTAAAATAGCTTTTGATTGCAGTAAATATGACCTCCTAATGCTGCAAATTCAACAAATGACCATTTTTAGTTCCTTACAACCTATAAAATGTCTTGAAACTCTGTTGTGCATAATAATGTGGAACAGTACATTTAAAAAAAAATTATATTTGAAAAAATACTGTTATCATTGGGAGATTTGTTCAATAACATTTAAATTATACTTTAACAGTTAATGACTTGAAAATTATGCTGACTGTCATTTGCATTGACTATTTAGAAAATCTGAGATAAATATCATTTGTATAACAATTTGGAATGCAGTGTAAATCACTTTAGTGTGACTCAGATTTTTAAAAGAAGACTAAAATATAGTTACTGTGAAACCGTGCTGTTATTCCTTACGTTGACCACCAGGTGTCACTGTGCTGCTTCAGAAACTTTGGAAAGAAAAGAGGAAAAATGTTAATGAGGTTCAAGCTGCTCATGCAGTGAGGATGAAGTGGATCATTAAAGCGGCTCAAAAGGCAAATCTGTCAAATCTCTGACTCTGGAGTCAGTGGAGATGACTTTCCCGAACCTTCATAAACGCAGAATTTATCCTATTCTATAATAGAATATTTGGAATGCCGTAACAGTGTCTTTATTTGGGGATTAGATATTTAGATAAGTACTGTTGTAGCAGGTAGGATTCAGAGGATGCATGCTGTGCAGCCTCTCCAAAAACTAGGTCAACTCCTCTCCTTTCCCCCCACCCTCCTATTTAAAACACCTGTGGCAGGAGAGCTGCCTTTCCCTTTGTCTACCTGCTTGCTGCCACATGGTCTGAACAGAGGTAATAAGGCCGGGTTCATGATGTTGGACCTTTGATTTTGAGTCCTTCTTCTCAGTGGCTGAATTGTGTTTGTGTTCTTTTAGATTGTCTGATTGCAGTTTGCACTTTTCCCCGTCAGGAAACACGGATAAATGTACCTCAACAGGTGTGAGTGGCTGCATTTTCTTAATCGACAGTGTCCAAGACAAAGCATGATTTATGATGCATCTTAACGGTGCAATATTTTCTGTTTCTTGTTCACAGACTTAATCAGCTGCTGTTTTTGTTTTTGCCTTGTTAGTGGCTGAAAGACCTTATGTCTTGCTTAGACCTTGAGAAGATTCATTACTCAGTTGCAGGCAATGACAGGAAATTCGAAAAGATCTGGTGACCTTTTTTTCTAGACCACATTCAGAAACTCTCATTATTTTGAGTCAGCACTCTTCTCTTCTAGTTGTTTTCTTTTTGAAATATATTTCTGTGATGTTTTAATCATACAATTTTAAATTATTTTTTTTAATGGACTTTTTCAGTTTTCAGCGACTTGTCTACATTTGTATTTCTCTTCACGTACAGTAGTTCATTTAACTTATTCTATTTTTACTTTTTAGTCCTCAACATCTTATGTATTTCAAGATCTACAAAACCCGAATCCCAGCTCTTACTTGTATATTTATTTATTTATTATTTCTGTTATAGCTCCAGAATTTGTTATTTCAGCACAGTAATAGGAATATCCAGCAGTAGATGGGGTTTTGAGGGAAAGGGGGTGTTTTGGGATTAATTTTTCCTTTGTATGATCTGAATAAAACTAATAAAAATATTGTTGAATAAATAGATCTCTTGTGTCTTTTAGAGTTTGGTTTGTTTGTATTTCAGTGATCGTGAATAGAGAGAACTTTTAGTAATAGTTTTAAACATTTTCTTTCATATAACTCTTTCTTTGTTACCCCCTACAGTGCAGTGGAGGCTTGGCATGTTGGGTGGTTCCCCACACCTATTTGTTGCAGTGGTAGGCACACTGGGGCACTGTAGTCTACACCTGTTTGCAGTGAGTTCAGGCGTGGTAGGTAAATGCACTCCTGGGACACTTCCTTTGGTAGACTGCCTCCCTCTTGCTAGCTCCCACTTATTGCCCCCTTCCCTTTTTTTTATTATTATTTAATTACTTGACAAAAGAATCAATTGTAATAAAGTTTTCCAATACATTTATTCAATAGCAGACTCAACCTTCCATTACCAGTTCACCACTTCCAGGTCTGAGCCATTTTACGTTTTGATATTCTAAATAAATCTTGAATTTTGCTTTGAACAATGTCTCTGTCTCATAGACTTTATTGAACCTGTGTAAGCCTTTGCTTCGACTGACTGGTCGAAATTGGATTAAATTCCTTGGGTGAAAGTCCCTCAGTGGCATTGTTGGATGACCTTTGCACTTATCTGAAATTGGCCACACTGTACATCAAGGATAACACACACACGCAGAAATATACAGAAGCATGTGAACAAAAGGTTCAATCAGTGATGCTCCGGTGTGACTTTATCTAATCCACCAAAAACCCAAAGTCATTGAGACGACTTTTCTTTTTTCAGGCTAAATTGCATCTGCTACTTTTGTTATTTTTCCATCGCCACTTTTTTTTTTTTTTTTGCGTTGTTAACTTCCGTTGTGGCTTTTGCGTTCTTTTTTTATTTGCAGCAGTGGCAGTTCTCGGCCACCGTACTTGTCTCTTACTTCAGGTTCAGTATTTCCTGCTCTCCTGATTGTCCTCGTGCTCCATCTGCGTCCCTCCTTGTGTGTATTGAAGCCCCTCCTCCATTTGTGCTGGTTCACCTTTTTTCACTCACTGGCTGTTTTTGAATTGGCCTGCTGCATACTCCTGCCGACCGCAGTATACAGTAGATACTTCATATGGAGTACTGTGTTTGATAGTAGTATTCAGTATGACTGTGAGTCAGACGTTATTCTGTAGTATGGTTGGCCCGGTTTAGCTGGTTCATCGTACCCTGGTAAATTACAATGACACTACAGTGTTGCCCATTCATTTATGCACTAAAAAAAATCTTGTTTTTTTTTAGCCCAATACCAGCCATCAAAACAACATGTTCTGTCTATGCAATGACTCGTCGATCTGGCAGCATTTGATTCTCATCACGGCGCTGTAAATACAGCAAGGTTATGTTGTCAGTTATGTTGTCTTTGTTTCCTGCTTAAATAAAAGACGTTGCGATCCTCGCTCAATGTGTTAAAGGTGGGGCAGTCAGGATCTGAGGAAGTTCCATTTTTCTGGAGAAATCTTGGATGTTAACTGTACCCCTCCCAACCAGTTTTCCCCTCGGCTCCTCCTCTCCCCTCCCTCTCTGCTCCAGCAAGCCCCGCCCACAAACAGATGCAACTGCTCGCTCATATCGTTCCAATTAAATTCAGATATAATGCAGATAAATACTTAAGATATTTACAAATGGGGCCCAGTCAACGTGAAAGTAAAAAGCATTGGTGCTACTGTGGATGCCAACAGACTACCAGCAAACACAATGTTTGCAGGACTAAAGATACATAGTCCAGGGCCCGAGGTCAACAGTTTAACGGCGCTACAACACACTACAGCAGGTCCCGTTTGACTGGATACTTGTTTGTGAGATTTGTTGACAGTAAAGAAAAATAGTTTAGAGTTTTAATTTTCAAAGGGGTCATCAATCAAGTAAAATATTTCTTAGTCCGCCAATGGCGCCCCCTGGATTCAGGGTTTAAACCTCAGTTTTTTGAAAAGATAATACAGATAGAAAAATGACCCAATCCTCTTTTAGTTCTTTTTTTAATCGGCTGCTGGTAAATGACTGCCACACACTGGTGTTATTCCACTTTTGCCGTGTTTAAACATCCGGCTTCCTAAAAACCAGCGTGAGAAACCGAATCAACAGAAAAAACAGCATGTCACCCTAAAATGCCGTCACTCGGACCTGAAAACAGGCCCCGGCTTTACCAGCGTGTATTTTCGTCCCAGCTGTAAGCAGCACCATGAATGGATTCGGTGTTCCTGTCAGGAAACATCTGAGCGGCGCTGCGCCCCTCCTTTTGGAAACAGATCGAGTGCATTACCACATTACCCTGGAACTACACCTGGCACTCTCTGCCAGCAGCCAACTGGAAGTCAATGACAGGCCGGCTCCAGCCGACGTGAGCGCTGCTGACTTCTGTTTTTTTTTTGCTGTGATTGCTCATAAGCTGCCATGATGTATTTGAGATAATAGATGAACTCAATGAGGCCTGTGTGAAGAGAAGGAGGCAGAGTCGTGGTTTATGGACTCTTTTATTGGTTTATTGTCTCTGGGGGCAAAAGTTTCCTTCAATGAGGCTCCTGATGGGAAAACAGTCAGGTAACATATCAACTAAAAGACAACAGATTTGATCCAAACTCTTAAAGGAGTAGTTTGACTTTTAGGGTAAAAGCTGCTTTTAGAGCCGAAGGTATGCAGACGTTTAAAGTCACATATTCATATTGGAACAGGCGTAAGTTTCCTTAAATGACCTTTTACACCTCAGGTCTTTAAATCCGGCTTTAGGACTTTGTTGTTTTCTGTCAATCCTGTGCTGTCTTTGACCCCATATTCAGTTATTTTGCTAAGCTAACCCAACAGTCTCTGAGCTAATACTTTCTGTTATCCAGCACCCCTAAAACAAACTTATAGACCTATCATGTCTTATTTCTGGTTTTTGTGTGAGTTTTAGAGCTCCTTTTACATGAATTCTTTGGTCAGTGCGTTTACATGCACAGCTTAATCAGACTAAGCTCATAATTCATTTTTTTCGCTGAATCGGACTTCTCTCCTTGTCCGTGTATACATGCAGCTGAGAAATGGAATTATTGATGTGAACGTGTCCTCCTCCCCAAAACTAGGGGGCGATATAGGTCTTTTCAGCTGCGCTGTTTCCGACCCCTACAACCATCAACAGCAGGTCTGTGCCAGACGTCGGAAGTGTCTACAACTGCTGCTGGGCAAGAAGATGGAGCATCATACAGCGTTGTTTTTGTCCTACATGATGAACGCCCTACTTTTTCTGCAGATAAGACATGCACTACTCCTCTTCTCTGGTGTTTTTGTTCCGGAGTTCAAGAGGCCTGGTGTGTGCACATGCATTGTCCGATCATACTCCGACTACACTGGTTACATGGTAGAGAAAATTTAATTCCAATCGCATTATCTGGGTGTCATAATCGGAGTTCTCAAACTCCAATCGGAGCTCTCAAACGCCGATTATAGTCCGACTAAGGTGTTTACATGCACCTCAGTTGTCTGGTCTTAATCGGAGTAAGGCAATAATTCGGTTTTCTCGAGTGTCATGTAAACGTACTGACTGTTGAGTAAAACCTGCTAGTTAATCCTAAATCTAACATACCCTGACATTAGAAACTGGTCTCAATCTGAACTCGAGGTTTGAGCTAAATCTTTTTTTTTTTTTTTTTAGATTTGCACAAAAGCTGAGTAACTAGTGAGTTTAGAAGCTAATGGTGGCTGTTTCCCCCCATTTCTGGTCCTTTTTTCTCAGCCATGCTTAGAGAGTTCACCAATTCCCCCTTTTTCTGGTATTTTCAGCTTCACAAAGCTAACCCCTTAAAGGTTATATGTATTACTTATGTGTCAGAGTCTGATCTGTTAATGTACTCTGACTCTGACTCTGTGTCCCTCATCCTGTTCTGCTTTCAGAGGCGCTGACTCTTTCTTGGCCTGGTGAAGTTCTGATGAGGTTGCGCTCCCAAAATGTCAAACTGCTCCTTTAACGCTAACTCAGTTTGTCAATTAGTAACAATAAGAGAAAATTACACGAGTCAGACGGAGAAAGTTTCACAACACTGCAGAAGAGTCTTTAATGACAGTTTCCTTCACAGCTGTTCAGTAAAACCGCCATTTATGGTCCACAGTGTCTCATGGCTGATCGTAACAGGGGTCTATCTCAGGGTCTGTCCAGCAGGTCTGGGTGATAAGGGTGGCAGGACTCTGATTGTTAGTGGCTTGACTTGGATGGAGCCGAGTCAAGCCAAAGTGGATGACCTAAACCAGCGTCCCGGCCAGCTGGGACTGTTGACGGTGAGCTTACGCTTCATCAATGTGCACCATTGACGCTCTGATACCCTTACATGGAAGCAGGCCTTCAGTGCCTCCATGCAGGGATCATTGCTGTTTTCAGTGTATTGTATTTCTGTCTGGTTGGATCTGCAGGCTGGTGCAGGTTGGCTGCAGGCCCGCTCAGGTCTGACGGGGAGCCTCAGGGATAGGTCAAAGCTTAGATAGCAATCAGGGAGTCAGTCGCTGCCAGGAAATCCCTGCTCACTCAGGACCTGGCTTAGGCCTGTTTGTGACCTCAGCACTCTCTATACGTTACTCCATGATTCAGGCGTTGTGTTCCCTCTGGAGACCTTCACAGCACAATCAGCACATTATCTCCTCTCTGGTATCTGGGGATGTTTGGCGCCAGGGTGGGACTTTCACCCTTTGCACATTATGAATCAAAGTACCGTATTTTTTGGGCGATGAGGCGCACTGGATTATACGGCACACTGTGAATTAACATGTATTTGTTCACACATAAGACACACCAGATTGTAAGGCGTATTAATCATTGATTGGTTTATTGTTGGTATTGTGTACTCCGGGCCTGGTTTCCTTACATGAATGCACTTCTAGTTTAGACATTACAGTAAAGCAGTGTTGTAGACTGCTCAGGGGTCCTGTTACAGGGCCGATCAGGCGCACATAGGGCGCACTGTCAATTTTTGGGAAAATTTATGGATTTTAAGTGTGCCTTATAGAAAAAAATCCAGGGGGCAGAAATGACATTTTATGCCTTTAAATTCTAAACCAGAGATGTACTTGCTTTTTCAAACCTGGTGCTTATTTCTGTGTTGACTGTCTCTGCACTAAAGTAGCTCTAACGGTTGTTCGCTACATACTCGTGCACTTAAATGTCCAGTCACTCCTCTCCGCCTAAACCCAAGTCGGCAGTGCAATGTTGATGCTCGTCATAGCACCAGTTTCTGGTCCTGCTACCTTCCCTCCTTGTTTGTGTTTCGGAAACTATGGCGACTAATTCCAAGAGTAATACGTTTGAATTGAAGCTTGTGCAGCAGTATATTAGGCTGTTATTGTTGAGGGGAAACACCGGAAAACTGGACTTTATGACTGTTGAGACAGAGGACGAGGGATGGCGGCGATACCGGAGATGTCCACCACCAAGTCAACCAATCACACGGCTCATGGTCCGAATTATCTTGAATGCAGTTGTTGAAATACTTGGCTATGAACCATAGGTGCACCTCTAGAGGGCCCACCAGAGGGCTCAGGCTGTTTCTAAGTACCAGATGTGCGGTATGTAAACAACAGACATGGCAATGCTCCGAGAGGTTGACATGACCCTGATTCTGACATCATGGCAGGAGAAGTGACAGCAGCCACGACATATACAGTACGTAAGGCCCCTGAATCAAGTCCAGCTGGACTCTGGTGAGTTTGCCTCTCATGTACTGCCAGTCCAGTGTGGGATAAACCTGGATCAGACGCACACGAAACGGTTTCCTGGTCAGCTTTTAAAACAGAACTTCCATGTGACCGGATTCTTCGACAGGCAATCCAGATGTGGATAATTCCAGACTTGGTCCACTGGCTTGTCTTTGCTGCTCAGCTGACCCTTCCACATCCCCTCTGCCACTACACTGCCCCCTATTGTTCATCTCCATACTGCATTTTACAACCACTTAGTGTCAGTTTTAGAGGATGTGCACAGCTGACGCTCACAGCAGATACAGGGAACACAGATGCCCATTACAGACACGGAAAAGCACAAATAAAAGCAAGTACATCTTCAGTCTAAGCCTAGAAAACTGAAGGATCAAGAAAACTCTTCAAATTTCCACTCTTGACAAAGGTTTGCAAAGGAAACACCAACACACGAATCGACAGAGTTACACACAGATGGCCCAGAGGTCAGAAATGAGGCCTGCTCTGCTCTTCACTTTAAGAAACTACAGTATTTGTATCAAAAATAGCAGTTTATCAAGGCGCTATAGATAGATATTGTGCGTAGATCTACACTGACAGCTGCTTGTAGAGGCTACGTCATGCTCTGAAGTCTAAAGTGAAGCCAAACAGAGAAACAGCCTCAAAGGTCTATTCACTGTGAAACTGAGTTTGTAGCGACTCTCCTGCCAGGCATTTTATTCTTCTGCTGTTGCGTGTGGCTAACTACTGTTTTCTATGTCCTTTAGGCGTCTTCTACATGTTCAGTGCAAAATTTATACCTTTATACCTATTTTCAAGTGTGGAGCGTTTTTCCACTGTTGTTATGTTGTGTTTTATGTAAACCAAAGAGACTTGGATAGTTTGGCCAAAAGACAAATAATAACAATAATGTAAATAATCTACAATATATCCAAAATAGTCATAAACAGGAATACATTTCTAGATAATAACATTCTACATACTAAGAAAACATAAGCGACGCTAATATGTTTCTGTTCCTCATTAGTTTGGTTAATGACACTGATGTTTGGTCCAACACATTAGTATAAAAACATAAACACTGGACGGTATGATGGAGTACTAAGTACCAGTTGTAGCACCTTGATCAAAGGTCATCCAGTATCTCCAACCATCATCCTCAATTTTAGACATTGTCAGATCTGAACAGCCAAAAAGAACAAAAGTGGGATTGCTCCAGTAGATTGTCAGTTTCTAAAGAACGTGGTACTGAGGGTTAGCTAAATTAAGCAATCTGGTCTCAAAATGAGGCACAGGGCGCAAAGAGGTTGGATTAACAAGTATTGGAGGGGTTTTTTTAGGCGCAACATGAATCCAACCAATCAGTAGATCTGCTTTCATTTCTTTAAGAGTCAGGTGTAACTGCAGGCAGGCTTGTTATTATTACACAGATACAGATTTGATCCTTTACCTTCCACTAAAATAGCAGAAAACACACAAAGGTTACTGTGAAAGTTACACTACAACGATTCTCCTGACAACAGACACAGTCAGGGACTGAGGTGTAAATCTATGCAGTAGGTACACCGGTGTAACCTCATTAATTATTTAAAACTCAGGACACAGACACGATATTAGACAGAATCTAATGATAACTTCTCTCCTGTATCTTGAAGACTTAAAAACAGGCAACTGGACTGTGTAGTTGCCTGTTTTTAAGTCTTCAAGATAACCATGACCTGGATGAATGAGAATCTACATGGACATATTCTCTCCTGTACACTTTACGTCAAAGACAGGTTAGGTTTGTTGTATCTTTAATTTACCTACTTATTTTCTGCTGGATCACATATTAAGTACTGCGTGCATAATATAGATGCTGTCTCTTTGTAATTACTCCTTGTTTTTGTGAGTGTGTGTGAAAATGTGTGCATGATGGAGAGCTTGATGGCCATCTAGGTCTGTGGTTTTTTGGCCCGTGCAGAACTGAGGTGAAGCAGGCATGTGATCAGATAGCAGTGAGGGTGCCCTTGTCTTCTGGTATCCCTAGATCAACCCCATACTGACCATAACATCCTGATGTTTGCAGAAAAGGGGAAACTCTGTGAACTCTTACACTTCTGTGCATTTGACTTTAGGCTTTGGATCAGGTTTTTGTTATTCTGAGGTCCAGAAAATGTAGGACTGTTGTGCCTGATCACCCCTCATTCCAAGATCAGTATAACCAAGGATGCAAGCTGTAGGCAAGAAATCTACTGAAGCGCACCCAATCCTTTTTGTCATTTAGAGTTCAAAATACCCAAAAGTAGGATTCAGGTTGAAAACACAAGAACTTCCCTTTAGTATGGACGGAAAAGATCATTTTGGTTGTGCTAGGCTTTTGTTCCTACCTGGCATTAGTGACAGGATTTGAGCTTTTCTTTCTCTCCCGCTGTGTGTCATGACTTTGTTGTTCTTGTTGCTGTTGTTGGGGTTCTTGTTACTCCAAGTCTTGAACACAACAACAGTAAGTGCCCAAAGTCTCCAACCAAGTGGCTCTACAGTCAGACGTGTCGTCCCTTGTAAGATGGCATGTCAAGTTCAGTCTTGAATGACAGTATGGTTTTGACTGTGATTTCCTCTGACCTTTACCCCTGTTGCCCACGACCCCCCCCCCCCCCCCCCCAAAGGCATTGGTTAAATAATATGGACCTTAAATATGTGTAAACTATCCCTCGTAGAGTATCAGGTCCCAGATAACAACAGCATAACTCATCTGACAATAATGTCATAAGGTTTCCATCAAAAGCATCACAGTTTGAAAGTGTTTGTTCATACCTTCAGAGAGTCTTGTGTGTGAATGTGTGTGTTTGCATGCTGAAGTGTGTGTAGCTTGACTGTGGGTGTGTAGCTCAGTTGTGGCCCTTGAAGCAGTAAACTCCATACAGCTTGTGCTTCTTGTCAGGGAAGCCATTGAACCTGACGGCAGCCTCTGTGGGACTACAGCGCCGGCGCGGTTGGGAGATGGGGTAACGGACGCTGCCGTCAGCCAACCAGCCAGCGTCACAGCGGTCATACCCCAGGAGCTTCCAGGCAGCAAACATCTGGCCGACCTTGGCGATTTGAGCACCATCTTTCTTGCACGCTCCGACCGCCTCATCATAGGTTAACTTAGATGGATGGATCAGGTAGTAGAAGCGACCTGAAAGACAGAGAAACATGAGCACATGCAGCGTGATGTGCTGACATACAGGGAAAGGTTGGACCATCGCTCACCTTTGTAGTGGGAGGTGAAGCAGAAGACGTCGTAGTGGTTCTTCTCTTTGTCTCTTAGGCCATAGTTTCGGACCCCAGGCTCCATGTTTTTCCCTCCACAGGGTTCTCTGGGAACGTTGATAGGATACTGAACTGTACCGTCGCTCAGCCAGCCGGCATTGCACCAGTCCATGCCTCCTCTCCACGCCTCATAAAGCTGGTCAAAGGACGCCACAATGGCATCCTGCTCTCGACACCCCCTGTCAGCATCGTAGAAGTTGAGGTTGTATCGACCGAGGCGAGGGAAGTACGGGAAAACAACCCCTACAGAGAGAAACATAGACGTGATAACCCTCTTTGAGCAGACAAACCCAGGACCTGAACTCTGGGGTTCTTATTTGATCCTGTTATTTAACCCAAGGACTGAAAGTGACAGCAGGTCTCGCTGAGTGAGCACAGCTGTCCCTCCGTCAGCCTGCTGCTAGAGCTGCAGACTTCAGGCAGTAATGGCTGATTTTCTGGCTGCCCCCACACATAATGAAGCTGCTCTGACACTGATGTACTCTCTGCTTACAGAACAAACTGGCTCCTGACTCACTTTCCCTCAAGCACTCCCTGCTTCTGAGGCTAAAATTAGCCAGTCTGTTGCAGCACAAAGACATCAAACAGAAATTTAAGACAGATTTTTAAACGATTGTTTTACCTTCAAGATCCAGGGATACCACCACTGTCCCATCCTCCAGCCCGTCAATAACTTCACATTTATATCTCCCATAATCCTCCAAGGTGATCTCTGTGATGACTAAAGAGGCATCCATGGGGGAGGAGCCTTGTAGATGAACACGTCCATGGAAGCTGCCGTAACTCCTCTTGTGATAATCCATGGCAACAAAGACGTCAACCTGAAGAGGGAGAAAAAATCAATGTGTAAAGCTTCTCCTGGTAAAGTGTATTGTTCCAGGTCCTTCACAGGTCTCTAAAAATCAGATGTAATGTCACTCAGTGTGTTTACATGCACAGCTTAATCGGACTGAGCTCATCATTCGTTTCTTTCGTTGAATCAGACTTCTCTTCGTATCGTATACATGCAGAAAATCAAATTATTGACGTGAATGTGTCCTCCTCCCCAAAACTAGGGGGCAATATGGGTCTTTTCAGCGGCGCTGTTTCCGACCTCATACAACCGTCAACAACAACAGCAGGTCCGTACCAGACATCAGAAGTGTCTACAACTGCTGCTGGGCATCGTACAGTGTTGTTTTTGTCGTACATGATGGACGCACTACTTTTCTGCAGATGAGATGCACGCTACTCCTCTTCTCTGGTGTTGTTCCTGGGGAACTAAGGTGTTTGTGTGATGGATATGAGTGACATTTAAGAAAATGTTAACAATAGTAAAAATGCCATAAATTTTAAAAGAGTTGATATTGTCTACAGTTCAGGTCGTCTTTAAAATATATTAAATACTAAAGTGCGAGTGCATATTTATAATGGCCTGTTTGACACTTCTGGTTTTAGCCAGCAGGAGGAGCATGTTGCTTGCAGCTCTTCATTTTATCTGTTGAATGAAACCCAGCAGCAGTGAGTCCATCTGTCTTTCCGCCTCTCCCCTTGCAGGTAATATAAGTTAGCAAAACTGCACACAAACCTGTTCATGTGTTGTCGCAAATCATGTATTTATGTGTGTGCATGTGTTCGGTGGTCATATGAAGAATATGTAAAGTTTGTGATGCGTGCGTCCGTACTGCTATGCTAATGCTAGTGTTGCTAATGTGTATGTGTATGAGAAGCTGTTCGGTCAGATGCATGGAACGTTATTATATTATATCTGTTGAATGAAAGCCAGCAGCAACATGTCCATCGTTCTTTCCACCTCTCCCCTCGCAGCATGCTGTGTAGGGGTGTAACATTTACATGCCCTTCAGTTGTCTGGTCTTAATTGGAGTAAGGCAATAATTCGTTTTTCTGTAGTGTCATGTAAACGTACTGAGTGATTCCTGCTGTGTTCAGTTCCTGAGGTCTTTGCTGCTGCTCTACCTGCCTTGACTTGTCATATATGTATATACTGCATGTAACGGGGCAAGGTGTGCACTCCTCGCTTCAGTCTTTAGCAATCCACAAAGACACATGGAACAGCAGGGTACTCATGGAATAGAGAGGCACACGCACACCCATTAACCAAGGCTGGTTGAGCAGCAGCAAAGACCCCTGAGGGAATAGTACAGCAGACATCAACTTCAGTCCAAATGTCCTTGCCAAGGTCAGATATAAAAAGGGAGGAGCTGGGCTGGAGGTGGGTTGGAAAGTGATTGGCAAAGGAAGGAGGTGTAGAAGGCAATCAGGCTAGATGTTGGCTGATATGGGCTCACGTTAAGATAATTTGGTCTGTCAAGTGTTGGCTACTATAACATCTGTTAAACCACAAGCCATATTAAAGGAGGTTGAAACTCGCTAACTAGCCTAGCAGCCAAATGCTACATCTTATTTTGAGATGCAGTGATTTTTGTAAGCATCCAGAGAATCCCTATCATGGGATCTCAACGCCAATCTTATAATCAGCAGGTCCCACCAGCGACTCTACTTCCTGCGGCAGCTCAAGGTGTTCAGTGTTAGCCAAGCAGCAATGATTCACTTCTATAAGGCTACTATCGAAAGTGTGCTGACTTTTTCAATGCTTGTCTGGTTTGGTCACACAACCTCTCAGGACAAGACCCGCCTAGCAAGAGTAGTATGCCGAGCATCTAAAATCACTGGGTGTAGCCTCCCCTCACTCTCATCACTGTTTAACTCGAGAATTATAAAGAAGTCCAAAAAAATCATAGAGGATAATTCTCATCCTGCACACTACCTCTTCAATCTCCTCCCATCAGGTAGCAGATTTAGAAGCATCGGGAGCTCTACCACTCGCTTTAGTGACAGCACTTACCCTCTAGCCATCAGACATCTGAACAAGCTCATGAGTCGTTAGGACAGCATTAAATGCATGTACTGTACATGTGCAATATGCATATAGCACTTTGTAACAACTGTTTGCACTTCCTTGCTGCTGGTTACTTTTTTGTTTTGTGTTTTTTGTTTTTGATGTAATGATATGTTTGTTTGATGGATGTTGTGGAGAAGGGAACCAAGACAAATTCCTATTGACTCTGTCAAAATGGCAATAAAGTTCTTGAATCTTGAAGTTCTTGAGAGACATTTTAAACCACATTTAGTAGATCGTAGACTCATAGTAGACCTCTTTCAAGTAGTCTGAAGTCAGCTTGGTCCATTTAATCCTCATTTTTCGATTCGGTGCCAGTGATTGGTCCCTGTGGATCCTGCATGGCAGAGTCGCATTTCCTCCTCGTCTGGTCACGACCTTTGACGGATCTGCTGTCACTGAGAGGCGGGGGCCATTTTCTGCAACACAACACAACATAATCACTGCAACATTCAGTCTATACAACCCAATGTTGAGACCTTTCTGTTGGCACCACTTATAGATGTGACTGGAAGGTGCTACACAGCTGCATGAAAACTGCACATTGTGGACTTAACTGAGCAAAATGTGAATAAAAATATAGTTTAGACCTCTTTCTCACTGAGAGGTGACCCTAAAATGACTTAATGACTTAAGCAGCTAACTTTATTTCTAGTATAATTCTCTTTTTCTTTCCTGTCTCTTCAGCTCTTATTGTGCCGTCTCTTCAAGGTGAATTATATTGATAATCTCTACGGTGACTATTAGTTTAAATCCTTTTACCCACCAAACTGATTAAACACTGCAGCGGTTTTCTCTGCTGTATAAGCAGGAACATATCAATTACCCTAATGGATCATTGATCACATGTTCTGTGCAGTTGAACTTTAAAGGAGCAGTCCGCGTTTTTTCATGGATCATCAAACTGCTGTTTGTTTCTCATGTCAGGCTCATGTCTTTCCTTTCCCAGTTCGCATCAACAAATACCCATCCACCTGTTAAATCACCTGCAGATTTCTCTCACAGTTTTCTTGATACTTGGTTCGTTTATCAGTGAAATAGTCACTTTCTGTGAAGCTAAGAGGGTCGAACAGGGTCAAAAACAAAGTCAGCTGAGCACATACAGATCAGCAGATAGATTTAAAGCAGTATCATTCACAGGACCTCAGCTGTGTTTTTCTTACACAATCTAAAATCTCAACATGTTAAAACAGAGTTTCAGATAAGATAACTCTATCTCAGCGAGTTAATTATCCCCACATATTAGCGCTATCAGCGAGCCGCAGCCACAGGACGAGCTGATAAACCAGGAAAAAGACGACAGGGGAGAGAGAGAGCGTCAAGAACGAAACTCAGAGAATCCTCTCAGTTTGACTCTGTTATGACAGCAGCACAGTAAACAGACGAGCTAAGACATGGGACTCACCGGTGACATAGATGGTCCTGGAGTGCTCCAGCTCAGGGAACAGAGTGTCTAAGTCGTTCTGTGCCAGACTCAGAGAGATCAGAGCCCAGATCAAGACAGGAATCATCTTCACTCACCAGACTGAGGGGCCGGTCACTGCAGAGACAGAGAGTAAGGGGGGGGGGGGGTTAGACTGTCAGTGTCGGGAGGGGGGGGGGGGCCATCCTGTGGTTCAGTAAGAGAGAGCATCAGGACCAGGCAATATATTATGTATTTATCAATCTATTCATTTATCTGTTTGACATTTTCTGCAAAACGACATCAACTAAATGAAATAAAATAAAACATAACTGAGTATAACTGAATGTTTTAGGAAAATAAATCCTTCCTTTATCATTATTGCATTAGTAAAATTGAACCAAAATTTTGTATATTAAGTACAAAAAGGTTAAAAATAAAGAAAAGTTTATGCCTCTACTATATTATGCCTGTAAAATACATAAATGTATATATTCAGTGATGACAAGTGTTTTAAAATAGGAAAGAAACACCAAATAAGTGACAGATCTGTGGACATTTAAGTAAAAAATCTAAGGTACAAAAGAGAAAAATAAACCAGTAATGTAAATACACAGAAGAAAAATATTGAAGACAAGCACATACAGTTAGAAATTAAAAGAAAAAAAGGATTTGAGGTATAAAAGAACAAATAAATACATCCAAAAAAGTGATAAAATGGTTGAAAAAAGTTGAAAAAGTTAAAAAAAATTGCAGATAAGACAAAAAGTTTAAAAATGAAAAATAAATTGTAATATAACAAAAGAAATAAATAAGAAAAACAAGATAAACAAATACAATAAACAAGTAATAATAGATAAATAAATAAACAATAAGAAATATAAAAACAGACAAAAAGTGAATAAATAAAACAGAAATGAAATAAAAAATCTGAATAAATTTTAAAAAAATATGAAATGAATGAAAAACTGAAAAAAAAGTAAAATATGAAGAAAAACACATTTGTAAGATGTTTTAAAAAGTTACTCTTAAACAAAAAGTAAAAACTGTCAAAGAACATTTTTTTAAAAAGTGGGAAATTGACAGACCTTAATGCCTTTAAAATTACATGATTAGACTAAAAAAGGTTCAGAAAAATTAACAAAATTATGAATGTAGAACCAACAATGCTAGAGATACCGTAGAGGAGATTTCTTTCCACTCTTGTAAAAATACAGTTAAAAAAAAAAAAAAAAACACAAAAGAAAATAAAAAAATGACTTAATTTATCTGCAACTGTTTGAAAATGAGGAATGAGGAAATAAAAAGGTTTGAAGTTTGGTTAAAATATCAAAAATACATTTAACAGCCAAGAAAAGTTTTTTGTTAATTTTTTTTATTTTATTAACTGTTAATGTCAAAAAAACTAAAGTTTAACTGTTTAGAGTCCGGTTTAACTTTCTGTATCAGGTTTGTGTAGAAAATAAACATCAGATTAGAGGAGATTTGACCTGAGCTCGAATCTTAGATTAAGGTAAAAAAAGTCAAGAAAAAAAGAGAAATAAGGAAGAAAATGAATCACAGTTGAAGGATCTATGTTTTACGTCTTTATCTTCGAGATGCTGAATGAAACACACATCCTCTGTTTTTTCTCTGCCTTAAACCCCGAGTCTGTGTCACTGCTTTTAGAGCAGTGTGACCCAATGTCTCTATCTGCAGTGCTGTTTCCCCTCTGTAATATCTGCAGGAGAGCAGAACAGCCTGCAGCCCAGCGGCTGAGCAAATCTGCAGTCGCTCTAAAAACCTGTATGTACGACATAATAAACCTGTACTGCACAAACCAGATGTCCTGAATAAAGCTTCACACTGCAGATGTCAATAAACACAAGCCCAACAACACACACACATACACACTCACACTCACTCACACACACACACACACACACACACACACACACACACACACACACGTATCAATGTTAGACCAGTCAGCTTACATACTGTGCAGAAAATGTTTCCTGTCATCCAGCAGAGCGAGGAGGCAGCATGTCCCGGTGACACTGACAGTCCACAACTTCAGAGGGAGACTGTGCCACAGTGCAGCGTCACACATACACACACACACACACACCACAGGCTTCATCCACGCACACTCACACTGCAGCCCGTCCTCTACAAACTCATCCTGAACAGAGAGGGATTCACCATTTGACTACGGCTTCAGGGATTTGTTTTATGGGAGTCCAGGGCAGCCAAAAGTAAACTGAAGTCTGAGTCAAAAATTAGTTAAAAAAAATGTCAATTATTATCAATAATGTGTTTTACTTTCAGAAGGGGAGGTTCAACAGAACAACCCATCACCTGTTTGAATAGGTTGATTTTAATATTGGCCAATTGGCCTGCCATACAGCAGTATATTGTCATTTTTAAGCATACAGATATGACACTTGCTTTTCATTATTTAAAAAAGGTGTGACTTTGAATTGATTCATTTTTGACCCACATCAAATTCTAATAAATCTTTGTAACTGCTTAGAAACTATCCCTAAAAAAAAGTAACAAAGAAAAGCTACTTTTTTATTTTGCACCCAGAGATGTTGTAAACAGGAACACTTAGCATAGAGAATACATGCCAAAATGTGAACAAACACAGACTCAATAAAACAGCTTATCAAAGATCTGATTTGGCTCATTTGGAAAAAATTAGCTAATTAAAATATTGTCCACCTTGGCTTTCCATACAGCAATGTCTTTCTGATTCTTATAACCTATTTGTGAAAATTTAAATCCAAAAGCCTGTTTCACGACCACACTGTGATTTAAATTCCTTATGTACAATCTTAATTTTAAAAAATTACCTATGGTTGCAGAACTTGCTGGAAAAATTTTGACATTTCTTTCACTATCTAGAAAAAAATCCAGTGCTGCGTAATTTTTTAATTAATGAAACGATCTAAACTTAAAGGTTACTAAAAAGAGAAAAACAGCTGATGACCTTTTTTTTTGGGGGGGGGGGGGGGGTGCTTTTTAGGATCAACATGTGAACTTGGATAATGGCCACTTTGGACTTCCATAGAAGTGGTTAATTCAGCATTTATTCAGTGTACTTTTAAACATAATAAATCACCAAATTAAAAAGAAAACATTTAATAAAACCACACTGACAACCACCTCTTTTTGTTCAGATTTGGTTTAATGTCAGCATTCATGGCCTTCCATAAAAAGGTGTGTTTTTGTTCGCTTTTGTGATATATTAAACACACTTGCATCAAAAATTTTCTTCTATCTAAAGCTTGACTTTGAGTAAAAATATTTGTTCATTACCAATAATTTTTGTAAACTAACCAAAAATCATAGACACCTTTTAATGCTGCAGAACCTGCTCAAGAAAAATCAAAATTTTACATTTTCTCTATCGTCAAAGTAATTCAGTGTCAGTTATTCTTATATTAATTGGTTAAGCATAAACAAGACTTTATCGTGGTCAATTCGGCAAACATTTTGGGAACAAAATTCAAAATTTTAAACAAATACGGGTTGATCGATCTGGTTTTAATTCTGGCCATTCTGCCATACAAGTGAATGTGTGTCTCTTATGGATCCTGTGTGTGAGTTCAAAGTGTGTGTGAGTTTAATGTGGTCACTTGGATTGATTCTTCTTTCACCCCTCTACCCCTCCACCCTGTCCGCCTCCACCCCCACCTCCACCCTTATCTCCATTCACCATCCCAAAGTGCTGATGCTCCTGCCCCTCTGCCAGGTGCAGTTCTTGCAGTCAGCAGAATAACTCTGCAGCACACACACACACACACACACACACACACACACACACACACACACACACACACACACACACACACACACACACACACACACACACACACATGACTCTGATTACCCCTCCCTGCCTGAAAATAGTCATTACGCATACCAGGACGGGACAAGGGGGGTCTGCAGGGATAAGTGGGAGGAGCGAGAGGAGAAAGCTGTGATTTGTCCTTTTTGAACGGGGTGAAAACTTTGAGTGTTTCTCTGTAGGAAGCAAGGAGCAGCTGAGGTGTGAAATGAGAAAAGAGGAGAGGAGATGAAGATGATGAGATAAAGAGGAAAAAAGCTGAAGCAGAGAGGGAGGGAGGGAGGGAGGGAGGAGGAGGAGGAGGAGGGGGGTGAGAGGACTCTGCAGCAGCAGAAATGATGCAGCAAGCTGGAGTTTAATGCTCCATTAACACCAAGTCCTGAACTAAAGTACAGATCTGAAGTCCCTGTACTGGACTGGAGTCATCACATTTCATCACAGTCTAAACTTTTACTCGAATGTTTTCATACCAGAGCTACAGGGACCTCAACATTTAGACTTTTCCTGCAGAATATAGAAACAGAAAATGTTGCATCATGAAAACTAGAGTGTAACTGACACTGGTGTGACGATATTTCAGGTATTTTCTCAAGCACATTTCCCAAACATTACACCAAACCAGATACTCTGCATCCTCATCTGGGTCTTTAATTTGCTGAAGTAACATCAGAAGACAGAAGTCTCTGTTTCATTTGAGCTGTTCTCCTCCTGCTTTTGCTCTCCATACAGACATCAAAACCTGCTGATACCTGACTGGTCTGTATCTGACCCGGACCGGGACAACGGTTCCAGCTTGTGAGAAGTCAAAAAAAGTCAAATTTTGTAGGTGACAGCTGTAAACACAATCAGCTGTTTATGATGGAAACACTACACGTGAGTAACACATCAGCAGTGTGTGTGTGTGTGTGTGTGTGTGCGTGCGTGCGTGCGTGCGTGCGTGCGTGCGTGCGTGCGTGCGTGCGTGCGTGTGTGTGTGTGTGTGTGATCAGAGACACACACACAGAGCAGAGTGAAGATGGGACCGCATTCCTCAGGTCCATCTGTGTGGAGAGTAAACAGGACCACGACTTTACAGGCCAGGTGTGTGGAAGTGTGTGTTTGTGCATGTGTGTGTGTGTGTCGTCACCTGTGTGTCCTTAAACAGCTTCTCGGAGTGTGAGGACAGACCATGTGTTTGATGCTGCAGCAGTATAGGAGGCGAAATTTAGCGTCTGATTCAGGGTTTCATGGATGACTTTGAATCCAAATAACATAAAAAAAATTAACCCTCTCATGCATGAATTATGAGATCTTCAGATAGGATTTTGTTCCGATGTGTTTTTATTCTTCCTTAAGCTTATAAAAAAATACGATGGAGCGTTAGAGCCACATTGGGAAAATAAAAGATTTTAGACCTCGGAATTTCTTCTGGGAATAAAGTCGTAATAAAAGAATTATTTATGAGAATAAAGTTGTAATAAAATCATTATTTACAAGAATAAAAGTCGTATTCATGTCACTACTTATGGGGTAAAGTCTAAGTAAAATAATTTCTTACGGTAATATAGTTGTAATAAAATCATAACTTACTAGAATAAAGTCGTAAAGAAATCTTTTTTCACGAGACAAAAGTTGTACTAAAATCATTTTTCATGAGAATAAAGTTGTAATAAAATCATTACTTACGAAAATAAAGTTGTAATAAAATCATTACGGGAATGTAGTCATAATAAAATCATTTTTCACGAGACAAAAGTCGTAATAAAATCATTTTTCACAAGAATAAAGTCGTATCAAAATCATTACTTACAAGAATAAAGTTGTAATAAAATCATTATTTACAAGAATAAAGTCATAATTAAATCATTTCTTACGCGGTAAAGTCGTAATAAAATAATTTCCCAAGAGAATAAAGTCGTAATTAAATTATCACTTACAAGAATAAAATCATAATAAAATCAAATTTTACAAGAATATAGTCATAATAAAATAATTTCTTATGAGAATTAAGTCGTGGTAAAATCAGTATTGACGAGAATAAAGTCTTAATAAAATCACTATTTACGAGAATAAAGCTGTAATAAAATCAGTACTACTAAATAATGATTTTATTACAACTTTATTCTCGTAAGTAATTACGAAGTCTTTTTTTTCTTTCTTTATGTGGCCCTAATTCTCTGTCATAAAAAAATCTTTCAGGGACCCATTTTCCATGGAGTTACAGAAATGTCCATTCAGCTGGAAACCATGAGTTTGAGTTTTTTAAAAATCAAATATGAATTTAATGAGCAAATGACAGAAAATGGTACTCTGTTAAAACTGTGAGGAGAAAATCTTTTTAATGCAGCTAATTTCTTGTCTTCTTAGATTTTAACATATCCTTACACATATTCAAAGCAATGCAAAGTGATTGCAGATTTCTTAAGAGTTTCTACAAATAGACTGAAAAATATTCCCCATAGGCTTCCAAAGACAGTCTTCAATATTTCTGCTTTTCTACTGGATCTGTTCAGTCTGACTCAAACTTCAAAGACATGACAAAACAGACAGGGCTCAAACCAGACAACATTTTTGCATCAATTAATTTTTTTTTGCTTCTGTAAGAATTTTACTCTACATTTACCTTCCACTCACCTACAATGTCAGGAGGCGTTCAAATCATAAGTGAAGCACCTGCCCGTGTAAGGCGGCTGTAGAGCTTCAAAAATAAAGGTCTAAGACAAACGTTTATCATTTACAAAGCTAACTCGGGTTAGAAGGTAAGCTTGCAGAAAGGCTAGAGTTGGTTTGTCTAGAAATCAGGATCTGAAAGTGTCAAAAACTGCAGCCGGTCAGGCCCTTACCCTCCCTTTGACAACCTGGAGCCATATCTGCGGTACGAGCAGGTCTACAGGCGTTTAGATCAAACTGTGTCTGAGAAGACACACAAATCTTTGGGTGGAGACAAGAGCAGTGAAAGTGTGTCTCTGCTGTTGGGTCTGAGTTGATCTGTGATCCCACAGCGAGCTGCAGGACTCCACCCGACCTCTGATTATCAGATATCACTGCAGGACGCCCAGTGAGGCCAACACAAACACAAGCACTCAAACATTTATTCTGATGCTCAGCAGGGAGTGTGTGTGAGTGTGTATGTGTGTGAGTGTGTGTGTGTGTACCTGTGTGTGCTGGACTGCCTGTGGTATTAGATAAATATATTAGTATTCTGTTTTTGATAAATTTATGCCAAACTCGACAATTCCTCCAAACACTGTGGAGATAAAACGGGTTTGGGTATTTGCTGAGTCAGAATTTTGCTCACTCAAGTCTAAGAAACTTTTCGTCCTTATTGCGGTTAATAAGTTGTTTGAATGCGGTTAGAATTAAAAGAATTAAAAGTTATTATTGTAAGATTTGACAAACTGTCATATTATGACATGTTTAAAATTTCCTTTAAGCTTTTTGTCAGGTCATGTTTGAATTCTTCATACACTCATGGACTTTATAAAACATGGATGTATCGCCGTGACGTGACAGCTAATTAATTCCAAACTTTTGGCATTAAAGTGAAATTCCAACGTAAAATTAATTTAGGGTCAAACACACCATAACATCGAGTTAGACACCCCCTCCAGAGATTAATGTTGCAGTCGCTTGCTCCTCTAGTTATACCAACTTTAGTAACGACCGCAGGATAGCAATACAGAGAACCAAGTGCTCAACCAAAACACCACTCTATAGCCACAAATAATTCTCAGAACAGCACCTAACTTTATCAACAGTACATATAGGGTCCCAGCCATAGTATCTGCCACCTTTTCTTCGTTTTTTACATCTTCATAGTCTTTACTTTTGTAGAGAGAGTCACAAGTTTGAGATTAATCTGTTACAATCCAACACAATGCTGAAGATTGTAGTCCAACATGAACCTTGACCCCCCAAATACAGAGGGATACCAGTCCTTCGGACAAAACAGGACTCCTGTCATCCACCTCTCTTTAAAGAGCTCACACTCTCGTGGCTGAAGGCAGCAGGGTCCGTCAGCTCTGTGGAAAACTGAAACAATTATTTTCTGGCGGGATGCAAACGAGAAAACGTATGAGTGTTTCATAACCAGCAGAGAGGTCAGAGAAAACAAACACAGGAGGGAGAGCAAACAGCAGAGGCAGCTCGAGTCTTCCAACACTGAATACTACTGTCAGGCCTCATGCAGACGCTTCATCAGTCACACACTGAACACAAATCTGTTTAATTCAGCGAGTTTGAAACCTTTCTTCAGATCTCCAGTGTACTGGCAAACTCTGACCATGACACAATCACATTTACCAGGAAAGAACAAATCTCCTCATGACAAAGACAAGCCTCAAAGTTTCCACTCCATGTTTGGAGATGTTCAGTTTTTTTAGCCTCGACAGCAGAAAAGTAGTTCTGCGCGGTAGTGCGGTCCATTAGACTGATGTTTGTATGACCTTTGACCTCCTCTACAAACTCTTTTAAAAGGTTCAGACATCTAAACATCCTCTCTGTGTTCAGTGAAGTGACTCTGAGCATGTAAGGACTGAAAAAGGGCTGAAACACAGCTGGAGGAACATCTCCAACATGACTGGGTCTAAAACGGAGCTTCAGAGAGGCTGAAAGAGGTTCAGGACTGTGAGAGACCGCGTGAGCAAACAGTTCAACAAAGAGATTCAGAGGATTTGGAGAAATCTCTGTACTAAAGGGGGACAAGGACCAAACCCAGGACTGGATGGTCCTGATCTTCAGGGCGTTAAAAACAGACAGGACTCTGGAGAGGGAATCACTCCATGAACTCACCCCCAATTTACACCGCATCCGGAACGGCTCTGATCCGGAACGGCTGCGATTTTTTCTGTATAACAAATCCTACCAGAGGCGAATTTCGTGGCGGATTATGGACAGCAGGAATCGCGAGAACTCACAAGAACTGACAGATTCACGTGCAATCGCGCTATAACAAGTTGTCTCTATAAAGACAGACACATAGAAATTTAAGCAGCAGATTGTGTCCTTCCAGAGGAGGAAATCTACTTCTAGACTTCTAGAATCAGCATCTCCTCATCCATGGTGTCATCGGGGTGAAATGACGTCTAAAAACCTTTTACTTGTTCGTCTCCGCCTATTTGCATGGTGTGAGATACTATCCTCCTGAAACACAGAGTGTTTTATTTATTGTGCCCGACTTCTTTTCCAGCACGGGTTAATGTGTGATGAATTTATCCGGCATGCTCCGGCGTCCGAAAAAAAATAGAACTCTTGTAATCAGCTGCGGAGTCAGGCGATCCACAACGGAAAGAAGCCGGTGGAAATTGATGCATTAACTTGGATGGTTAAGATCAGCCCCGATTGGCAGATACGGCCTTTTCGTATCCGTTCAGGATGTGGTGGAAATTGGGGGTAAGGCAAAAGAACTACCGGGTAAGGCGAAACGTCTTAACTAAATCCAGTTGTCTTTCAATGTAGAACTGGAAATAATAAATGCTGCATCCTTAGTTTTAGACAATATCTGCAGGTTAAAGAGCAACATCTGCTGCCATCCAGACCAGGACTTTTTAGGAGAAGAGTCCTGCTGAGAAACTAGACTGATGCAGTCCTGTTGAAATCCTCCATTGGTCAAGAATGGGACAAACTTATGTGAATAAGTTTTGAGTGAATGAACAAAGTCAAAGACACTCGGACAGACGTCCTGCTGCTTTGAGCCTGTTGTTGTCAGGTATTTATGACGAAGCTGGAGAGTCACTTGACCCTCACAAACCTCCTTCAGCATGAGGACTAAATGAAGTGTGAAACAGCAGAAGCCTCAAAGTCTGACAAAGACCCGAGGGAGCGATAACAGAAATAGAGAAGAGACAGAAGAAAAAGAGTTTACAATGTATTACAGTGGAAATGTGAGCGAGGCAGAGTCAGGACAGGTCAGAAGAAAGACCACTTCTCCACAAACATGCTTTATCGCTCTCTTTTAGCGACTAATACTAACAGGAAAAGACCCTCAGAGGAATAACTCTGTTTTTGTTTATGATTTTTTTGTTTTTGGGGGGGTTGTTATAACAATAACAATAATAATAATAATAATAATTTTATTTTTATAGCACTTTTAAAAACAGAGGTTTACAAAGTGCTTTGACAAGCAGTCGTAAAGCATCAGCACATGGAAATAAAAACAAATAAAAAACAACAGGCCTCTGAAATTGAAGGCCAATTTTGTTTCTCATAAGAATCCCAGACAATACAAGAACCCTACATCATAAAATGAGACCATGAGACCGAAATAAAAACATGAAATTGGTAAGAAAAAGAAATGTAATAAAAAAGGGGTTTGAAAGCAGGAAACTGGTAAAAATCATAACAAAGTAATAATGATGATCATAGTAATGATAAAATGGAATGACAAAAATGAGCAGACAAAAACAATAAAATCAATCAAAGGCCTAAAAGGTTAAATAGGAAAAGATTATAAGTAAAACAAAAGCTAAAAAGACAGTAAGTCGAAATGAGATAGAGGTAAAAGAGATAAAAGTTGTATCAGGAACTTGTCAGAAGGATGTGTATTAACCTCAGGGGATCCCTTCGTTAGGAGACCAGCAACAACTGGGACAAAAACGAGGTGATCAACCAACATTCAATAGCGTTGTGTCGTTCGCGAACGATTTGTTCAAAAGAACCAAATCTTTTAAGTGAACTACTGAACCCAATCACTTCCTCAAGTAATTTGTTCATTTCTCACTTCAGTTGAGCTGTCAGAAGCACAGCTGCTATAGCACGCAGCATTGCCAGGCGAGCAGCCGTCGAACGAGGGAGCGCATGCACCAACGCCTGAATCACTTGGTGAACGAATCATGCATTCAACTACACACTCTGGAATCATTTTTGGTCAAACAAAACTACATATTTTTTTTAACTGCGAAATTGCGAAACTGCAAAACAATTTGCATAAAACAGGACACAGCATGTAACAAGGTAGTGCATAAAACCCGCAGCATCCTGTCATTGCAGCGGTTTGCGAGGGAACTGTGCATGTTCAGTTTGAATTCTTCTAAAAGTTCAGTGACGAATCACTAACTGAGCCCAATCACGAGCAGACCTGATAAATAGCATACCATAGGACAGTACACTTAAAACATCATGACTTATAAACAAGTTCAGTTTTACAAACCTGTTTGCCAAAGCAACACAGCCAAACACTCTCGTCTCCCAGTAACAGAAGCTATGAATTGAACTAAATCCTGAACCTTTCAGCTGCGCATCAGTTCAGGAGGTTGAAGTCGCAGGCTCCTCCTGCCAAGCACTGAATGATTCAGTGATTCAATGAATGAATCTTTTGTATGAATCATTTTAGTGAACTGATTGTAGTGATTCAGTACATCTAAAAGAACTGCCATCATCACTAACATTCAACAACAGAAGAAATACAAATCAATAAATCGGTTACTTTTAGGTTTCTGCTTTGTTTTTTTGTGAACCTCGGGGATGTAGCTAAAGAAAATCCTATCTTTAAGAAAAAAGTCACTGACCGAGCTGACATTGTAAATTTTGTTGACTTAAACATCTCCTGACAAATGGAGACTCTTGCTGGAGTCCGGAGCCCAGGAGGGCCTCTCCTCTGAGGGTTTTTGTGAAGTAAGAGGCCTCAGCAGCTCAGAGGCGCTCAGATAAACGTATGGACTCTATTACACGCGTGTCAGAGCGACATTAACTCTGACTTGTGTTGTGAAAAGCAGACAGGACATGATGTAAAGCTCTGTATTAAGTTTCTCTGTCAGAGAGGGATGGACTCAGTTATAAAAGTAACCGAGACCACAGGACCGTGAAACCAGGACTGACGCCGCAGCTCTGGATCCATCAAGTTTTAGAGCTACAGGACAGACTTGCTGCCGCAGATTCATGAGTGGATGTGGATCTACAGTCTGGATAGAAACTGTCAAAGTTTTCCACTTTATTCCACATCATATCAGACCAGGGGTCGGTGTGAGAGCGTGCTGCTGTCTCTGTAATCTGGTCCTTCCTAAAACCGCCACTGCTGCTCAGAGCTCTGGACAAGATGTCAGGTCACCCAGCTGACACTTCCTGCCCCATCAAACAGATAAGAGGTCACCGCAGGGATTCAAACTATCAACTCTTTATCCTTTAAGACAGCAGGATGTTTCAGAATCAGAATCAGAATGCCCTTTATTGTCATCATACAGACGGTTCAACGAGATTGGAGGGCTTCTCCATTTTCAGTGCAAAAGATACAAAAGAAAAAAAAAAAGAAAACAGAGACCGAATGAAAAGTACAAAAAGGGTTGTAAAAAAAAAAAAATAGGTACAGACTACAGACTATATACAAGAAAATATCCTCTAGTGCAGCATAGACAGTGCAATGAAAATGAAACAAAATACAAGAATAGGAAGGGGGATAAATATTAATAATAATATACATGTATATTAATAAATAAATATATATATATATATATATATATATATATATATATATATATATATATGTTTATATACAATATTGAGGTAGGATTCACATAGCAGCAGTGGTAATATATTGCACTATTGCATTCAAACAAAGCAGCAGTGGCAGTTGTAAGTATATTGCACTTGTTACTCATATTGAAGGGTGGGGTTTTTTCAGCTTTGTCTGTAAACTTAGAGGGGACTTGGGTCCTTTATTTTGGGTCCAAATGACCAAAAGGTACGACAAGCTCCAGGGTCACTACAGTTGGTTCCAGTAATGATCATCTTTCTCTGTAAATTTGACCCCTAATGACCCTGAAAGTCCATTTTGCAGGGCTTGAAGACCTCCACCATGGTGCCGGAAATCCAGCTCAGGATTTTTTTTCTAAATCATGTAAAAAAAAACAAAAAAAAAAAAAAACCTAGTTGGTTAGATCTGAATATGACCAGTAGAGGACAGCTGGATAGCGTACATCCTGCTGGAGAAGAAGAAGAGCGGAAGAAGAAAGAGACGCATCAGCAAGCGGCAAACAGCAAATCTGAAACAATGGATACCAGGTACATCAATTCAGGAGAAGAAACGGCGATATTGGAAGCTGGGCTTGGATGGAAGAGGCTGGAAAAGATGGAAAGCCTCATGGTAGCTGGTGCCAAAAATGAAAGAGCCTGGTGCTTGTTTTTGTGTGTTGTGCGCCAGAAAGCTTATTTATGGCAGCAATGGGAAAAAGTTTGGTAAAGTTGGAAAGATATTCACAGATTCAGACTTCTGGGATCAATAAAGCTGAGACTAAACCTTGTCAAAAAACAGATGATGCCTCTTTCATGTCGTAATAGCACAGACTACTAGCTACAAGAATCAAAAAAAGATTTGTTTTACAAAAACAAGTCGTTCTTCGAGCTGGATAAATAATACTGATCTTTATGCACAGCCGGTAGCCGTTGAGTGCGCAGGGACCGTCTGCAAATTATGATACAAGAGCAAGATGATGCAAACAAAAATCAATGGCTCTGCTGTTATACAGTACAGACCCCAAAATCACTGAACACACCAAGGGACTCTTCATACTGCAACAACTGTTTTAGGAAAATGTGCCTTTTTAAAAATTTGTTGAACTTTTATTGTTATGAATCATTAATATCTTCCAATATTAATCAATTTCTGCTTCAAGCCCTGACTTTGTTTGGTCGGTTCCCTGCCAGAGGTCCTCTACTTTTGCCCGGCTGTGAGAGGGCGGACTTGGGTGTGGTACAGTCGCTCATTCAAGCGCAAAAGCACGGCGCAGGGAAGTCCCGCATGTCTTTTGGTTTTCATCCCCATGTCAGGTAAGATGACAGTTTTTGTGAATGGAGTTTGGTGGCAGTGTAACAAACTTCTCAACTGAAGGGTGTGTTTCTGTTGTGATCCAGAGCCTGTCAGGGACAAGAACAAAACCTTTCAATGGACGATTTTGGAGCAGGTTCCAGGATTATGTTGCAGCCTGTTTTTGTCACTCTCGGCTGAGTCATTTCTCATCATCATGTAAAAATAGAGACGTGCAGGGATTCCCTCTAAAAACGTGGAAAATTGCTGTCATTCTTCAAATAAAACCACCTGTGAGGAGCATGGAAATCTCGACGGCCAACCACACAGACTCCATCTGAAGAGAGTTTGAACCAAGTCTCCAAGTGTGAGTGGGTTATTCCTCTTTGCAGAGGTCTTCAATGACCGACGAAGGAAAGATCCAGCGTTTCCTCATAGGACCAGGAACCACAGATGTAACAGGTCTCAGCAGCTGTGGGAGAACCTGCTGTGGAAAAGTCGACAAACAGCTTGTATGTGTTTGTGTGTGGGTGGGGTAGGAAGTGATGGGTGGGGTGTTTACCATACACACAGTCTCTGGTATTCATTAATAGCTCCTTCAGTTTCATATATGTTTTCCTATGAGGTTAGAGAGGTGGGTTCAAACTGGTTCATAGCCTACCTTCACCTAAACGTCACGTCACACCACCATGTGGTCCACAAAGACTCCTCAGAGTGAGCACAGAGCGGCTGTCACGGCAGGTGTGGAGACCTGTGACACAGCCAGAGAGGCACGAAAGCTTGGGGGCTCTGACGACCAATCAGAACGCTCCGTTTGGAAGCACACAGTCTGTATGTTTTTTTCTTGAGCATGAAGCAGTCCTGATGACCTCAGCTCTGCATATGCGACTTTGTGATTTATTCTCATGAATCATGATGGTGACGTAAAACTGAAATATAAATCTCCTCAGAGTCATTCTGGGATTTTAAAATCTCAAATATCTTTACAGCATGATCGATATCTGCTGTTCAAGTGAGAACTGAAAATAAAAAATTGTTAAAGGGAGAGCCCAACATCCAGGGATGTTGACGAGTTTGATGTCCTCCTTTCAAACCTCAAGGCTACAGTTTGGACCCCGTTCCGTTTGAGGTGTGATCTCTGATTGGCTCCTTGATAGGCCGTGGTTGAAGGTGGGGTAGTCAGGATCTGAGGAAGTTCCAGTTTTTGGGCGAAATCTTGAATGTAAACTCTACCCCTCCCAACCAGTTTTCCCCTCAGCTCCTCCTCTCCCCTCCCGCTCTGTTCCAGCAAGCCCCGCCCACAAACAGACGCTCCTACTCACTTGTATCGTTCCAATTAAATTCAGATATAATGCAGATAAATACTTCAGATAATTACAAATGGAGCCCAGTCAACGTGAAAGTAAAAAGCATTGGTGCTACTGTAGATGCAAACAGACTACAAGCAAACACAACGTTAGCAGGACTTCTACAACTAGGATAAGTGACATAGTCCAGGACCTGAGGTCAACAGTTTAGCGGTGCTACAACACGCTACAGCAGGTCCCATTTGACAAGAAACACTTCTGTTACAGACACTTGGCTTACTTTGTTAAAGCGGTTTACCTGTCCAGCAGAAAGGTTACAGGGTCACAAAGATCCCAAAGCGTCCTCCATCGTTTATGTTGACCCGGCTTTTTAGCTCTTGTCCGGTCTACCTTCTTTTCAAGTGCCTGTTATTCTGCCTGTATCTCCTGTATCTACTTCGTTTTCTTGCTTGTGTTGGCAGTCGTGGCCAAAGGAGAATTCAGACAATTTTCCGAACTTTCTGGTTGGTTTCTACTGTCCGATATTGTAGCACGTTAACTTTGTTTGGGCTCGTGAATGACACGGGGGAGCAGCATCTGCCTCACAACCAATCAGGTTGGGGAGGTGGAGAACGGCTTTGTTTACAGTCAGAAAAAAACTCAAAAAACAGACAAACTTAATTTTAGGAAGTGGATAGTAAAGTTGAAGTTTGTAGAGGAAGTATGGTGATGTGAACTCTTGGCCTGCCTGAACCAGCACTGTGCTAAACTAATGATCAGTGTAACTGCTGTTTATTCTGTTGACGACTAAGGGAGGATAACTTTGACTCAGTTAGTCGCCTAAATGCACATATCCCTGTACAGTTACATGGGAGTTGTTAGTCTGCTGCTTTAACTGGTTGATATCAACGTACTTTCTGGTTGGTTTCTACTGTCCCACATTGTCACAACCAATCAGGTCGGGGAGGTGGAGAATGGCCTTTTTTACAGTCAGAAAGAGCGGGCCGCTCAAATGTTAAAATGTTGACTACACAGACATAACAAAACACAGAGATATCATGATATTCCCAAATGTCATCAATAACTTATAATTATTGACTGCTATTAAAAGATTTTTTGTTTATACACCCCCAAAAAAGATGCTTCTTTAACAGATTCCTGTCTACCCCACCTTTAAAAGGATGACTGTTTGGAGGATTAAAAAAATGCTGTTTTCTGCACTATCACTCAAACATCCTGCTCATAAATGCACACGTATTGATTACAACTATAATTCTGTCCAGGACTTATGAGACTTTAAGAAGCAGGTAATCTCTTCTGTGACCTTTGACCCTCTCTCCTCCCCCCTGTGAGAGCCTAATTTATGACTCTCTTCCCTCTTTACTGTTAAAAGTTAATCTGGCTCTGCATCCCAGCATGCACTGTGTTTTTTGAAGCAGTGTGAGTGCTGGAGACAGCGTTTATGTGAGGTTTTTATCTCCTCGCTTAAAGTGTCAGGGGTGAGAGCCCAAGGTCAAAGGTCAGCAGCAGATATTAAACAGGTTTATGATGCCTCCTTTAGCGTTATTTCTCCTTTCTTCTCCTCCTGGGCCACTTCTTTCAAAAAAAAAAAAAAAAATGCATCAAATGAAGTCAAAGTTCAGGTATGACTGAGTTATCTCAATCACAACAAGTTTCACTCTGTAAGGAAAGTCAAAGAGTCCAAAAATAAAATGTTACAACCCCCGACTTTTCAGGAGACAAACTCCAGAAAATAATATTTCTAAAGACTAAAGTTTACAGAAAGTGGTTTGGATTGAAAAACAATTCTGAAAGTCGATGTTTGTAACATCTTAAAAACTTGTCAGCCTTAAAAAACTTAAAATGCTGCCGTCACAGATACATGACGAGAACACAGATCTGCTCATACTAGAGTGAGCTGAGTGGGATGAATCTATTTTCTAAAAAAAGCTCTATATTTAGTGTTTCTATACTTGCTTCTGACTGGACTTTGAAGAGGACATGAAACACTGACCCAAGTTATCATTATTTTAAGAATGCCTCTCGACTTCACAAATCACTGTATTCCTGACTCTCAAAATATAAGACAATTCTAGAATACTGTGACAAATGCTCCATTTTAGCGATACTTCGGGGAAACTTAAAGCAGTGCCACTTCGTGAAATGATCGATTGTGAAGCCTGCGTATTGACAATTGAATGAGAGCACATTAGGTTAGCTGAAATGGCGAATCAAGGGCCAAAGATGTGTAAACTCACCAGAGGAGGGGTATTTGGCTTTGCCCCAGGCTGCTCCAACCAATTTTACAACGTAATAAATAAACAACAAGCATTTTCATCATTTGCCGCTGAAATGGCCGGTGATTCTCTGAAGCTGGCTAGTGACTATGAAGCGTTAGGATCCACCTGTTTGCATATACACTGCATATAGACTTTTTGGCTGAGGGCTACGTGGAGGAAAGATATTTTGATGAGACCGGTGCACTGGCACCTTGTCGGCTGACCACAAATACAGCTTCTGACTGGTTTACAGACCACGCCCTCCGCTGTTACGCACAGAACTCCGTAGCTCTAAATGTCACCCAGATTCTCAGTTTTCGTTGCCATGAAACACTACAGTAATGACATCATTCTTTCGCTTTCAGATGCTCAAATATCGGGATTTATCAGCGTCAAATCATCTCCCGGGTGAATGCTACAGATAGCTTAGTCGCTGCTGCTGCTTCTTCTTCATCATCTCCTCCCTGTTTTTGGACTTGTTGCGCCACCATATAAACTCGTGTTATTATACTTATTTTGAAGATGATATCAATTCCAGGATGTTGCAACAGGCCTCATTCTCAATCGTGAACCGAAACAGCAGCGAGTTCAAGGAATGCACAACACCACATCTGAAGAGGTGGAGCAGTGTTTCCTCAGTTTTAACGGTATATTCCGGCATAAATTATAGTTATACAGAGTTAGACTCCCCCTCCAGAGATGAATGTTGCCAACCGCTTGCTTCTTCAGTTATACCAACTTTAGTAACGACCACAGGATAGCAATACACAGCATTCTGAGGAGCCATAAACAAACCTCAACCAAAACACCACTCTATAGCCACAAATAATGCTCAGAACAGCACCTAACTTCATCAACCGTCATCAAACGGGCCAGTCCATTACGGACTACAGGAGGGTGATGCAGCTCAAGGAAGAACATTTATGATAATTTCTTTATCATTTCCTTAAAGTTATAATCACCATATTAATCATTTTCACTGCAGACGCGGTAGTTCTTCTGCCTTAGCGTCTCGGTCTGATTGTACTTCCATGAAGAAATGATCATAAATGTTCTTCCTTGAGCTGCATCACCCCGCTGTTGTCCGTAATGGACTGGCCTGAGGTCTCACTACAAACAAGCGGCTGCTGGAAGAAAATATTAGGAATACATTAACTTGGATGGTTTTGGAGGGCCTTTTCATAGATGTTCAGGATGAGGTGGAAATTGGGGGTAAGGCAGAAGAACTACTGCGTCTGCAGTGTAAAATGATTAATATTGTGATTACTACTTCAAGGAAATGACAAAGAAATTATCATAAATGTTCTTCCTTGAGCTGCGTCACCCCGCTGTAATCCGTAATGGACTGGCCTGAGGTCTCGCTACCAACAAGCGGCTGCTGGAAGAGAGTAGGTGAGTTGTGTTTAGTCCTTTTGCTAAAGAAATTAGTCAAAGGTAAAAAGATGTTTGGTGGCTTGTACTATGGCTGGGACCCTATATGTACTGTTGATGAAGTTAGGTGCTGTTCTGAGCATTAAGTTGAGTGAGTGGCTCTCTGTATTGCTATCCTGCGGTCGTTACTAAAGTTGGTATAACTAGAGAAACAAGCGGTCGACAACATTCATCTCTGGAGAGGGTGTTTAACTCGGTGTTACGTGTGTTTGACCCTAGATTAACCCTTTGATGCGCAACATGGGTCAAAAAAGACCCGGCTGAGTTAAAATTTTATATATCTTTTCAATAAATTAATTCCATCAGTCGGTACTCAAGGAATTCCTCAATTAACTTGTTTTTGACGACCCTACATCCTTATGTTAATTTTTCTTTTTTTACTTTTAGAATAAAAACCGTTTTTGTATCACTACCCCTCTAATGCACAACATGGGTCTAAAATGACCCGTATCCATTTTCAATGTTATTTCATGTATGGCTGAGTGTTTCTATGGTATATCTTTGAAATAAATTAATTTTATCATTTACTATTCCAAGTATGCAGTAAAGATCTTGTTTTAGTTGAGCACAAATAATCATTTTTATTTTTCCTTTCTTATGTTATGAGGAAGCACAGATTTTGTATTTCTACATCAAGTTTACATACATGGGTCAGAAACGACCCATATATAATGACTGTAGCATTTAGCATGAAAAGACCATCTAATACATGTAAGTATGGTTTTTCAGTTGTTCTGACATTATCTTAGAAATTATTTGATGACAATTGTGAAAGATAATTGTACATAGATTTGATTAGGTTTAGGTTACCTTGAGAGTGAGGACATTACATGTTGGAAAGTTACAAAGTTACAGGTAAAACAGCTAGCGTTATTTCAGCTAGCTATAATCGGACGCATGTGTATGTGACAAAATGACAAATAAACTTGTTGCTGATACAAAATACATAGTTGTTTGGCCCATAGACTGTATATAGAATGGACAGAGTCTGCCTCCTCGCTGGGTGAAGCGACTCCGAGAACAGCACCCTCTGTTGATGGGCTGCAGTATAGGTCATAAATCCCGCCTCCGCCAGCAAAGGTTATGGAGTTGTGGACAAACTTTAGAAATTTATTACACAGAACATAAATTTTTCTCCCCCCTGCTTGCGATGTAGACATGTAGTTACAGTAAGACTGGTTTGTGCTCAAGTCCTCTTTTTTTCTGTGAAGCTCCATTTTTAAAAGTTATTAGGGGGTTCATGTTTGCTATGATTGACACCTGATACAGCCTATGGGCGTTCAGGGATTGCGTAGCTCTCCCGGGGGGATACGCTGTTTGAGCCGAGCGTTATCACAGCGACTCTCGGCGACTGCGGGGCCGAATGCGCGCATCGCTACTGCGCAGTGCTGGTTTCAGAAATGTAGAAAAATCCTGGAAATATCGAGAGCTTTTTGGCTCCAAATCCGTATACAGGCGGTAGGCAGAACCAAGTTGTCCATAGTATATTTAGTCTATGGTTTGGCCCCACTCACTGCTAATTTCATTACTTGAAACAAATTATTATTATAGTGTTAGGTAATTTAATATTAAATCACACTTGGATGAATGGGTCATTTTTGACCCATGTGTGTAAACTTGAAATAATAATATAGAAACTATATTATTTCATAAAGTATGAAAAGAAAACAAGAAATAATGATCAGTGGTGATCAAAAACAAGATATTTAAAGAATACTTGGAATATTCAATCAGAAAACAAACTGATTTCAAAAGATAGAACAAAGAAAAACTCAGCCAGCATGAAATACCATTGGAAATGAATGCGGGTCTTTTTAGACCCATGTTGCGCATTAGAGGGGGTGTGCATATGTTGCGCATCAAAGGGTTAATTTTGTGCTGGAGTATCCCTTTAATGCTCCTGTGGACTGCAAAATAAACATAACAGCAGAAACCAGGTAACAACACAGCCTCATGTTCAGGAACCGTCCCCCAGAGTCACATGATGTGTTGCAGCGTCTCTTAAACTCAGTAGATTTTCTGTTGCTTGTCCAGATTTCTGTTTTAAGTCCGCTAAAGTTGGAAAAGTCCAGACACGGTGTCCTGATGAAATTGTTTGCAGCACAAATAACGGTGGGAACATTCAGAAACACTCACTATTTAAAGTTGCAGCCGGTGGATGGTAAACACGTTTTCACCCGACACGACACAAACTTCTATTCATGCGGAGAAAACAGAGCCCTCCTCTAAACGAACACCTCAGTGCTGCTCTCAAACACAAAAACACACTCATGTTGTTTCCCCATCAGCAGCAATTTACCCCGATTGGAGCTGACTGTGTGTGTGTCGCTGCAGAGAATACACCCCCACTTTTCATTTAGGGACCGACACTGCAGGCCCCAGTCTGTGTGTGTGCGTTTCTGTGTGTGTGTGTGTGTGTGTGTGTGTGTGTGTGTGTGTGTGTGTGTGTGTGTGTGCTTGTGTGTGTGTGTGGGGGTAATGGGTGGGGGTCAGGGTGGAGCCGCTCAGTCTAAGCCAGCACACAGAGAGGGGTTGTTGGTCTCTGAGTGTCGCTCTCAGCCCCTCCGTCTTTCTCGCTGCACAACATGCTCGACCACAACTATGAAAATGCTCGCAATCATGACGGACGGTGCTGACAGACGGCGAAGGATCGAAACCTCAGTTTATGGAGCGCAGTGGAGGCAATTCAACGCGCCAGTTTTCCACAAGAGTGAGGGGAAGTTGCAACACGCCAATAAAGCAATCAATCAAGTATAATAAAGTCAGAAAGTCACAGTGGAAGATGCTGTTGTTGTTTACAGGAAACTAAAATGTGAATGTTTTCAATCAGAGGACGTAAAGGGATAGTTCACCAAATTTTCTTTGAAAAGTAATAGCAGTGAGGGACAGGCCAAAATCCTCACCCTCATCAGCATGAAGATAATTTTAATTATTTAAAATGATATTTAATTGACTTTAATTTAATGTTATATTAAGGAGAGAAGACATGGTAATGTTATATTTTTCAATTACATATTAATTTGTTGTTATCATAATTTTATATCGGATTACTTCTTGGGGATGCAAAAGGCACCAATTTCACAGAATTACCCATAGAACTGAAAATGGAGAGAAATGATGGCTGCTCTTTGGAGATTAAAAACATAAAAAGATCCACCCATAGTTCCCCAAGTGTCCACTAGGGGCTGTGTCCCAAAGTGAGTTAGTCCTCCATAGAGCTCCATGTTAAATTTTTAGACTTTACAGCAGACTTTAAATCATTTTGGCTTGTTGGAGCACTGCAGCTACTGTAGCATCACAGAGTTATTGACTGAGTTATATAAAGTTTGACTTATTTGAGTGTTTTGTTTGGCTTAATCTGCTTTATAATCCAGTGCGCTTTCTAATCCGGTGCGTATTGGTGTATTGCTATAGTGCGAAAAATACGGTAACCTTTCAGCTCCAAAAACTGATGTCAAACATCATGCACAGAAACCTTGCACACAGAGCCGGATGCATTATATCAGGGAACAGGGAGAGGTTCACCTGCCAAGGAGCTGCAGAGTCCTCCTCATCACCCCCGGGTATATTTCAGGGTCCTGACTGACTCCCATCTAGCAGCTGATCCTGCACAGCAGCTAAGAGTGTGTTTGAGGTGCAGGGACACACACACTTCAACAAAGATGTGCTGTTGAAAAAGTCTACACAAACACCTGGATCAACAAGACTCGACCTGAGAAGATCCACCTCAACATATGCGAGATAACACAAGATTAGTTGTGTCTTGCACTCATGATGCTTTTTTTTTTTTTTTTTGCACTGGCGGCGCCCACAACCTCATTTTCAGGGCGCCTCTCACCTGAGTTTATTTTTGCCAGGTCATGAAAATCCCCCTGCTGCACTTCCACTTCCTTCAGCTGTGACTGTTGGATCAGTTTTACGCTTCATTTTTGTTTTTGTTCGGCAGCATTTGAAAAAAAGACGTTAAAAAAATAAAAATACTGCGTCCTATCATCAGCTCTGGACTTGAAAAGTGAACCTCGATATGACAAGTGTCGTCACAGAGTCCCCTTTCTCAAGTACCTCTGTTGTTTCCCGATCTGTCCCAGAAACCCGATTTGTACTGCGCATGTGCGAAACGTACGTCACTTCCTCTCTTCGTATTTTAATGCATTTTACGGCAGTGAGTCATCACTATTGCTACCTACCCGATCCATACTACGCAGGTGCAAATTTACTTAATCTTAAAAACTTTATCTAAACTACCGATCGATTTTAGAAACCAGCTGGCGATGTGACAGGCTAGCTAGCAGAGGGCTCCAGGGCTAATGCCGAGGCATTCGCCAGAGCTCCGGCCCAGCACAGTGAGACCTTTTGGGCCACAAAGAGCGTCACCACCCGGTCAAAATTATGGTTCTCTGACTTTTCAAAGTATCAAGGGGAGATTTATTTCATTTAATAAAATAAATTAACAAGAAGCCTACACATTATGGACAATGAATTTCAGCGTTTTTATACAGTGTTTCAATTTCAACGATGAAATATTCACATTCATTCAAGCCTTTTATAACTACGGCTCTGTTCACACCGCAGATTAATTCCGATTTTTTAACCATATGTGATACATATCTGATTTTTTCATGTAAGTGTGAACAGTGCTGTTCAGATTTTTTCAAATCTGACCCAGGCCTCTTTTGTATGTGGATATAAATCGGATATGTATCCAATGTGACTGCAGTGTGGACGCTCAGGTCGCGTTCATCTGACCTATGCGTCATCAATATGCATCAAACATCACCATTGTTCGACAACACAAACAGGCGCGGAAAGCAATTTGTGCTTTGTGTGCATGCGGGTCACTTCACGGACACATTTTGTTCACATAAGATGCCGCATTCATTGTTGTGATGTGAACGACCGCACAAAAAGATCAGATGTAACAAAAAATCCAAATTGTGCATCATAACCTGCAGTGTGAACGTAGTGTATGTTGCAATTTTACAATTAAGCTGTGGTAGGAACCTTAAATGTAAAACTGGGCACCATTCTCTTGACTCTACGGTGCTCTGCTTCAGTTGGGGAAGAAGAAAAGCATGTGGCTGTTATAAACTGAAGCATCCAATCTAATTGAAACAAGCTCGCTGATGCTGAAGCTGTCGCAAACAACGAAAGGAAAAAATTGCCGAGGTGCTGCAAAGATGGCGAGTGACATAGTGAAGTGACATACGTTTCACACATGCGCAGTACAAATCGGGTTCCCTGGATGGATTGGGTATAGCAACAACCTCCACCATTGTTGTTGACAAAGACATAGTCAGAAGTCCCGCCCCTTCTTTATCCTGATTGGTCAGTTATCAAGAATTGACATCGATGAGTGCAGCAGTGTTCCAAAACTGATGCTGAGGATGTTTAGTGTTAAAGAAAAAAACGTGTCTGCTGAAAATCTGATGACCTGAAGCTCTGCCTGCTCTCAAGTTTGTCAGCTGACAAACTCGACAAAATTCAACGTGGATGAACTTCAGACTAACGTAGATTTACGTTTTTGCGACACTCCAGTAAAAAAAAAAAAACAAACATATTTTTGCCTCCTTGCATTGACATCAAATCACACTGTGCAAAAGTTGTTTTTGCAATTCATCTGAACACAGAGTCACTGCAAACGGGCATAAATACTGAGTTTATCTAAAAACAGTCAAGTTAATGACACATGAGCAAAATTAGATCGACCACACTCTCCACATCGCTCTTATGAGGCGACTTGTTTGAAAATGTCAAATACGTGTTACAGCAAATCCAGAAATATGTCAGTGTCGTTCAGTTTTACCTGAAAAAGTTTTTTTTTTCTTTTCAGATTTTCATCAGGATTATGAGCCTAAACACCAACACCTCCTCCAGTCTATCCGAAGTCCTGTTTCATGAGGACTCTCCTCCAGCCACCAAACCTCAAACCAAACCAGAGAAAAGGACCTTTTCACTGTGGAGGAGGAGGTCTCACAGCTGTTACACACTCAACCCTCACAAACAATCTTAAAGAGGGACCAGGACAAACTCAGAGTCATCTCAGGTTCTGGAAACAGATCATAAATCTTCATGTTTCTCAGAAAAGAAACTCTGATTATCAGTTAAAGTTGGTCAGTCCAGAGGAATCTCATGCAACCATGAAACATTAACACAACAAGCAACACCTTATTTTTAAAAAAAGTCTCATTATGACGTAAAGTTCATGATTTAGCACAAATCTGCACTCCTTTTAGTCATCACTTTAATGCACTTTTAACAACCATCTGTCAAACTGTTTACACTTCACTGCAAATATACGAGGATATCTTTCTGCTAGTTGTAGTTTCACTGTTTAAAATTATTATTATGAGATTTTTTAAACTCTCTTTTCTTAGGAGCTTGTTTTAGTAAATTTAATCCACTAAATAAAGTAGTTAATCATAAGACATTGTGGTTTAGTGTTTAAGTGTCCTCTGTGTGCCAAATCCCCCTGAGTCCCCTCTGGTTGTAACTCAGCTCTCCAGTGAAGGCAGAGAGCCAAAAAAACGTCTGCTAATGACTCCACCAAACATCAGAATGTCACGCAGGAGACACAAAAAATGAAAAATATCCTAAAATCTAAATTCAACCTTCAGAGATGTGAAGAAACAAACTCCTGTACCTGCTCAGGGCGCTGCGTCGCGGTGGAGTCTCTCCTGTCCGGCGGTCCAGATGCGGAGTGAAGCGCTAAACGATTACGCGCGTCAAGGTGATACAAAAACAGGCGCAGTGGATGTTTGCAGTACCTCCTGTCGGATTGTGGGAGAAACACGAGTGTGGCACCAGCAGCGGACGGGCGCACTCCTCCTCGTGAGTGTCTTTGTGCGCGTGAGGAGTCTGCGCTCTGGCGCGTGCAGGTGAACTCTGAAAACTGCGCTCAGCTCCGGTCAAACTTTAAGGACTTATTTCCACATCTGTCGCTCCAAACTGGTTGAAATCAGGTCGATTTGGTCCCGCATCACTACAGAGGGAATCCAGCGGGTCTTATCCGGATCTGCAGCCTCTCTGGGTTGTTTGTTTTTTTTAGATCTGGGACAAAGGAGGACCCCAGCCCCTGTTGCTCAATGTGAGAAAAAAAAGAGAAAGCTTGGATCTGAGACCTGCTCCTCCTGACTCATAAAAGGGTTCCCAAAGTTGACACAGCACACCTGTGATACTCAGAGGACATATTTATGCAGAAATTAAGATTTCAATTTGAGAGTTTGGGGCTCAGGAAAGTAGGAATAAGAGTCCAGTCCTCTTTGGTGTGATGCCACGAGCAGGTTTTCCTCATTAATCTGGAGGACTTGAACCTGAAACTTTCCCAAATCTAATAAAGAGGCTGATGTAAACGGCAGAGCAGCAGGCAGGAGTTTAGAAACACTGAGGTCAGAAGTTTAAGGAGTCCAAATGTTCATTCTCTCTCTGCTTTTGTGAGTATGGATCATATTGTATTAAATTGTTGAGCTGCCTCACAATAGATGGTGTTAAATCACCTAGAGTGTTTCTACAGTGTGATTTTAAGCAGTTCAGGATCTGAGGACATCTCTTTTCTCACTCTCAGTGAAAACTGTTTATCGTTGCTCTTCTTCTCTCCCTCTCTTGATTAGATTTCGTGTCTGAATCCTGCAGAATTAAAGCTGCCAGAAACTGAGCAGAGACACACCTACACTGACTCAGACTTCACAAAGAACAGCAATGTAAACAGAGTTTCATAATGGGCCTCTTACCATCAAACGAGAACAAAAATTCTGTTTTTTTCATTGTGCATGTTGAGGATGGATGTGGAAGCTAAATGGAACGTGGCCCAGCTGTAGTCCTCCCTGTGTTGTGTTCATGTGTGAATCCAGCCTTGATTAATGAGGAACAGCTCTGGGTGTTGGTTTTGTCTCTGCTCAGATGAACCGCACACTTTCACAACACATCTACCCTGAGGATTCATTATTCTCTCATTATCTCACCCCCTCACCCCTCGATCTCTCCCTCCACCTCTCTCCGAATCTGTCGCTGCTTATCTTCCTGTCTCACCTGATTTTCAACATCTCACTGACCCTCCTCTCCTCCATAATCCTCCACATCTGTTGTTATTGGGGGACAAAGAGTCGCTGTTATCAAAGCGCACAGAGTCAGACAGCTGCAGCTCAGCTTTCCCAGGTAACTGAGGACACAAGTAAGATCATTCAGAAACTGAATACAGAAGATGAACTACAAGAAGAAGTCAGCTCTCAGGTTGGGGTTTGATGGAAATCCATTATCCTGCTATCCTTTCTCACTTACATGTTATTTTTACCCCTCTGGGACATCATATTCGGGCTGCCATAGTGTGGTCTGTGTTTTAGTGTCACATTTCACAGTAAAAAAAACAAACTGATGGCTCAGCTGATCCGTCTTAAGTTCTGTCCACTTCATGCCAATCCTTTCAAGTACTTTAAAAGGATAATCGTAACACCGAGTTACACAAACCCGTCATAAGATGAATGTTGCCGACCGCTTGCTTCTCTAATTATACCAACTTTAGTAACGACAGCAAGATAGCAATACAGAGAGCCACATGCTCAACAAAATGCCACTCTATAGCCACAAATGATGCTCAGAACGGCACCTAACTTCATCAACAGTACATATAGGGTCCCAGCCACAGTACGAGCCACCAAACATCTTTTTAACTTTGACTAATTTCTTTAGCAAAGAGACTAAACACAACTCACCTACTCTCTTCCAGCAGCCGCTTGTTGGTAGTGAGACCTACCAGTCCATTACGGACTACAACAGGGTGAAGCAGCTCAAGGGAGAATATTTATGATCATGTCTTTATCATTTCCTTGAAGTTATAATCATCATATTCACTGCAGATGTGGTAGTTCTTCTGCCTTAGCGTCTCGGTCTGATTGCATTTCCATGAAGAAATGATCATAAATGTTCTTCCTTGAGCTGCGTCACCCCGCTGTAGTCGATGGACTGGCCTGAGGACTAGCACCTCATATGTACAGTTGATGAAGTTAGGTGCTGTTCTGAGCATTATTTGTGGCTATAGAGTGGCATTTTGGTTGAGCGCGTGGCTCTCTGTATTGCTATCCTGCGGTCATTACTAAAGTTGGTATAACTAGAGAAGCAAGCAGTCGACAACATTCATCTCTGGATGGGGTGTCTAACTCGGTGTTACGGTGTGTTTGACCCTAAATTAATTTCACGTCGGAATATCCCTTTAAGGTGGACCGGAGGAAAAGGTGGAGGAAAACTGTCTTGTTGTCTAATGGATCAAAATCTAACACTCTTTTGGAAAGGACAACTGGACTAAGTTGAGATGTTTCACCAGTTGTCCTTTCAACGTAGAACTGGAAATGTTACGGTGTGTTTGACCCTCACTTAATTTCACGCTGGAATATCCCTTTAAGTTTGAACTAAGTGGAAAACAGTGTTTGATAAATGTGCGGAAACGGACTGCAGATCAGCTGATGTTAAGACCTGAATCTGAAGGGTCATTGGCAGGCTTGGATGAGGTCTGAGTTTGGACGGTTAAATCCATGTTTCTGGACCTGGAACCTGTAAAACACAACATCAGAGAAGGGATCCAGTTTTTAACCTCTCCACAAAGAAACCAGCCAGGTGAGCTGACGACAGGAGCTGGGCCAGAGCCAAGACGGGGGTCAGATCTGGACTCAGATATGTGAGGATTAATCCAAGTGAATGCTGCTCAGTCCATAAACTAAAGTATGTTTCCTTTGGTTTAAACTTTACAGCCCTCCTTTTGAAGACAGACAGGTGTGTAGTGAGGTTTTGGTCAGCCACACAGAGAAATATCTGGACTTAGAGGAGAGTAAATCTTTTTGCAGGGATAGATGCGATGATGCAGAGTTTGTCTGCAGACTTTTGGCCGTACAGTGTCAAATAATCGAGGTGATAAGCCATCAGCTCTCCCTTAGGTCTGCGTTCTCCAGACCACACCAGTTTATTCAGACCAAACCTCATTAAGTGGAGAGGAAGATTTACTCTGAGTGGATCCTCTTGTTCAGCCGTCACAGCTGACAGGCTGATTGCTGACCTTTTCAACCCTTTATTACTTTAACCTTCTGCTGGAAGCTCGCTGACCGCAACAATGTGCAGTTTAACTGGGCGGTTTTACGGAGTGAGCAGGAGAAATGCACCAGGACTGTTTTCTTTTTGAAGACCAGATACTTGATTCAAACCAGCATCCAAAAGCGCCTTCAGCTGGGGGTGCAGTGACCCCGACAGACGTAAAACCTGCAGTCTGGAGAGCATAGGAGGGGGGTACAGGGGGTCTTTGTGCTGGCTCCGGGTGGAGTTTGGGGGAATTGGGTTTAATGACATGAACACACACAGCAAACACTGACTCTTTAACATACTGCAGCCCCACCCTGACGAATTAAAGGACGTGTAGTGAAAGCCATTCACAATTCATGGTATAGAGGAGCTTTTATTGTCTGCAGCTTGTTTTTAACACCGTTTGATTTTAGAGTTACAAATCCAGAGCAGAGTGACCCTCTTAGGGGCTCTCTTCCCCCTCTGTGGATCGTTAAAGTTGGCAAAACAATTTAACTGAAATAGGCTGTTCATCAGCTGATCAAAAGTTTAACACCACAGCCTTCAAAAGCCCAAATCTTGGATTCCATGTCATTTCTTGTCAAGCAGTCACACTGTCAACATCTCTCGATGGCAAAAAAGCTCACTGCCTTTGAACGTGGTAGGATTGTTGAGCTGCATAAACAAGGCCTCTCACAACATGCCATAGCTGCTGAGGTTGGACACAGTCAGACAGTCATTTTTCATTTCTTAAAAGATCCGGAGGGTTATGGGTTATGTGTCCATCAAGACGCGGTACGATCCTCGTCCCAAATTGTAAGGATGCCCAGCCCATGTTCACATTTAAAAAAATGGAAGGTCTGTGGCATGTGGTGTGTCTTGTGGACCCAGAAGCAGACACAGAGGCAGATAGCAAATTAGAGATGTATTTAATGTCCAACTCAGGAAAAAAGGCACAAGAGAAAGTCTGGTTTGCTGGCTGGCTGTTGTGTGGGGTGGAGACACTGTGGAGAGGCAGAGATGGAAGTGAGAAGATATACAAAGAAGCACAGGGAGCAAAAAAGTTACAAGCACTTATCCAAGGAGAAGGCCAGGAGAAGCGTCTGTACCACAGAGGCGTGAAGACAATACTCAGGCACTGAGACTGAGGGCTGCTGGCTTCTTAAACGGCCTTGATTGCAGATGCAGTGCAGGTGTGGAGTCTCACTCAGCCTCAGCGACTGGGGAGGGGGAGGGTGCTCTGAAACAGAGTCAAGCCAGACCAGGGAAACAAACAAAAACAGGAAGTCCAACCAAAATAAAGCAAGAGGTGGAGGCGTCTCACCACAAGGTCCACACGAATGATCATTTTGACAAGCTTTACTGGTTGCAGATCTGAGTTACAGCTTCATCATGCCACAAGTGTAACAAAGATTGGTCTGAGACCGTTCAAGTATATATAGTCATCCACGTTTCCAAACATTCTGCTTGCATCTTGCTGACCTGAAGGAGAATCCATGTAGGGTAATAACAAAGCACAACATATTTTGGGAGCCCGAGTGATGTTAAACATGGGTATAAGGTCCTTGTTGAGGATAGTTCTCGGAGGCCCATGGCTCCAGAAATCTGTATCCGAGGTATTTGAGTGACACAGCTCCACCACCCTAAAGGCTGTCATGACTGGCTAAAGAAAATCACCCAAACACAAATTAAGGCCATTACAGGTGCTGACTGCAGCCTA